ACTCGGAGTGGTTGATGATGGGGCATTGGGAGGACCAATGTTGACCGACGGCGCCGCACTTGGGGCATTTGAAATTCGCAGGGACTCCGGCCATTTTGTGAAGCGTGTGGATGATGTTAATTTGTGTAGTTGTTTGTTTGTTTGGATTGCTTGGCTGTTTGTGTTGATAGTGTTGTGTGAGTTGAGGAGATGCATCCAAACGGCGGGCACGGCATCGCCATTTATAGATTTAATTATGCTCTTGCATCTCATGAAGAAGTCACTGCTCATCACTTCGTGTATAAATTCACTTTATAGGGTACGAGTTGTGTGAGTTGCAGCGAACCTTGGATGAGGTCCGATATGGTGACTGGAGAGAAGATTGTGAAGCTGTGAATCACCGCAGATTCTCGCGCTGTCTACATTCACTTTCCACGAAATGTTCACTCTTGGGGACTTGCCGCAAGACATTGTCACACGAGCAGCCTGTGGATCAGAAATTGTCGTCCCGAAGGCTCAAATGTTTTGCGAGGTGACGAGCCGACTCTACGAAGTTTGAGCAACACCATACAGGATAACCTCAGCAGAAAACAAAGGGTAAATCACTCACCATGAGCTTTGGATGGAAATTTGAAATGTTCTCGATTGAGTTACTGTTTCCGTAGTTTCTGATGCGTTCGTTGTAGTCGGCTGAGTTGATTTCGCTAGCAGAGCTGCAGAGGAGCCCCTTCTCTTCGATGTGATGACTTCTGAGCCTCTGGTCACGTCGCTTTTGTAGCCGAATAGCACATTACAGGCAGTGATTTGATATTTCTCAATTCCGCACTTTGTCAGAACTTGTTGGGGATAAAGCTCACGGCTAATAGGGTGCTGCTAACTTCATGGATTTGCTACAGCTAGTCAAACGTCTTGACGGCAACTGTGGTGGTATTTCAAGTTTCGCCTTCGATTCCCTCCACTAGATCTGACTTGATGACCACAGGTCCAGCCATCGAATACGGGATATACCGTTATAGTGGACGTTGTAAGTGAAGCTATGGGAAACTTCTCGGGTGTTCATCCGAGTTCCTGTGTTGAAGCCACACTACTATAGTGCTACGTTGAGTCGGACTGAGCCGGTTGACTGCCACATCAGCGTTGAAGTTCGCTCGAATCACCCGTAATACCATAAGGTCGCGCGATCTGGGATTGCGCCGGGTGAGCCGGGTGAGCCGGGTGAGCGAGGCATCTTTGCAGGGTCCAGGACTGTGGTTACCGGGAACTGTTAGCTACCTAGCCTGCTGTATTATGCATTTTATCGCCTGGTGCGTAGTGTAGGGTTTGCACTCTTGTCGTGTTTTCCATCGGGGCCGTCTAGGTATAGTATGTTGCCTTACAGCTTCGTATGTAGGCAGGAGGGCAGTCACTGCTGCTTGATTTGAGTAGTGACGTACGTCGCGCATGCTATGCAGTATGTTTGTCGGGCCATTAGAATTCGACGGAAATGCCAAGCATGTGGTCTGATTTTAATCTGCCGATCCCGCTCGCGCCTCGGGCGTAAGTTCTTATCCATCCACCCACTCATCCCGTTGAATTTCCAGGAAACCCGTAAGGGCTATGCCATCCAATTCTAGGAGTAGTGAACTGCCTCCTATGAGGTCGTCCCCAATCCCATCAAGAAGACGTTCTGGAATCGTAGCAGTACTGGGCAGCAATCATCTTTCATGCAAAGAAGGTCGGAATGCATATGATGAAGGAGATGTCGTGGTCAAAATCTCAGGAATGCACAATTGCGGCTCAGCAGCCTTCTCAGTTTTCCACACGCACGCCGAGAAAATAAGGAAAGGGTTGGGGGCGTAAGCAATACAAAAGTGCAAATAGCCCCAGGCATTATTCGCTGATTGTCCAGTCACACCAAGGCTAACCTTACATGTTCCCGTAACTGACCCGACTGTCTGCTTTGGGCAGCTCGTAATTGGCTATAATATCGAATCGACGTGGCACAGCCTGTACGAGAGCCGGGCTGCAAAGGGGAAGCTTGGCTGGAGCCATCAAGGGGTTTAGATGCGACCGATTCCCCAGTGACAGCCTTGAGCATCTAGCAACTTCAACAACTCATGTTTTCCAATTACTGTACTCTTTTGGCGGGCCCTTTCCGACATGAAGCTGCCTTCTGTGGCCAAGCGTCTGATTCCTCGTAGTCATTGGAGAAGGGGGGTCCTCGGATTCGCCATCGCCGCCCTGTTTACTTTCATAGTAAATCTCTCTTTCACTGTGTGGGTGACAACAAAACGAAACGAGACAATCAATAATGGCGTCGGAGAGATCCTAGAGGCCAACAGCTCGACCATTAAAGCCTGGAATACTGGCCTACATATTCTTATTAATGTGATCAGCACAATTCTAATTGCTGGAAGCAATTATTGTATGCAGTGTCTCATGGCACCCACACGGGTTGAGATTAATACTGCACATAAAGAACAAAGATGGCTCGACATTGGTATTCCAAGTGTTCGGAACTTCTGGAGCATTACACTGAGAAGAAAAATTCTTTGGCTTTTTCTATTAGCCTCGTCGTTCCCGCTGCATTTACTGTATGGATCTATTTCCGTCAAGCCTCCTCAACACTGACCAGTTCCAGTTTCAACTCAATCATTTTCGCATCTATTTCGACCAACGAATACATTGTAAGAGCGGCCAGACCACAAACCGTTGGGATCGAGAACAAAAGCGTCTTTCCTGAAGTCCTGCGAACGGAGTCGTTTGACAAGGAGATACTTCGCCTCTCTCCATTCGGGAAGAACACAACGCTTCATCACCGTGAAGTATCCGACTGCTTGGACGATTATGCGGTTGCATTCCAGTCGTCCCGAGGTTCCTTATTGATAATTACGGGTAATTACGACGAGCGTATCAACAGAACCGGTTGGGCTTGGGCGTCTAACACAACATACTTTTACCCTGTCGGTCATGGTTTCGGAGGGCGTGTTTACGACAACTTTGACTGGATCTGTCGGAATAAGGACAGACCTTGCGACGAGCAGATTCCAGACATCAGGAAAGACGTCAGTGAGTGGCGCCCAGACGGATACGTGGTACTGGCCTGCTACAGTGAGGAGGCACAACACCTTCCCAAGCTGCTCTTCAGCAGAAACCTCTGCTGGATTGTGACTATGATGAGTTTGCTCAAGGGTATCGTCATGCTTTTTGTTGCATACGGAGGTGGCAGTGGTGAACTTCCGATTCTGACAATTGGAGACGCCGTGGCATCGTTCCTCAAAGACCCAGACGAAACCACGAACGATACGTGTCTCAAGTCAAAGAAGGATTTCCAGCGCAGCTGGCAAACGGTCGCTCAAGAGTTCGATCCCACACCGCCACGCAAGTTCGCTGCTGGAAGTCTCAGCAGATGGTTTACATGCGTTTGCCTGTACGTATTCCTTTCTCTACCTCTTACTTTGTGTGTTAATAGCAGTCTCAGAGGCTTGTTGGCCGTCGCGACATGTATATTTCTGCTGTGGTGGGGAATCTCATCAACACCTACACTCAGCTCGAACCTCTTGAAATACGGGCTAGGTGTGATGCACAGCGACACCATTGTATCGAAGAGCTAGTATCTCAAAGACTCCAACAGTCTCCTCTTCAACGTCGTACTCGCCAACTCGCCACAACTCATTATGTCACTGATTTATTTCAACTACAACGCCCTTTTTTCCACCATATCCCTTATCACTGAATGGGACCGATTCTATGGTCGGGAAAAGGCGAAAGGTCTCAGGGTATCTTCCACACCCAAAGGAGCCCAACGGGAGACATACTTCCTCCAGCTTCCATACCGATATTCGCTACCGCTCGCGGTAGTTTCCGGCGGCCTCCACTGGTTGATTTCACAAACTATTTTCCTAGTCAATATTGACGTGTATGGCGAAGACAGCAAATTTCTGGAAGACAGTAGCATTACGTCGTGTGGATGGTCACCGATTGGCATTATATGCGTGGCTGTCATGGGTATGGTTTTGGTTGCGTCTCTGGTTGCTTCGGGATGGCGCCATTTACGGTTTGGTGGGATTCCCGTAGCCGGCAGCTGTAGCGCCGCGATTTCTGCGGCTTGCAATCCAAACCCAGGTGAACCGGACGCCTGGCTAGAGCCGCTTCACTGGGGAGTTGTGTCCGAGCCAGCGGTTGAGCCAAGACATTGCTCTTTTTCAAGCAGAGAAGTTGATACTCCGATCAAGGGACAGTTGTATGCGTGAGAGAGAGCGGTTCCATAGACATCAGGGGGCGGATCTTCCTCATACGTACCAAGAAACACACAGGCAAGCTTGGCAAGCTTGGGCTGTCCATTGGGAACGTCGACTCGTCGTGCCAAATAAATAGAGACCGAATAGCAACTCAATCAAAACAAAGAGAAATGCTTCCCCACGGTCCCGGGGTTGGGATGACGCTGACATACATGTGCTATCGGGAGTCCCTACTCAGGCATTCCACTCTCTGGACAATGATATACCTGAGCTTAGCATAGGGTCAACTGTAGGAACTTTGGAACCTTGCAGAACTGACGTCTTCAAGAAGAAGTCCCGTTAGATATCAGCGGTTGGTGAAAGGGCACAAGAGTGGAAGATTGGCTTCCCTAGATAGTTGAAATGGTTCCCGGATCGCAGAAACTCCCAAATGCCCCGCGAGTTGAGATGTGATGACCTGTCTCACTGGCACCTATCAGCTGAAAACTTGCATGCCGCATCTCACAGCCCAAGTTGTGGTTAGTACCAACCCAGCGCTAGGGAACCTCGACAAGTTGCAGGGAAGAGGGGATGAACAGTCCCTCGGCAGACACGTGTAATACAAGACTATGATATCCGCGTACTGGGCAGGCAAGTTGACCAACTAGTCATTCGTGAAACCAAAGAAATGTAGGAAAGGTTCTGGAAATTGAAATAAGTCTATGAGCTCGCTGATGGGGATCTATGGCCGTGAAACTCCGACGCAGGCTATGAGACGAAGAAAGAAAAGAAGAAGGGAAAAGGGCCGAGTCCCGTGGCTCCTCAGCCACCTACAGTCCCCTCCTTCTCGTGTATCGCTTTCAACTTCTTCTCCGTCTTCATGAACTCGCGAATGCCGACCGGAATATCCCCATACAGCTTCTCATCCCACATATCCTTGGCGATCTTCGGGTCCTTTGGTACCCAGTTTGTTTCTGAACCGCCGCCGTCGTCGTCCATGCTGACCGTATCCGAGACCGGCTGCCCCTTGGCCGCCTGCTCCTCCCTCAACTTCATCTGCGCCTCCGCGTTCGCCGCCGACCACTCTTCCATCTCCTCCCTGAACCGATCCCACACGCAATTGACGCAGCCGCTCATACAGCAATTATCAGGTTCCTCGGGCTTTGGAGGTATCAACACCCCTGCCACCCTCGTACTTTGATTGCGGAGTTCCTCGAGACGCTTCTTGCGCTCGGCGGGACCGGCCAGGGCGGAGCCGAAGACGATGGAGGCCTTCTCAGCCGCGGTCTGCGGGGGCGGTGTCGGCACCGGCTGTGCGGATTGAGCTTCAGCAGAGGGTTCCGGGTGGTCTGGGGAGAGAGGCGAGGTCTTACGGCCTTGCTCCTCCTGCTTGATGGCGGAGGAGGAGGGGGGCTCCTCGGGCTTCTCGTCGGGGATGGGTTGGGGCTTGGTGAGAATCATCTCGTAGTAGGCGCCTAGCGGGTGCGCTTGCGCTTTGGAGGGCTCGATCGGGTCGGGGCCGGTCTGGGCCTGGATGGTGATGAAGGCATTTCGAGGAGGGCGGGCGATGCGAGGCACCACGGGCCGGAGGCGGGGGAGGATTCTGGCCGGTGTCGACATTTTGGTGTGTGTTTCTGGGTATCGGAGGTCCAATTCAACAAGAGGGTTGGAATTGGAGAGTTGGACCTTTGGTGGCTGAGTGCGGCGAGACCATATCTGCCGTCACTGCAGGACCTCGGAGGGAAGGGAAAAGCAAGCGGGCACTTGGAATGCGCTCATAGCCGTCGGACGTCATCGGGTAAGGATTTCTGCTTATGTAACTATCAGAATGGGTCACGTGTGGCCGGAGAGTCGGCCACTCAGCATTGAGGAATTACGGGAGAATTAAAAGAGAGAAGAGAAGGAACGAACGAGGTTGAAATATAATTTTTGATGCGGCTTATATTTTTCAACAAAACAAAAGAAGCTTCCATTGTAGTCGTTGCCATTTGAGAAAAGGTTTACCGCCATGAACTGAAGGAAGCAGCTTCCGGGAGGTCGAGCACCTGCCATCCTTGTTTACTTTCCCGAGACCCACCAAAAGCGGAAGGCGGTGAGGTCGCATTGGAGGCACCTTACAGAGACGCGCTCCATTCACAACATTCAATCTAGAGCTTCGTGCAGTCTCTCCAACCACTGCTTTTCGCGACAATACGCCCTCGAGGGCACCAACACGACTCCGATATGTACAGATAGGCATCGCGACGCGCTTCGATTATGGAAGAGTCCCCCCCTAAGCGGCGGAGAACTTCCCCGCGCCTGAGTAGAGAGCGCGACGATGTCAACAATGAGTCCACCACTCCCCCCGACCCTCCTCCTCCACGAAGCCTGATTCCACGGCCGAGACGACCGTCCTTCGCGTCACCAACAAGATCCTCTCTTTCGCGAACCAACCCCGACATACTACGAAGAAGAAGCTTGAGCCCGCTCAAGACTGCCGCCGAGAATGCGACTCGTGGCACACCAGATGTCTCTGAAGAGGGTCCCCGAACCCAGAGTCAGGAATCCAGACCCTCTCTATCGAGCCAACCTGCGCGTCCGCGAAGAAGCATATTCGAAACCGAGCCTCCACCATCCGATACAAATCTGGGCTCGCCCGCTCGTCGAATGCCGGGCTCTAGAACAGGGCTTAGTGGAGCGCTGGCGTCTAGGCCGCGCCGTTCCTCTGGGAAGCCTATATCAAGACCATTCCCTGAACCAGAGAACGAGCCAGAAAACGAGCCAGAAGATTTTAATCCTTTTGCTCGACGTGGACTTCGTCGCTCGCCGCCTGCCGGTGGCATCTCCCAAAGTCAGCCACCGATGGAACCAGAGCCCGAGGCGGAACCCGAGCTCCCTCCCACGCCAACACAGAGGGGTCAAGCTGACCCTGTCGTGACGACGCCGCCTCGTGGAATCCATGATACCCCCTCAAAGCGAAAGCGGCGGACCGATTCCCTGCCCAGGAGCTCGCCGTTGAAGCAACCTCCCCTGCGCCCGCCCGAATTCTCCCAAAAGACCAAGGAACCCTCCAAGAAGGCCATGGCCCAGATGACACACGAGACAAGTCCGACTAAGCCGGCGAGGAAAAGGGGCAGGCCTAGAAAAGGACCCATGGGCACACACGAAGCCCGACAGATACCAGTGCCGGACCCTAATGCCGAACTCAAAGAGACACGAGACGCGCTCGAGGCAGAGATCGCCAAGCTGGAGGCCGACTTGGACTTTGCGACCGAAGAGAACGAGCGGGTTCGACGAGTGCAGTCGCTTAGGTCTGCGACCGAGCCCTCCATTCCCGTTTCACGCCGGGAACAACTCTTTGACGTTTTGCGGCGGCACCTTATGCCCCCTGAGAAGGAAAACAAGCCAGACGCGGCGCAGGAGTGGTTCGATCTGGCGATGAAGCCGACGTCGTGGCTTTCGTTCGCTTCTCTTGGGCAGACACAGCCACTCACCTCGGAGCCAGAAGAGGAAGACCTCCCGGCACCTATTTCACATCACCCAATTCAAATGACGACCGAGGAAGAGCTTCCATACCTGCAAGCTTTCACGCCTTTCGTGTTTTCAGGGACCACTCACATGTTGCCACGTGAGAGTGAAGAAGACCCTCTGCTGCGCAAACACAATATCGACATCAGATCCGCATATCCTGCAGGTTTATTCACGGCCAAGGTTGAGATGACAGTCGACACGGAAATGCTGAAAATCACCGATCTCAGAGTGCCGCGTCTTGATCAGGCAGCCGTCGCTGAGGTTGGCCCATTCATCAACAAGGTTACCTCGGATGATTGCAACAGCCATATGAGACGCAACGTTAGCATCGTCACTTGGGCAATGGCCGAGTGGTACCGTGTTGCTGTCGAGCGTGCGAAAATGTGGCATGTCTTGGAGAGCGAGCTCGGAGATAGGGAAAAGTTGTTCGAGAACGTCGCCAAAATAAGGACTAGGCGGAAGAAGCGTAGAAGAAAGGATGATGACGACCCCCAGAGCCAGGACGCGGAGGCAAGAGGCGATAAGGATCATAAGGACATCCTCAGTCGCGCCGTACTGCTGCCTCACATGGGCCGAACCACGTACGAAATACCAATCCCTGGTGCGGTAGATGAGGAGTCGTCTTGCTTAAGGATACAATGGAAGATCGATTTCGATTGGACTGGGGAGGCACAGAGCAAAGTCGGCTTGATGATCGGGATGCCCGGTAGATGTAAGTCCTACTCACTCCTTCCGCATGATCGAGCTAACAAAACATAGGGCGCCAAGGAGACGAACGAGATTCTCTGGCAAAGGCATCCGAGGTTTTTGAAAAGCTTGCGCAGGGCAACGAAGGCCCTATGACCGCTGTACGCACTGTTGTCGCATTATTGGCTGGTGATGCCTGAACTTGAAAGAATACCACGCGGGAGTTGGGATGCTGTTTCATGGGTATGACTTTATATCTATATATGCCGGCCACTGACATTGATCACGCCGAGAGTACAAATCCAGTCGCGTCTCCGGATGCAAGTTTATGATTATCGAATCAACCTTTCCATGCTTTCCAGTCTCCAACAACGTGTGAAGTCAGGCTTAGAACCTCCGAGTCGTGTTGTATCCGCTGCCATAGTACGCTCTTCCACCTTCGGCGCCTTCTTCCCACCCCGGAGGTGGCGCACCCCGAGGCCTGAACTGGCCATCAGCTCCAGCCCAATCCGCCGGCGGCATGCCGTACATTCTTCGCCGGTCGTTCACCCTCGTCGGCGGCGCAAATCCGTTCGGGTAATCCGGCCTCGTACCAGGCCAATGCCCACCCATCATCCCAGTTGAATCCCAGATTCCCGGACCACGGTGGCCGTTGGCATACGGCGCTCCGCCCCCGACGGAACCCCCGTGCAGATTGCCGTACAACGAGCCTTCGCCACGGTCAGCACCTTCACCGTTCACGCCCATCGCTCCCCCGTTCGCTCCGCGAGAGTCCGCGTCGTTCATGGCCTGCTCCCTCGTCCGGCCGGGAGGGTACATCTCGATGCCGCCGGGCGGGAGGAAGCCGTCCGAGGGGTGGCCGAAGCGGCTCGCCTGGTCGAAGGGGTTGCCGATGATGCCGCGGGTGTCGGTGTTGTAGATGCCGTTTGTGCCGCGCATCCAGGGGCGGCCGGCGTTGGGGCCGTTGGTCTGCCGGTAGTCGTCGAAGAAGCCGCGCTGGTCGCGCGTGGTGCCGGTTGCGGCGTCGGCTGCTGAGTTCCACTTGGCGTTGTAGCCGAAGGGGTCATTGTTGTTGTTGTTATTATTGTTTGACATTTTGGAGTGCGGTTCAGAAGATAGTTGTGTTGCCTTAGTGTTAGTCGGAAGACAAGACAGGCTGAGAGCTGAGGGAAGACTTTATACGGCGATTCGAATAGGTGTTTGTGGTGAATTTCGGCTGTGGAGTGAAGTGTGCACAACTCCAGATGTTAGACGAGAGACATGTTTGCGATTCACTGTGATACTTAGATGAGGGCTTAACAACCTTCATTCACGGGTAACACCGAGCAATGCATCTACTTGAGATTCAATCAAGTTCATCATCCGTACCGAGCGAATTTGTCACATTAGGCGTTAAACTACTTTGGTTCCACTGCACTTGAGGCAACTTCCGCGATATTGTCCACGGGAGTTCAGATAGCATTCAGCCTATCTTGGAAGCGTTATTCCGTTGAGTTGAATCGGGCTAAGAGCAAAGGCCTAAATAAGTTCATATCTTGCGATGATTTAGTCCATGTCGTGAAGTATGAGAGGATATCGTTGACTTGCTTCCTCGACCACAAGAATTATGCAGCAACCCCCACGCATCTCGAATTGATGGCGGGTACAAGTCCCGGTCCCAACACCGACCGCCGTTTCCATATTATAGTGTTTCTATTTTATACTGAGACATGTAATCATGATGATGTAGTCACGTGAAGTGTGAGTCTTGAAACATTCCTCTTGGACTTGATCCTATGCCGAAGACACAACACCGACGAGAAAAGTGAAGCAAACCGCCTCAGCATCATCCTCAGATGACATCCCCCAATCATCCGCAGGTAAGTCGCCACGGTGTGGTTTAGGCGTAGCCTCAAGGCACTCGCGCACTCGCCGACCCTCGCCGATATGCGAAGAAGTACTAATCCAACGCCGAACGCCACGCTGGTTCCGTGGTCACGTCCGGAAACGGCGATCACGGTCCCGACGATCAGGGTCTCGCCCAGACATACCATCCTCGATTCGGCCTCGGGTCTCTCCACAACCCTCCATCCGGCTGGCTGCCGCCCACTCTCGCGCCCAGTCTCTACCTGGCCGGCGAAATCCGTTCAAGACACATCCCCGGAACCGAAGGTTTGGGCGGCCGACCTCGAGATAGCGCGTGATGGCAGGGCTCAGATTGTTCATCGTTCCAAGCCGGTGGGATTTCGCGATCGAACAAAAGGACCCGTCTGTCCGTCTCTGAACGAGCCGCTCCGTGTGTGAAGTTTTGCCCAAAAACACTGAACATCTCGAACACGAGATTTGGTCACCATTCGCGATATACCTTGCCGTCTCTGGTCGAAAGTCACTTCTCAGAGTTGTTAGGCTCGAGAGACTGTCAACTACGCAACACGATACCAGGCGGCGTCTGCTCAGCTTCAGACGCAATCTCCATCCGCCGTTGTCATGCGTTCGATGCGACTGATCCCTCTCCTCGCCCTCTTCACGACGACAATCCTCGCCCAACAACCTCATCTCCCTGACATCCCCGGAATCTCCTTCGACGACAACCCGCCATGCGCCGTAAGCTGAGCCCACTCGCAATTCACTTCGACAAATCCGCTGACAAGTGTGTCCGAAGATCCCATGTATTTTAGGGGGAATCAACCAGACTCGCTGCTCCGTAAACGATCAGGCATGTCTGTGCCGTGACGAGGATTATCTCAAGTACGTCGAGGGGTGCTCCGTCTTGAGTTGCCCGCTTAAGTATGCCTTGCGTGAGTAACGCCTGCGAAGTGCTTGCCTTCCAACTTGGTTAGAGGCTCTGATACACGCACTGACACTTTGAACGCGGCAGAGGTGCAAAACATCACTTGGACGGCGTGCGATTTCCCACTCAGCGACGAGGTCGCCGCAACGAAAGCCGTCCGTATTATTCTTTTTGCGGTGCTACCCACCCTATCGATCATCCTTCGGGTCATATCCAAGCTTGCGCGGCTATCTCCATGGGGCTGGGATGATTACACGATTATCGTGGCGTATGTGAGTGAAGAGGTCCCGACCACTTTAGGGAAGTATGGCTAAAGACAGTGCAGGTGATACTTCTCGGCTATGTCTGTTTACACATGTACCGTGAGTTTTATCACCAAGATGGGTATCATTTCACAGGTCACACGAACTAAATGCTTCCTAGTGGAAAACAACGGCGCTGGCAAAGACCTGTGGACTCTCAGCGACCAGCAGATCACCAACTTCTTCAAGGTACCCTCGACCGCCAGCCATCTCTGTCACATTCCCTCCGCTGACATAACACCACCAGGCCTTTTACGCCCTTCAGACCCTGTATCATTCATGCATAGACCTGATCAAGGTATCCATCCTCTTCATGTACCTCCGAATCTTCCACCTTCCTGGCGAAAAGGTCCGCATCGTTCTCTGGGTGACTCTGGTCCTCAACGTGTGCAACGGGCTGTGCTTTATCTTCATTGGTCTGTTCCAGTGCAAACCCGTCAGTCTGGCATGGACTTTCTGGACCGGGGAGGCGACGGGGAAGTGCATCGAGATCGTGAAGTTGGCCCTGGCTCATGTCAGCATCAACATCTTTCTGGACGTGTGGATGATCATCATCCCTGCTACCCAGGTTTGGAGCATGAACCTGGCGCTGAAGAAAAAGCTCGCCATCATGTTCATGTTCGGTCTTGGTCTGTTGTAAGTGGCCCGCATCCGCCCTTCCTTCCTTCCCAGACCTTCAAAGCTGACACCCAGACTCCAGTCTCACCGTCGTGAGTTGTTACCGCATCACGCAGATTCTGGAGTTCAAGAAGTATCCACTGAATCCGACCGGTACGTGCGAACATGATCGCGTTTTCGTAGCCATTGCACGCGAAGCTAACACCAATCCTCAGTCGCCATGATGCCCAGCCTCATCTGGTCGGATATCGAACTGTACGTGGGTATCTTCACCGCGTGCATACCGAACCTGCGCCAGTTCTTCGTCAGGTTCATCCTGCAAAAGTCCGAAAAGAAGCAGCGCCTGAGCTCGGCCGTTTCGGAGGCCAGGAATTCGGCCTTCCTCTCAAAAGGCAAGAGGTCGCAGCAGCTCAGCGAAATCGACACGATATGCGCCGATGAGAGCTATAACTCATCGCCCCGGTCGAGGTCGAGCCTGCCACACCTGCCGCAAGTGTAATGTAAGGGTGGAGATCGATGTGTACATATGTTTCTAGTTTCGTACAAAATTGAAGCTGTATCCGGAAATGATGCCGGACGATTCCCCTGTCACGAAGTTTCCAAGCTGATGAGGCCTACCGTGAGACACTGCGTGCAGGCGACAAGGATTGCCCCGAAACGGCAAACTCTTCGTCCAATATCCATCGCCGAGTTTGAAATGACAAGGGATTCTGTGTGCAGTTCTACGAACTTACAGGGTCTGAGATATGGATTGCGGCTTACTGCCCAAATCATAGGATGACTGCATAGGGCTGAGTGTGTCTCAAGCCAGGATACCGGATCACATCCGGGATCTCAATAGGCAACTACAAGTGATGCCCTCAACGAGACTAGCTCGGGCCAGCCGAAGATCTAGCTGCATGATCGTGGGCTCATTCTACAAGGCGAAGCACGTGGACAAGACACTTGGCGTCAATACTGCGATGCGACCCTGCCGCCTTCGGTGTCATCTTATCCAATGCTCGCCAGGTAAATCGAATAGGCACACAATTTTCTACACTTTCGCTGTGATAACCCCCGACCGAATCCTCTCAGCCTGTTGGGGGCCGTTTGTGGACTGTTGGCTCGGTTGGTCCGAACCCTGGAGAGACACCCCCGTCATCACCTACGTGCAAGATCCGAGTCATCCAATCGCGGTCGTGGGTTGCGTCCCAAAGAAGACAACGCCGGTCGACAAGTGAGCTCCGCCGGCAAGGACCTGGGACGGCGCCATCTTCAACGGGGGCGACCGCCCGTTGTGACGAGCCTGGTCGAGTGTGTGCCTGCATCCTCGGGCATGGAAAGCGTCCTATTGGCGTTCGACGTTCGTCTTGGCTGTTCCGCCAGCAACCCTCGCCGGGCGCTTGGGTTGGGGGTTCTTCCTGCAACTGAATCCTCATCGGTCACATCAACTCTAGCAAAGGCTGTTGCCTTACGGCCGAAGCCCGTTTTCGCCATATCCATTGAGGCCTGGATCATATGGGGCCGTTGCTGGAGGCTGTGTTGTCTGGCTGCTCGGGCACATCGCCGGTGTGATTCTGTACCGTGCCTCATGCTGGCGAATCTTGCGCCCCCTAGGTGATGAGAAGAATGTCGCCTTGTTCTGGCTTTCGGTGTCGATTGCAGCCTGTTGATTTCGAGTATTTAAGAATTGCCTCGTCCTCGATGTTTTGCGATTCTTTCTCTGTCTCTTAGTAGCCATCAAGAAAACAACATACTGTTGAGCAACTGAAAAGTCCTCAAAACCTCCTTGAATTATACCAAGCCATCTACTTTGCCTCGTTCCCTCGCATCTCATCAACCATGGATAAGGGCGCCATTCTTCCGACCCATGTGTCGGCTTCTCCTTCTAAGCCCTGTGCTGGGCGTCGGCCAGTGGTCAACGCCATGATCATCTCCTTGGTCACTTGCGTCTTGGTGCTGTCGTTTATGAGAATCGATAGCCTCCTGTCTTCGGTAAGTCAAAGATACTCGAGCCTCGAAAGAGGCTTGGGTCCTGGCTGATGGGAGCTTACTGACTTGACATAGATCAACAACAACCTGATGGTCTGCAACGGCGGGAACGTGCAAGCAGATGCACCTCCGATGCTCGACTCAACTCTCCGCAAGAGACTTGACAATGCTGGTCTGGAAGGCGGACTTGTATCCACGGACGGCCGTTCCGGATACAACAAGAGGGCCGAGACGGACGGCCGTTCGGGGTACAACAGCGTTGGGGACGACGTTGTGACCACCAGTGGCCGTTCCGGGTACAACAAGAGGGCCGAGACGGACGGCCGTTCGGGGTACAACCGTGTCGGCGACGACGTAGTTACTACCGATGGTCGTTCCGGATACAATAAGAGGGCTGAAACGGACGGCCGCTCGGGGTATAACCGTGTTGGCGACGACGTTGTCACCACTGACGGACGCTCTGGATACAACAAGCGCGAAGAGACCGATGGAAGATCAGGCTACAACAGCGTCGACGATGACATCGTTACCACAGACGGCCGCTCTGGATACAACCGTCGAGAGGAGACGGACGGACGCTCGGGGTACAACGGTGTCGGTGACGGGACTGTCACAACCGATGGCCGATCCGGATACAACAGGCGCGAGGAGACGGATGGCCGCTCTGGTTACAACAGGGTTGAGGACGGTGCCGTCACCACTGACGGCCGGTCTGGGTACAACCGCCGCCAAGTTGAGGATGACTCCATCGTCACGACCGATGGACGGTCTGGCTACAACAGACGTGGGGGCGAAGGCCCAAACGCCGACACGGATGGTCGTTCTGGGTACAACCGTCGCGAGGCAGGTGGCAGGTCTGGTTATAACAGCGTGGAAGACGATGTCATGACCACTGACGGCCGTTCTGGGTACAACAGGCGTGCCGAGACAGACGGCCGCTCTGGATACAACAAGGTCGAAGAGTCTGGACGCTCTGGTTACAACCGCGCAAAGTGAAATCTAGATTACGATAACATCAATCTTTGATGTTGGGGATGTGGATGTTTAAAGGTTTAGATATATTGAGCTCAGGCTCTGGCGTTGAATATGTTGTAGGTACTTGAGGCAGAGAGTCATTAGTTGCAAAAAGTTATGTCCATTTAATAGGTGTCACACAAGAAAGAAAATGCAGACAAATTGTTGTGACATTCATAATGAAGTTCTTCCCAGTTCCAAGTATCTAATTGCTAGTGAAATTGTATTTAAGATAGGACACCTCACTCAACTAATACTATACGTGCTAAGAACCATTACTATCCTGAGAAAACAGGAAAACTTTTCATACCCAAACAAAAAAGGTGATTGAAACTCGTTAGTGGTAGCGAAAACTCATCAATTCTAACACCCATGGTCTTTTGAAGGTGCCGTATGTGATCAACAGCAGTGCATGTATGTAAGTCGCTGGTTCGCTTCTCCTGGCTGGATAATAATTAAGCGGACACTGGTCTCGCCCGATGACTCACTGCTCCACAGGTATTTGGCGTGCATTCTCCGCCCTGAGAGGGAATCATATGGGGTCCAGACTGCGGGGGAACCTAGGCGGCAGTTTAGTTGAAGGACTTCCATTTCGTTGCGAAAGGCTTACTACAATGAACCGACATTTCAATATTAACCACCCGTTAATGCCATTTGGGAGCGAGAAACTATGCTTTTTAACACTAGAAATTTTCGATTTGGTTGTGAACCTGGAAGGTTTCCATGCAACACCGTTGCGGTTACATAAGCAACCAAGGTAGTCAGCTATGCGAGTAAAGAGGCGAAAGCATCGTTATATAAAGCATATGCAGCTATTAAATAAATTACCCCTCCATCCCACCAAGAGATAAGATAAGGATCCGAAGAACTTTTTTCAGAGACTGCTTTGGCTTTGGCGCGTCACGCTTTTCACTTGTCTTGAGCAGCAGCAGCAGTAGCAAACCATCACAGGATCCTGCGATTTCACCACAGGCAAAATGACGACCGACATCGACGCCGAGGCACCGCACAACAGTTTCGACGTACGTACCTTCCCGTCGCGTTCTGTTCTCACCATGTCTACTTGGCCCCTCAGCCCCTGACCCATTCTCGCGAGTTTCCCCCGCTACAATTTCTCATGGCGGCGTCAATCCGATAAGATCGCGCAACAGGGATGGCTATTACATGGCGAACATCTATCAACTTTTTGAATATCCTGATGCTCGTTCGCTCGCTCAAATGTTCGAGGCTAATGTTTCCTGCTCCAGACCATCTTGGTGTTGGACTTTGGCAGCCAAACCAGTCACCTCATCGTGAGGCGCATCCGAGCTCTCAACATCTACGCTGAGATGCTGCCTTGCACCACCAAGCTCGCCGATCTTACCTGGAAGCCGAAGGGTATCATTCTGTCTGGAGGTAAGTGCCCATTCTGTCTCAACATGCTCTCGATGGATCAATCTTTCTGACCCTTCCAAGGACCTTCTTCCGTTTACGATGAGCACTCGCCCCGTAAGGCATAGATCCCTTGCGCATCTCCAAACTCGTACTGATTCATCAAGACGTCGACCCCGCCATCTTCGATTTCGGTGTCCCTATTTTGTACGTGCTTCCCAAATCTGTGGTCCATGGAATGAGCTTTTGACTAACACGATCTCAGGGGTATTTGGTATGATATGACCTGGCCATCACGCGCATTGCGGTACTAACATCACAAATTTAGCTACGGTTGCCAGGTAAGTTCTCTGCTTCTACAGAGGAATTACTCAATTGATTTCTAACTGCTTACAGGAGATTGCTTGGCGCATCAACTCTGCCAACGTTGCCAGCGGAGTGGCCAGAGGTTGGAAGCCTTTCTACAAAATTGTTGATTGAACGATATCTAAACTCCCGACAACAGAGTATGGACACGCCGATGTCACCATCAACAAGATTAGCAGCCATGCTGATCGCCTCTTCGCTGGTTTGGGCGATGTTATGCACGGTTGGTTTCCTGAATGCATGTTTCGATGTACTTCAGTGCAGGATCTGACTTGAGGATAGCATACATGTCTCACTTCGACAAGCTCGTAAAACTCCCCGAGGGCTTTGCTGTCATTGCCACCACGAAGAACTCCGAGTTCGCTGGTATTGCCCACGAGTCGAAGCCCATTTTCGGTACGTTTTCTTGGATAAGAATTGCTTCGTCGAGTCCCCACCACCATGGCGTTTGTTTCTGGTGTCTAACACAAAATCCGCGCAGGCGTGCAATTCCACCCCGAGCTTGAGCACGTAAGCCACTCTGCGATTTAACCACAACCTGGCATGCAGCTTACCTGGTTGACAGACTCCCCGCGGAAGTGAGATTCTGCGCAACTTCGCCATCGATATTTGCGGAGTGCAGCCCGGATGGGTTATGGGAGACTTTAAGCAGCAAGAGATTGACCGTATCAGGCGTCTCGTCGGTGACCGTTCCCAGGTCATCGGAGCCGTATCTGGTGGCGTTGACAGCACTGTTGCCGCCAAGCTCATGAAGGAGGCCATTGGTAAGATTCTCACTACGCTTGATTGATTGCGGAGAGAAGTTACTAACATGCACCCAGGCGACCGATTTCACGCTATCCTCATCGACAACGGTAACACAAGATCTCCCCTGCTTGCGTTCGAGTTGGCGAGGGACTGACTTCTCTATCCAGGAGTGATGCGTCTGAACGAGTGCACCGAGGTCAAGCAGACTCTCGAGAAGCATCTCGGAATCAACCTGACTGTCGTTGACGCTGCCGACCTGTTCCTCGAGCGCCTTCGGGGTGTTCAGGAGCCGGAGAAGAAGCGCAAGAGTAAGTCAGCTTACGACCAGCAACGCAACTCAGCAAACTGACTACTGCGACTCTGTGCTACAGTCATTGGTTCCACCTGTAAGTTCAGCCATTCAGTTTCGAGAGAAATATCGGCCCCCCTGGGAAGCTAACCTGTCTGCAGTTATCGATCTGTTCGAGAAGGAGGCCGAGAGGGTATGTCTCATCTTTCCTCAGCTCGCTGAGGTTTGAGATTTGCTGACAAGGTGACATCAGATTGAGAAGGAAGCCGAGAACACCCCCAATGAAGGGAAGGTCGAGTGGTTCCTCCAGGGAACGGTAAATGACTCCCCTCACTCACAACTCTGAAATCATGCTAATCTGTGACTTGATAGCTGTACCCTGACGTGTATGGTCATCTTCAACAATCTCGGCTGTACACGAACACTGATCAAATCATAGTATTGAGTCTTTGAGCTTCAAGGGCCCCTCAGCCACGATCAAGAGTAAGCAGCAACGAAGGGCATAAACGCGACGGGCCCACGACGTATTGCCTACATCTACTGACTAAAACAGCACACCACAACGTCGGAGGATTGCCTGAGGTACTGTGTTCCTAGTTTGACCCTTCAATGAGTTTTGGCTAACGGTTGACAGCGCATGTTGAATGGCGTGAGTTCACCTTTGACTGGATTGCTGGTGGCACTGATAACTAACCTCACCCATCTCAGCAAGGATTGCGTGTAAGTACCCAGCCGCAGTGTCCCACGTTTTCGTTATTATATCGTTTCTAACATGAATCTGCAGCTTTTGGAGCCCCTGAGGCTTTGCTTCAAGGTATGATCACCATCCAGCAACCTGCTGTTTATGTCTTCTGCCGGAACTCTGGTGCCCCCATGTGTTCACCTCAATTAACAAATGTTCAGGACGAGGTCAGAAAGATCGGTCAGGAGTTGGGAATCCACCGCGATCTCGTCATGCGTCACCCCTTCCCTGGCCCCGGAATCGCCGTGCGCATTCTCGGTGAGGTTACAAAGGAGAGACTGGACATCGCCCGCAAGGCCGACCACATCTACATCAGCATGATCAAGGAGGCCGGCATCTACGACGAGGTAACATTGAGATTCTGCCTACCTCGAATGGTCAATGAGCTGACACCGTCGTAGATTTCTCAAGCGTATGCTGGTCTTGACACCAACAAGGGTACGTATCACGGGCTATGCCTCCTGAGCAATGCGCAGGTCGGCTGGACAGGAACGAGTGCTAACCTCTTGCAGCCGTCGGAGTCCAAGGAGACGCTCGCGTCTACGGATACATTATCATGTACGTCCTCATCTACCTCCTCTTGAGCAACCGTACTGACTTCTTCTGTAGCCTTCGTGCGGTGTGCACTCGCGACTTCATGAGCGCCGAGATTTACGAGTTCCCGTGGAAGCTGTTGTCGGAGATCTCGCGCAGAATCGTCAACGAGGTCGAAGGCGTCTCTCGTGTGACATACGACATGTACGTTTTCCCTTTCCCTTCCGAGACTCCAACGGCAATGCTAATACCAAGAAAGTACCTCCAAGCCCCCCGGAACGATTGAGCTGGAATAAAGTTCTTGCTTCGGGATACTAGAGTAGAGGTTGCATAGATCATCAATAGACATTTGAGTTGGCACAACGCCCGCGACCATATCAGTGCCCGTTCGACGGCGAGAACTCGCTGAGTGATGTACTGAGCACCTTTGACTTTGCCGACTGACGAAGCGCGCTTGTCGCCCTCGGAGCAGCTGCTCGCTACGGCCGTTTGAACGTTGCTTCGGCCCCGGTCGAAGAGATGCGAGCAGTCATCCAGTATCTCGGATTCGTAATCCTACTATCATAACCCATCAGAGAAGAAATGGTCGATTTATTTTGGCGCTAACTCGCAAGGGTTCATGGGGAGAAGTTGAAATGGAGTTGAGCGAGACCTCGGCATCGACATCCTCCCACTTTGAAACACATAACGGGCGTAACCCGGGCCAACCGCCCGCCAGGAGGATTGGGCCGCAGGATTGCCGATATCTCCAGGCAATGTGGCCCTTCCAGACCCATCTCTGATCAGTGATATTCGCCTCATCTTTCGGCATGCAATGTATGGAGGCATCCTTCTGGGCCTCGTACGACTCGTGCTCCGGCTAGACTCATCCAACCGGATAACCGGCATCGCATCCCCAATCTGCCACGTACGACCAGTCGACCAAAAATACTTAAGGTTCGATCTGCGAGATTGACGTGAGATAAATTCAGGGTTCAATCAAACAACGGACAAAACCGTATAAAGCCATTCTTCCTGCCACACCAAACATCTCCGTTTGCGATCTCGCGATAGCATCACTCACCATGACTTCCTGGAAAATCGAGCCCTGCACCCTCGCCGACGCCCCGGCGCTCGCGCCCAACAACATGATGGCCTTCTGGGCCACCGACGCGAACTGGAAGCTCGGCTGGACGCTGCAGGACGTCACGCTCGACTTCCTCATCGAGAACTTCCACGACCGCATCCCCAACAACCTCCTCAAGGACCGCGAGACGCTCCGCCACTACAAGGCCGTCGACCCGGAGACGGGCGCGCTGATGGGCTACGCGCGCTGGATGCTCCCGGCGAGCTGCGCGGACTCGCCTCACTGGGCCGACGGGCAGATCGCCGAGGTCAGCGAGGAGGAGAGGGAGGCTATCAGGGTCCGGAACGAGGCGGCGTGGTGGAAGCCCATGCACATGGACGGCCTGGATGATTGTGGTCCGGAGAAGAAGCGCATTTTGGAGGAGGGAGAGTACATCAGTGAGTGACGGCGTTGACAATTATGGACTCTGTTGAGTATGATCCACGTCTAAAACGTTGCACTAGGTCTTGAGTACTTGGCTGTTCATCCCGACAACACGGGCAAGGGCGTCGCCTCGGCACTTGTCAAGCACGGCGTGGAGCTTGGGAAGAAGACCGGGGTGGATCTCTTCATCCTGGCCTTCCAAGCTGCTCTGAATATTTACAAGAGACAGGGCTTCAAGGTGATTCACTCGGCTTATCAGGATGACACCAAGTATGGGGGAGTTGGCTATTGGGTGAACTTGCTTACCTATGAGGTCGACAAGCCGAAGGATAAGAAGCCTGATGACGAGAACGCCGCTGAGCCATAATGAATCATGACTGGAAGCTGGCACTTTGACGTGATCTTTTCAGAGATAATGCTTACAAGCGTTCAGTAGACATCGAAATTATAATTGAACCGGAGGCCTGCGACCTCGAAATGAATTAGTTAGCAAACCTTGCCTGGAGGCACCACTGATGAAGTGAAGTCTTTGCTATCCTTCATTCAAATGTGTACTCATTGGGTATGGCGAGATGATATCAATGACCAGATTATAAGGGTGGCTGCATTGTATTGCGCGGCATATTGCATTTGTTTGCTATCCTTCATTCCCGATTGAGATGCACACTGCTTCTTACTTATTCTCGTCGATCGATGCCTCAAACTTCGCCCGTTTTCAGCCGCCGCCCTTGCGATTGCCGTTTCAACTATGGAAATATGCTTACTTTAAATTACAAAACCCACCTGAGTCTTCAAACTGCCTCGACTCAAGAAGGCCTGGTTGCCAGCGGGGCATGACCTGCAAGTTCACTTGAGAGTACATTGTGATTGGTTTCAAACCCGAGAAGATAAAATGCCTCAGTAATACAGTGAGTTATTGGCCAATTATCCACCAGTTAAGCTGCAAGCCAAGAGGTCATCCCACCCAAGCCTACTTTTTAGGCAGCCTTATGTTCGAGTTCCATGAGAAAGACCCTTGTTCCAATCTTGCTGCTTTCATCACTTCTTTCACCTCAAAGTCAACCACTTTGATTGTCTCGTTTCATGATAAGTGCATTACCCGTCATCGAGAACACTTCTAAAGCTAAAGATGAGGACAAAGAAGAAGGGCTGGATACCGCCCGCTTCAGACATCGACTACGAGATTCTTCGTTTGAAGCGAAGCCGGGTAGCTGGCGATGCGAAAGGACATTCGTGCGACAAATGCAGCGGTCTGTGGATCAAGCCATTACCCGAGCCCGATCAACAGGTTCTGCGGAAGATTCGATGGCACATGGACACCACCAAAGCAAAGGCTCGAAGTCTCGCCGCATCAGGCTGCAGTTTCTGGGCCATTATTCAGCAACGAATTGACTATGAGGACTTCAAGGTCGTTCTGGAGCAGCAATGCAATAAGTTCCCAGATGACCAGTTCAAGTACTCAAGATGGCAAAAAGAACACTACGAGGCGCTTGCTGGTACGTTGGGAGAAGAGATGGTGAAGGAATACCGTCGCCATAGTCGGCTGATGATCCATTTGCCTTGGCATACGGGGGCTTTGAGGGAATCTGAATTCGAATTGGATATCACAGAAGTCCCGGAGGATTTCATTCGAGTTCTGCTATCGTATGCAGATGTCAACGATTTCAACTGGGGAGGCTTCGATGAGAGGTCGGCGAAGGTGGAGCTTGACCTGCTGTTGCCCTCGAATCCAGCGGGAGTTCGATATGGGAGTCACCGATGGATGTCTCATTGGGTCACTTTTCTCCTTTTGGGACTCCCTGGTAAGTTACTCTGCCATTGATGAGCCCTGTCTGGGATTCTACGGCTGATCAATCACTTTCAGGTGACTTTGGCGACGTAAGACAAACGTACGTCGGATCGCCGGTCAACCTGAGCCCTGGGAATCCTGATTCGATGCAACTTTCTAGGCACTGGCTGAAAAGGTGTGAGACGGACCATGGGTGCGGCATCAACAGCTTGCCGTCTGCCATGCCGTCTTTCCTTCTAGATGTTTCCGATCCAAACCAAGTCAGCTTGGTTACCGTATCAGCTTCCATGAGAGAGCGATACGTGGCACTATCATACTGCTGGGGAGTAGGGGAACAGAAGACCATGTTGAAGAAAGCCAATAAATCCAGCCTCCTATCAGGGATCAGCCTGACTTGTCTCGACCCGACCGTCAGAGACAGTATTCAAGTCACTAGAGAGCTTGGTCTGCAGTTCATCTGGATCGACGCATTATGTATCATCCAAGATGACAACACCTTCAAGGCAAAGGAGTTGGGGAAGATGGGCAACATCTACCAATGCGCTACTTTCACCATCATCGCATCCGCGGCAAAAGATGTCACTCAGGGGTTCCTCAACAAACGAACTCCCACGGCGGAGAGAATAGCGGGAATGACCCTCGAGACCCAGCCTGCCTTCAGCATCGAAGCTCGTGGGAAAAGGGGGAAGACCATGGTCAAGAGACCTGTCTTGCTCACGCCTTCCCATCGCGAGTCCATCGAGCCCTGGTACAGAAGAGCTTGGACTTTCCAGGAGTTTCTGTTTTCACGACGCAGACTTCAGTACAACGGGAATCAGACGACATGGACCTGCTACTGCGGAGACACAGTCGCCCAGGAATGCGACGGCTGGGTGGGGGGCAAACCGAATACTCACCCGGGCCTCATTTACATGGACCAAGAGGTATTCGCCACTGCTATGGAGATACTGGGACAAAAGAAGAGCAGCCAAAAGTCGGTCTCGGCGTCTGAACTTCTAGAGTTGTGGTACAACCTTGTGAGCAGATACAGCGAGCGAAACTTGACATACCAGAGCGACCGCCTTCCTGCTATATCAGCTATAGCACAGGAGATCGCGTCGCTCCTCAACGATCAGTACATCTGTGGCCTTTGGGAGTCTGACTTTCTGTATGGTCTGTTGTGGTCCGATGGAGATCCTGGCGCGGACAAGTCGAAGCGTGGACCCCGTCCCACCAGTAGACCAAAGCCCTCATGGACCTGGGCATCTCATGATGGTGAAGTCGCGTGGACTAATGTGCACCTGGAAAAGACGAAAGACAAGTACTTCGAGATACTGCACAGAGATGTCCAGCTTAAATCTCCAGACGCCCCATTTGGCGAGGTCACTAAGGGCGAGCTCAGGGTGCGAGGGCTGATGCGATCTATCCCGCTACCAGCTGACAAATGCGCCTGGGTTAGCCCGAGCGGCCGTTCAATGATGATAGAAGACCATGAGATCATGGTTGAGCTTGACGACGACGATGATGCTAGGTTGAAGCCTGGAGCCCAGACAAAGTTGAGTTTGTTGGTCGTGGCTTACACGGGCCGTACAATAATTGAGGGGTTAGTAGTGATGGAAGATGGAAGTGGTAGAGACATGAACAAGGGCGAAGGTATCCGTGTTGGATGGTTTCATACAGAGAACTCGCAGCCAGGATTCAGCGAGTCGAAGTCAGGCGAGGATGAAGAGAGGGCGCGAGAATACCGAAAGCGGTTGAGAGCGCTGTGGGGTAGAAAAAATAATGTTCGTGAAATCGTGTTGCTCTAGTACTATAGGAATACAAGAGTCTTCTTGCAGAGTCTAGTGGATTGTATGCAAATGAGCCACTCAAAGAAACCATCGAAAGTCGGGACTGCGCGGACCGTCGCCGAGCCTTGAAGTCGGGACGTCACTCGCAGTGAGGTTGACACCCTGAGCGCGGTTCCGCCTCTTGTTGTCCCACATCATGAACAGACCAAGGGAAAGAGAACAGATCACACCCGTCCCTCCAAAAGCTGCCGCGGTGATCAGAGCTGGTGCATATTTCGGGGCGTCAGGCTTGCGGAAAATATTGCTGCTAACGAGGCCCATGAGATTCGCCAAAGGAACGCCGATAGAGGTCAGGAGCACACCTGTCACGCACGAGTCAGCTCACGAACCGCCAAAGAGTTTCTTGAAGGCCTGAAAATCTTACGTTGGTTTTCATTAACAACGTTGTTGTTGTACCATGTGGACAAGAGAACACTGGGAGCAGAAGTACCCCAAGTCATCATGAAGCATGCGTAGTACGCTAGCTTGATTTGACGCTCAACATCGTTGATGGCGGCGTAGATAACGAAGCCGATGAAGGTCAGAGAGAAGCCCAACGCAATGAAGGGGAATCGAAGGCGTCGCCAATCCGAGAGGAAGGCCAGAATCAGAAGCATCGCGGCACCGCTGACGTTCGGAGCGACGGTGTAGAGGTTCGTCTTGATGGGGCTGTATCCCAAGCGCTGAACGATCTGAGGCATGAAGAGAGCGACGCTCTGGAGGGGTACTCCGAGGCAGATCTCAATAGCAAGGAAACCAAACTGGTACAGTTATTGTTAGCGGGAATTTTCAGGCTATTCTTCGTTTGGAAAGTCTGCGGTGCGAACGAGATAACTTGCGAGAAAGACTTACTGTACTGGGGTGCTTGAAGACCTTGGCACTCTCCCGGATGCTCATCTTCTCTCCGACGACGGAAGAACTGTCCACTCGGACACGGTGGAAAGCGAGATGCTTCTCTTCTTCAGTAAGAAACTTGGCCTCAGCAGCGCTGCGAGGCAGGTACCAGAAGGCGAAGATCGAGAATAGAATCGTTGCAGAAGCCTCGATGATGAACAGCCAGCGCCAAGGGTACAGGCTGGTATTCCTAATATGGAACACACCGAAGGCGAGGAGTCCGGAGAATGCATTGGCCTACGTGTGACGATTAGCCTTGGATGGAGAACAGGACGCATAGAGACAGGAAGACTTACGACGTTTGACGCAGCATAGAACACGGCCAAGCGACGAGCCAGCTCACCGCGGCGGTAGAACGTTGTGAGGTAGTAGATGACCAGTGGAAAGAAGGCGCTCTCAGCCATTCCGAGAAACCACCTGAGTGCAAAAACACCACTGAAGTTTTGCGCGGCAGCCATGAGCATCGTCATAGAGCCGAAGGTGAACATGAGGATAGGTAGAACGACCGCGGCGCCGAACTTCTTGCCGATCAGGGCGACGAATGGGGCGGCGGCGACGAACGGGACGAAGAAGATGCTGACGATGAGATTGTATTGGCCGTCTTTGAAGCCGAGGTCGGTACTCATGCCATCGGTCTCGGCGTTTCCAATGTTTCCTTTATCAAGGGCGTTGAAGAGGTCTAATCTGCCGTGTCAGCCAAATGTCCAGAGAGTTCTTTGCGGGAAGTCGTGTCGGTTGCAAACGTACACATAACAGCAAGGACCGGCATAAGCCTGAAGTCCAGCTTACGACACAGGCGTCGTTCCAGTTCCTTGTCGACCACATGAACCTCGTCACCATAGATGTCGCCCTTTGCGGGGTCGACATCGTGACCGTCCGTAGAGCCTTCGCGAATGGACCCTTGGCGGTCTTCTGCGCGAACGATCTTGTTGTCCGCCTGGTCCGTCATGGTGAGTTGAGTCCGTCTCGAAACAGACTATTCAGACGGAGAGTCGTAGTGCGTGGTCGCGGGCTCAGCCGTCGTGTTGTGAGGGGAAATATGTTCAGACGACGGCACAGGGAGACGCTAGCTTAGATAAAGTCTGGTCGCACCAAGCCGGACTCAATTGCAGGCTTGTCATCCCCTTGTAAGAAACCAACCACCACATCTTATCAACTCGGCTACACGGAGAGTAATCCTCGGCTGCTTTGCGCGTGACGTTGGGGTAGTGCATTAATAGCAGCCAGAGATAAGGGTGATACTTGGGGTGGATCTGACTCCAAGTCTTTCCAGGATATCTTGATCCCGGCGAATGGGCTCATGAGAACCCCAGGTCGATCGACGCAAATAACTCTTTTCTGGGCTTTAAGCCACAACCTGGTCGTCGTATAAAAGGTGCTGATCAACATCCAATGACGGTCGCGTGAATGGCTGACCGCATGAGGACTTGGAAAGCGGCCAAACGGATCCAGGCCTGTAAGATCCCGCTCAGTCGTGCCACTGGAGAGAACTTCATGTTCTGGAACGTTTCTTCTCCGGCGCTCAAAAGTTCCCTCGGGATGCTGAATTCAGCCATACCCCGCATTCCCCAATCTGACCGCGACTTCGGCTTCACGCTTCATCAAATGTCTTCAGATGAGTGCCGGTGATCGTGGGTGGAGGTTCCCGGACAAGCTTTATCTGCCCGGCACCAAGACCGGTGGAGACCCGAACCCGAAGACGTCGGGGCCGTTTCGTGGGGGTCCAGACACACGAACGATTCGACACCACGTTTCTCTGATGACAAGCCAGCTTACATTAAACGTTACCTCGGACTTCTTTTAGTGCACCTATCTGTTTTGGCTGTTCGTATGTCAGTATGTATGGCCCACTTGCGGCAGTCCAGAAAAGATAAGCTTGAATGCGCTATCATGCAACACGAGTGCGGGGAATGAGAGATGATAAGACGATCGTACTTCCTCTCTCCGCGGGGAGTTTCTCGCTTCCGACAACGGAGTTCTGCCCGCGTCGTTTCGACTGAAAGTATGAATGAGTGAATGAGAGGATCATTTAGTTTGAGTACATAGCGAATTCAGTAATAGCCATTCTTATCCTGTGTTTTCTCCCTCAACAAACCCTCAGCTCAGAGTAACCACACCAGAAATCTGACACCTTACCACCCTTGCCACGGCTCGCATCAACCTGGACACCCTCTTCATCGCAACAAGCAACATGTCATCCGTCAAGACCCTCGTCCTCACCGATAAGGCTCCTAAGCCTCTTCCGGGCATCTACAGCCAAGCCATCATCGCCAATGGCATGGTCTTCTGCTCCGGCGCCGTCCCCATGGACCCCGAAACCATGAAGATCATCGACGGTGACGTCCAGGCTCACACCGTACGTGCATGAGATCCCCTGGCCTCTGTTCCGGCGTGCTGGTGAGCTAATCTGGGCTGCAGCATCAATGCATCAAGAACCTGACGGCGGTCTTGGAGGGTGCCGGCACTACTATCGATAAGGTTGTCAAGGTAAACGTCTTCCTGGCCGACATGGAGGACTTCGCCGACGTGAACGCGGTCTACTGCACATACTGGGGCGACGTGAAGCCTTCTAGAACGTAAGTTGAGAACCAGTTTGCGTCCCACTTTTGAATCGCTGCTAATGATGAACGATTAGTTGTGTGGCCGTGAAGACTCTGCCGCTTGGTGTGGATGTTGAAATTGAGTGTATCGCTGTGTTGTAATTGGCGTCACTAGTGAGATGAATTGAAATCAAATAATTGCTTGATCAAATCAACTGAGACTCACCTGGAATATGAATTGTATACTAATACCATGCCATGACGGTTATACTTCACAAGAGAAATGCCCATGCAACATAATGACCGGCTCCTAGCTAAGATTACTGCTGCCCAACCAGCACTGGAAGAAGTGAAGACATCACTCATGATTCATTGCTTCTGCCCGGACCACATCTTCTATTCATAGTATTTTGATCTCATGATACTTTTCATTTGTATGAGCTAGCTTCAGCCTGTAGCTCTTCCAAGCTCAAAGCAATTCGACCAGCTTATCAACAAACAGTGTGATGGCTCTCCGTCCGTCCTCCAAAGCCTCATCCATGGCAATGAAAGGATGCGGCTGGCCCTTCATGACATGCAAATCAACAGCAACGCCTGCGTCAGTCAACTTCTTGCCAAGCGCCTCACCCTCGCTTCGCAGTACATCTAGCTCGCCAACGACGATGATAGCAGGAGGGAGCTTCGTCCAATCACCCTCCCACAGCAGAGGACTGGCCTCAGGGTGCGCCCAGTCTTCCCTCTTGGGTAGGTAGTGATACCGATACCACATCATCTTCTCCGCGGGCAACGCGGGGGTGAACTCGTTCTCCTTCCATGATGCGTGCTCGGGCTTAGAGGACTCGACGACGGCCGTGTTGTCCGCCACGGGTACAGAGAGAAGCTGGACCACGATGCGCGGGATATCGGTACGGGTGGTTCCGCGCTGGCAGAGGACTGAAGTCAGGTTTCCGCCGGCTGATGAGCCGCTGAGGGCGATGCGTGATGTGTCGAGGTTGAGTTTCTCGGCGCCGGTAGAGATTGCCCAGAGGAGAGACTCCCAACAGTCATCAACCGCGGCGGGAAAGGGGTCTTCAGGTGCGAGCCTTGAAAAGAGTGTTAGCCAGATTCTCAATCATGCCACCGTGTGATTAACTCACCGGTAGTCGACGCAAAGCGTCACACATTTCGCCCGGTTGGTCAGATTCGTGGCGATAACGTTCTCGGTGTCGATGTTTCCCAACACCCATCCTCCACCATGAAACCAGATGCAGAGCGGCCATCCTTTCTCGGGCTTGTCTCCCAAAGGCGTGAAGGCGCGGACTAGGACGTCGGGGCCGGTCGTCTCTTTTCTCCGGATGTGAAAGTCCTGGGTGCTCGCAACCTCCAGCTTCGGACCGGCACCGGGAATGAGAGTTCCACTGGCGCGGGATGCTGAGATGGGTTGATGATGAACGACCTGCTTGTCGAAGACGTGCTTGTTGTAGAATTCCTTGTACTCCGGGTTGATGCGGTCGAGGACCGAGGGGTGCAGGGGATACGGTGGTTCAGGCATGACTAGGGCTGAATCGGGTTGAATCCACGAAATAGTTTATGGCTTGGCGATTTCGTTGGGCTGCTGGAATTGCGTTTTGGTGGTGTGTATCTTGCAGAGTGCTCCGATCTGGGCTTCTTTCTATGTGATCTATGTGATAGGACGATGTTGATGTTGACGGCTGCAGACGGGCATGCCAGGTCTCCGGTAAACGGCCGATAGCGTTCCCCGAGCGCAACAATGACCCCCACATAAGGTACTCCCCTCATTCATGAAGCGTTATCTGAGCGGAGAAAATGTGATGTTCATGAGGTATGCAATGTTGCATCATACCTGGAATTAGGTCCAGGTGCACATAAGTCCCCGCATTGTGCCCCTGTTTGAATGCTTGTTGGTACCAGCAACATCCGTGGTGCGATGTATCGTCGAAACATGGGCTAGACAGCTCACGGGATCTTGCTCAAGCACTTGCGAGCCTGCATTTTGCGGGGGAGTATGCGGAGAGCATGCGGCAGGATTTGTTTTACGTAGTCGCAACTCGCCAAAGAACAGTCGATGAGTCGAAAGATGCCGGGAAGGAAATGTTTTCCCTTGAGTCTTGTGCTGTCCTCGAATACCATTGATAGGACCCCGGGGAAAAGGAAGTTGCTAGTCTTGCGCGTGTCCTGGGGCTTCCGGAGCTTTCACAATTGGTGATGATCGACCATGCAGAAGGATCTGGGGATCCCAGTTTCACTGTCTCTGCTTGACGAATTGAAGTTACAATACGTCGCATATCAAACGCGGGGAAGACCAGCCCAGGCCGCCGGCACCTCGTGTCGATCCCTCGGCGCGAGCCGGCGGCGAGTAGGCGATTTCTTCATTACGTTAGCAGAGGGAATGGTAATGGACAGGCCTCGCCTGCGAGACGAGTGATGAGAGAGGTTCAAGTCGAGGACGCGGCATTCTGGTACCTCATCAGTCATGTCTTGGCCGAAGAAAAGTCGCACGAATGAATGGTTCATCCCGACTTCATCTTATCTACATGAGGTAGAGCCAGAACGCGGCCCAAATCGGGGGCACAAGGTTCAACTGAGCATAATGATTACAATGATGTAGGTAGGATATGAGGCTTGGTCTCTGACGGTTCGTCCGACGCAGGCCTGCCAGGTCGCCGTTGTATGTCTGATCATCTGCCATATGTGTGCCTGATCATCTGCCATCTGTGTGCCTGCTTAAGTGATTCTACCTAGGAGTCCTTAGAAGAACAGGTATCCGTTCCGACAACCTCATTTAACGGCGCAGAAGGCAGTACCTTGAGGAGCACTCCATCAGCCCATGGCGGAGATAGTTGCTTCCGAGTTACGATAATGGATTCCGTAGGTTTGGAGCCAGCAATGGCAGTAATTACGACCAAGGAATACACCACATCTAACCTGTAAAGCTCCACGGCCGACGCCAATGTCGTGGCATTTTGACAATTCCGTTCGTTATTTCAGGCGGAGTGGGTGTGTACCGCCGCCTCTGGAGTGGTTTAGTGGTCTTCTAGTCACGCCTTCAAGAATCATGGAAGTCAAGCCGAGAGTAACCGCCGTGCGCGTCAATTGTTGGTATCCGCATCTGTCCTCCGAAACTCCAAGTCCACTGTTATATCGAGCTTCGCGTCGGTCGCGATCGTACATCGAGTCATCGTTCTCCGTCGCCCGTCACCCCTTAGTCCACATCAACGCCACGCTTCCGCAGGTCGGCCTTGGCCTCCTCGATCTCCGCGACCAACTCCTTGTGCGCCTCGGGCACGTCGTTGAAGGTCATGACATTGTATCCGAGTCGTGCGAGCAGGTATGCGCCGAAGGAAACGAGAACCCAGAAGGGAAGCTGCGAGCACTTGGTTAGCACAGGTGTCCTTTCGCGAGACGGCCGCAAGGGTTCGCGTTCGCCGTCGACCTGTTGACGGTGGAGGGCGTAACGTACGACGGGGATGATTTGCTCCTGAATCTTGGCAGGAACGGGGACGAGCTGGAGGTAGAGAGCGAGGTAGACCTGTATTGTCGCGAAGGTTAGCACGGAATTCCGAGATCAAGGTGGGATACAGGGAGGGGTTGTACCGAGCTCACGAGGAGCGCAAGGGAGATGGTCTGCTGGGCACGGGTCATGATTGCTGTTGGTCAAGGGTCGCGCTTGTTGTCGAAGAGTGTTTTTTTTGATGGTCTTGCGTTAAGGGTCGGGCGCGGTAAAGGAGTGACTGGGAACTGAAGTTTGTCGCGATCCTGGATTCTGCCGATTTGGCGGTTTGCTGGCAATTGGGAAAAGGAGTCGCGAAGCTGTCCAAAAACGTGGTGGGTCTTGGAGTGACTAAGCAGAGCTCGGACCAGAAGTGACGCATGATAGGTACGTACCCAGCATCCCTTCACTTTCTTCTCTTTCACTCACTCAAACACTTCTCATCTCACTCAGAAACAGGTCTTCATCTTTTCACAAATGTCTAGGGTCCAATTGGTTTCCTCTCACAAATACCTCATATTAAATGCCAAAATCTTCCATCACTATTATCTTGGGCGCGGCGCTACTGTGCGAACTGTCGCCAATAGAGGACCCTCGTACCTGAACCTCACTCACAGAGATCTACTCAGATTACGACAGGTTTCCAAATCATCATCATGATAGTGGTAATCACCAGAGAGTATACTTCTCGGAAGCTTACAACAAGATAAATGACACGGATCTACTTCGGGCTGTCAGCACCCGCCTTGCCTTGCAACTCAATCGCGTCGACGATGTAGTTTGCGCTCAAGAACTCAGCATCACCGGTCCCAAACACACCAAGAGTGAGTGTGTTCGCGCCGTCCTTGAGGGCACTAGCCGGCACATCCCACGTGTAAACATCTCCGAAGCCGCGATATGCACCTCTCGTTACCCCACGGGAATCAATCAAAGTCTGGAACAAACTAATCAGCACCTTCTCACACCAATCATCACATCGAGTGACATACCGGGGCTCCAGGATCGCTCGCCTGCCAGTCGTTGATCTTCGCGTTCGGCCGGCCGCCCTTGAATGATAGAGTCGTTCCAACCCTCAAAACTACGCCGTCTAGTTGATCGGCCGCCAGGTTGAAATTGACCGTCGCAACACCGCCAGCTTTTGCGAACAAGGCCATCGGAAACTCCTTGGCTGACGATTTACCGACGGTGTGTGTTCCTCCCCAGCTCTCCATGCGTACGTCAGATGGATGCATCCGCTCAATCTTGTCACCGTTTTTCAATTCCATGGGCTTCCCATCAAATTCACCAATGCGCCAGATGGCCGAGGGCTTCGACTCGGTCGAAGCGATGTCTTTGGCAACCTTTTCACCAGCGGCAACGGTGACGTTGTCCTGCGCGATAGGGAACTCGTTGCGGTACAACTTCATGGTATACGTCCCAGGCTTCATGAGCGGCGAGGTGAACTTGCCATCAGATGCCTTCGTCCAGTACTGCGCGTCTGAGTTGAACCAGTGAACTACGGTCTCGGAGGCCCCGGTCACTCCGGTCACTGTGCCGGAGATGCTTCCGCGGCCGCTCTCCGGGACATAGCCTTCGAGGCTGAGAGAGTCAAAGAAGCTCGTATCCAAGTCGGCTGACGGTTGCGAGCCAGTCCTGCCATCAGTGTTAGTGACGAGTTTGAACGCTGGGAAATTGGGAGCTTCACGTGAAGCGCATTGCGTAAGGTCCCATGAGACCGAAACGCCACGGCTCAGTTCGAACATGGCCGCTGTTCATATACCAGTACAGTTCCTGGTCTCCTGTGCTCTGGGAGTTGATGTCTCTCATGAAAGGACCGCCAGCTGAGTGTTCATATGCGTTACCGGGCATGATCATCCAGACACCAACATTCTAAACGCGTCAATCAATGATCTCGCTCAACGTTCCAGGAAGGTTGCAGGACATCTTACATTTCCAGTCACACCATGGACCTTGTCCTCAATGAATCGGTCTGATGTGTACCTGTCCAGAACGAATGAGCAAGGACGAGCTTCATAAGCTCACAGCAGGGATTCTTCTCACATCTTACACCTAGTCGTGTTATCTGAACACCTAAACGTATCCTTCCCTTCGAAAGCCGTGCAGCCGTCGAGATCTGCCACGTCGCCGTGCCACCCTGTAGGGACTGCAGAGCGTTTCAGGCGAGCCAGCCAACGCAGCTCCCCGGGGCTGATCTCGCCGGTGATGTGCGTCGCCATGTAGATGGTTGGATCATCGGGCTTAGCGACATAGTAGTGAGTGAGGGGCTGTGAGCCGGCCTTGACGGTGATCTTAGTGAGGCCATTCACGGTCTCGGCCGTCACCGTCGATTCGCCCAGGCCGGAGTTGATGTGTGAGTTTTTGGAGGTTCCTTGGTACTGCACATCGTTGTAAAGGAGACTCGTGATGTCGCCATTGGATCTATACGCTTCATCAGTAAGGCCACGTGGTGGATGCTTCGGTGGGAGGCATACTTGTTCACTTCAAACACCAGACCGCCGTTGGTGTCTACCTTGTAGGTGGCGTCACCCGTCGTCAGGCCAAAAGCAGCTTCGGTCGTGGCCCAGAAGGACGACAAGCCAGCGAGGAAGCTGATGTAGTGCATCACGGCGTCGAATCGAAGAATCGCAGATCAGGTTGCTAGCTCCCGTGAATAGCTGCAGATCATGGTCGGCAATCACACTTGAGGACATACCGGCTCACACGAGCTTTAAAGCGCTAACTGCATCGGCTTTCTCGCCGTCTCATTTCGCCGAGAGGAGACGCGTCGTCGTGGTCGAATTTCTCCGTATAAATTCACCGAAAAACCTAAAACCGTGAGAAGCAACCGTTTCTCCTCCACTGTCGTGTTTACATTGAGCAGTTCACCCCTCATTTCATTCGAAACCTTCTTCAGCCGCCCTGCCCTGGAAACCTCACGAACTGAGGTGGTAGTGGCCGTGAATCATGACGCGATTAGCTCGAGCTATGGTCACACTCGGTCATTTACATGCAACGTCCCTGGAAGAATAAGCATTCGGCTAAGTCGGGAAGATATGAGCTTCTTTGAGTCGCGCAAGATTGAGGGGCTCAACACGCTGAGTCGAGTCGTCAAGTTAAAAGTGAAAGTACTATGATACACTGCAACCTTGTTGATGGTTTTTCTTTTCACAAATGATCGGTCTGATCTATATCTTCGACTTCATCTTCGCCTTCTCAGTCTCCAAGCGAAATCTCTTGGTAAGTTGCCGGACGGCCAAGTCGAGCAACACATCCTCACTACCTCCCGGGATTCTCGCACCTGGAACCTCGCGGTAGATCTCTGCGCCACATTGGTCAGTATCATCTCTCGGAACATCACTGCGCAGCATCACTTACTCTCTACAATTTCTCCCTTTCCAGAACGCGTGTATCCGTTCCCGCCAAACAACAAAACGGCGCATCTCGCACACTCATCGAGAACGATTCCGGCATTGGCTTTGCACAGGGCAGTCAGACCGCCCAGCTCCTCGTCCGCCACATGCTTAGGCATCTTGGATAGCTGATACGCGAAGGACTCAACCCAGGCGTACTGCGACTCCAGTATGGCGCCGCATTTCGCCAAGCGGTGACGGACCACGGGCTGTTCCATGAGCGTCTTCCAACCAAGTCGTCAGCATCATCTATTCCCAAAATTGCAGAGCTTGGAATGTCCTCATACCTTGTCGAAAGCCTGACGCTGAAGACAATACTCGAAAGCGGCGCTCAGCGCCACTCTCGCCTGCCTCGTCACCCCAACCGCAATGAGCATGCGCTCGTGGTTGAAGTTGTGCATGATGTACTTCATCCCCTCGTTCTCGCGACCGATCAGGTTCTCGCGCGGCACGCGAACGTCGTCCAGCTCGATGAAAGAGGTGCCGGCGCTGATCTGCCCGGCGACCTTGAGACGTCTTCTGCTCACGCCGGGCTGATCCTTCAACGGCACCACCAGAAGCGAGATGCCCTTCCCTCCCGAACCTTCGCCGCCCGTGCGAACGGCCATGGTTGCGTAGTCGGCGTAAACTCCGTTGGTAATCCATTTCTTGGTTCCGTTGATGATGTACTCGTTTCCCTTCAGCTCGGCGATTGTGGTGATATTCGCGACGTCGGACCCGGCGCTGTTGGAACAGGCGTGAAAGGGTCAGACAGCCATGCTAAATGATGATCAATGATGCGGTATGTGTGTCAACTTACTCAGGCTCAGTGATCGCAATGCAAGTTCTCTTGCGGCCAAGCAAAAGATCCGGGAGGAACTTCTCCTGCAGTTGGGGGTTGGCGTAATGAAGCAAAGGCGGAACCCCGAACGCAATGCCGGTGTTGATGGAACCGGGCGGCCCCGCAAGTCCAGAGCGACTCATCTGTTTTCCGTCCCATCAGTATCAAAACTTGACACCACATGTAAAAGTCCTTTTACCTCATCGGAATATATCATGGTATGCACGGAGTCCCACTCCTCTATCGGGACCTCCCCGGGCATATGGGTGATGCCGAGCTTTCGCAGCCACTCGACGGGAAGAGGAGCCGGGAGCGCCGGGAGAATGAAGTTGGCCTTCGCGAACTTCTCAAACAGGTCGGCCGGCACCTCTTCTGCCGTCTCCCAATCGAGGGCATGCTTGTGCAGGTTCTCATCAAGGAACTTGCGGCACGCGGCTTGGAACCTGCGGTGCGAATCGTTAAAGATGGGCGACGGCAGGCCTCTCAGCCACGGCGGGTCTGCGAAAGGAACGCGGGACATTGTGCACTAGTGGATCGAGCAGAACGGAGGCGTATGAAAGTTGGCACTCTTCCAAGTTCACGGTGCACACGACAGATGGCAAAGAAGAAGGGTCGCATATTCAGCCAGGGGTTGTTTATGATACTCCAATTGCCTGAATGTACCTCGGCATCTCAAGTGCGGGGATGGGGCTGATCACTTGGAGCTCGGGCCGGAGCGCTGGCTCATGCACTTCCGGGCCCGGGGCGACCTCCGGACCCCACCTACCCGGTCTGTCGGGAGAAAGGTACGGATACGGTTCATTTGGCAGTTCTCCGACGTTCCGAAAAGTGCCACGTGGTCTGCGTCGCATGGCAGCGTCTGGAACAGCCCGTCGGCGAGAGTCTGGATCAACCTTTCGGTGAGCCGGGTTGGTGATGTCCGAGATTTACATCAGACCAGCGATCGTGAGAGCTGGAGGTCGGTCTAGACTGGTCCAAAATCTGCCAAGAGATTACCATATGGACATGGACTTTCATCTACAGCCACGAAGACGAAACCGAGAACATCTTCACAGCATGACACGAAGCGACCTGAGCTCAAAGTTTCCGGATATGCTGATCGAGATAGGTTGTGTGTTGAATAATTTCTCTGAGGTCCTTCATCCTCCTCGATTCATCAGAAGATTCATGAAAAGAAAAGACGAGATAAACTACGGTTGCGTGTAAATGCAAGACCGGTAGAAATATAGAAAAGAATGCGAACGTCCAAGACCACGCCGCACATTTCCTCAGGGTGCGCCTGACTCAAGACGAACTTCGTGACATCTCAACCCCCCACAAGGCATCGCCGCTCGCAATCTTACAGCGGGATATCGGCAACTGCGCCCGCACCGCAAAAAGCCGCGCTGAAAATCACGACGTGTTGTTGTGAAGGTAGTGGAAAATCCAATCAACCCAGTAATTAGGCTCGGGCAGGGTTCGGTAGTTCCAGCCCATCGGTTCTCCTGTGGGATAACGGCCAGGAGCACCCCGAGTCAAATCGAATATGATTGACGATTTCATGCATGAAGATGTCGATTGTTGGCTTGATCAATCCAGACGGCGATCTCCTGAGCAGAATATCGGACGGCATGAAGAACTGCTGCTCACAGCCACGGCATTTCATACAGAGGTAACGAGACGCATGGTCCAACGACTGTCAATAGTATATTGCGCCAAGGGTCGTCCCCCGTCGACTCAGGAACCTTCATGGATATCCATGTCGTCAATGAGTCGTTGACATTCTTTCACTGAGCATCAAAAGGCAACAGCCGCCGCCGCAAGTGGCTTCAATTGCTGCGTGATCAAGAATATCTAGTCCCTCGCGTCTCTCGTTCCAAGCATCTCTAGCCACCAAGTTTCAGAAACTCTGCCAAACCACGAACTCATCATGAAGTTTACCGCCGCTCTCGCCTTGGTTCTGATGCAGACCGCGTAAGTGCGCCCTAGCGCCGCGCTGCCGTGAAGCTTAATCAACTTTGAGTTCTCACTAACTCCTGCAGCCCGGCATTTGCTGGATACCTCTGCGTGATGTCGGACGGAAACCCCAACCCAGGCACCAGCATCTGCACCGCGGCTGGCGGCACGCCTGAGAGGACTTACCCTGCGGCGGTGAGTGCGAATGGTTTCGTTCGAGAGACTTCAGCGCTAATGAGTATCAGTGCTGTCTTGCCGATAGTAAGAAGGGCTCTTACGAGAATGGATGCAAAGACAACGGCGGTATTCGGGCGCAGTACACTTACATCTGCTAAGTGGTTGACTGGCGTGGAGGGGATGGTTTAACATAATCCTGTCTTAGTACGACAACATAATGGCATATCGGATTCTTCAAAATTTTGATACGACCTTCATCACTGAATCAATGGACAGGATTTGTGACACGGGTGCTGAACCCTGGTGAGTCGCGGCGTTGACGTAGACCCGCAAGGTCGGCATGCGAAACACTTCTATGCAGCACCAGAAAAGGGTTGTGCGATGAGGTCGAAACCTAGAAATGTTCGGAGGCCTTCAGAAATGAATCGTTAACACGTTTGTCTCATTCTCGGTACACTTGACTCCTAACTATGAATCACCCAGCGCCAAAATCATCCTCTCCTCTTCAAGACGATTAAGCAATCTTGTACACGAGCTTTTCCGCGCTAACACCACCCTTCTCCTGCAACTCAAATCCCTTGGGGATATCTTCAAGGCCACCGAACTCCTTTTGAGGGTTCGGCTTGAGGTATCCCTCTTCCAACCACTTAGGCAGCACCTGCAAGTACTTCTCCCAGAACTTCTTGTCCCCAGATCGATCTCCGGTGAGGTTGTCGAAGGGACCATACTGAAGGGGCTTTCCGAAGACGGTATACGCCAGCGTGCTCTCGACCTTCACGTACGAAGGCGCGCCGACCTCGTCCGCCTTGCGGGGGAGGATGCACATAACATGTCCGCCCTTGGGTGAGATGGTCTGCACGACGGCCTTGGTGGTGTCGACCTCGCTAATGCAGTCAAAGGCGTATTTCAGGTCATCGTTGGCCGCCTTCTTCACCTGCTCGACCCAGTCCGCCTCCCGGTAGTCGATGGTGACGTCGGCGCCCAGACTCTTCAAGAGATCATGGTTCTTCTTGCTGCCGGTCGCGATGACGCGGAGACCGGCCTTCTTGGCGAGCTGCACGGCGTACAAGCCCACGCTGCTCGTTCCGCCGTTGATCAGCACGGGGAAGGGCTCCGAGGCGGGGGACTCGGGCGACGGCAGCGCGAGACGCTGGAACAGGGCCTGGGTGACGGTCGCGACGGCCAGCGGCACGACGGCGGCCTGGGGGTCGGTGATGGAGTCGGGGACCGGGAAGACCAGGCTGCTCTCGGTGATGAGGTACTGGGCGAAGGCGCCGCGCGGGGGGTCGATGTTGCAGCCGAAGACCCAGCCGGCGACGCGCTGGCCCTCCTTGAACGATGAGCCGTTGGGGTTGGCGACGCTGCCGGCGAAGTCGCAGCCGATGATGCGTCCGGTCTCCTTGGCCGCGGCGGTGGACTTCCAGTCCGTCGGGTTCTGGGCGACGTAATGGACCTTGACGAGGATCTCGCCGGGCCCGGGCTGGGGGATCGGGATCTGGGTTAACGTTAGCATCAATGCGGGGTTGTTTGATGATGCATTTCTGATGCGTTTGTTGGGCGAATACCTCTTGGACCTGGCCGGTCTTATCGCCCTTGGTGACGAGAGCCTTCATTGTTCCTGCCATGATGATTTTGTGTGAAGGAATATGGTGTTTCAAACTGATGTGCACTATTGAAATTAAGAGGCTTTCACGAGTTTTATCCGTTCGAACAGCAGATAAGTGGGGAGTGACGTTTAAGTCGAGTCTGAATAATTGACTTCATGATGAAACGCTTACAAATCTTGCATTTGTAACTTGGGCTTCGCTAGGCACTGTCAGCGGAGATAATTATAAAGGCGTGGAATCCGCGGCTGGATGTTGGTCGGTTGTGCCGGGTCATCCCCACACGTCAAAGCGGGTGATCGGACGATGCGTCGAAACTTGGTTCCTGGAATCCAGATGGCACGAACATCAAGGGCTGCCGGGATGGCACGATGAGAAGTTCTCCAAGAATGTTCCAGTAAGATATCTTCGCAGAGCGGATAACTAGAACTGGGTCTGATTGATGTCATTGTTTATGTGGCAAGGTTATGACTCGTTGATTGGCTTCGCAAAAGCTGAATCAGTATCGTGGGCTGCTTCACAAAAGCAAAAAAGGAAAACACACGAGAGCAAAAATGATCGTTCCGAAACCGAGAATCGAACTCGGGGCTATGCCTAACCTCTCAAGTTCATGAGAGGGCATCATGTTGGCCACTACACCATATCGGATGTGACGATGTGGAGTATGGTCGGAGCCGGGTTCATGAGGCCCGTTCCGAGAACTGTTGTGGACGGAGCCCGTCCACGGACGCACAGAGAAAGCTTTCCATAGGCTCCTTCAGCAAAGCAAGCTTTTACATCTCATTTACACCCTCAGCTGCTGTAGAAATAGCCGGGTCTCGTCCTCGAACACGCTCATCTTGGCACCGGTGATCACTGGCTTGGTAGCCCAACCATTGAAGCTTAGTTATTCTACGGTTCAACTCGTAGTCGAGACGGTTCCTCAATGGAGATTAGATACAGTCGTATGAAGCCGCATCATCCGGGTCAGTTCCGACGAAAGTCAGAATCTTCGGATACATGCAAAGGTTCACCTTGCGAGACTCGCTCGAGTTTCCCACAGCAGCTCCCTCGCCCGTCAAAGTCTCCGGCGCAGTCCCGTTCTCTACCCAAGCCCTCAGAGCATCGAAAACGTAATCGCTGGGGTCGAACCCAGAGCCGCCGCCGCAGTGTGAGACACCAGGAGCAGGGAAGAAGCGGTAGTAGTCCTCGACGTTGGGGTCCCAAGCCTTGACCCGGTCGTAGTAGTCGACTGTGCCGTTGTAGGGAATCAGAGGGTCCTGCATGCCGTGCCAGGTGAGCATCTTGGTCCCGCGCTTCTTGAAGTTCGTGAGGTCGACGTTGTCCGTTCCGATCGAGGACGTGTACTCGTCCACGGAGATCCGGTGGAGCTGGTCGAAGCGCTCTTGCGTGATTCCAGAGGTGCTGATGCTCCACGTAGAGTTCTTCTCGAGGAAGACGCCGAACCAGTCGTCGGTGGCCGAAAACGGAGCGTACGTGCAGTTGTCGACTGTCGTGCAGGTTGGGTTGAAAACACCAGTCAGAGGGGCATCCTGGTTGAAGCCGTACCAGAAGAAGTTGCCGTCTCCGCTCCGCGGTCCTTCCCAGAAACCATGCACGAACTCCGCCATCTTCTCGCTGATGGTTACGGTCGCGTTCGGGTTGGTGCATGCAACGGTCTGGCCGACAAGAGACGTGGCGTTGAATTTGCAGGAGCCAGGAAGAGAGATGATCTTGTCCTGGACACCATCCAACTCATCGCAGGCTTCGATGGCGGCGTTCGTGAAAGCGTTGAGAACACAGGCCGGAGGGACGACATCTGCCGATTCGTGTCAGCTAACTCTCAAACCAAAGTAAAATTGCAGCACCTACCCAAGTGCTCAGCCAAGAAAGCGGGATACAAAGAGGCTGTCTGGAACTTCTGCCAGTTGAACGCCGAAGCTGAAGCCAAGATGCCGTCAAAATGCTCGGGAAACCTCTGGGCCATCATATGTCCCTGCCTTCCTCCAGTCGAACAACCATTCCAGTACGAATAAGTCGGGTCCTTGCCATAGTACAGCTGCGTCGCGGCTTTGCCGAGCTTGGCGGCTTCATCGAGCGCGACAGAGGCGAAATCGTTGAGGGCCGGCCAGTTGACATTGCCCTCGCTCACGAGACCCCAATCCGCAGTCGCAGCGGTAGTGTTGTGACCTCCATCGGTTGAAGAAGTCGAGTACCCAGATGCGACTGGAGAGATGATGACGCCCGCTCCTCCCGCCGTCCATCCACCACCGCCGCTCATCATGAACCTCGAGTTCCAGTTGGCCGCATCGAGGGGAAGACCGATGTAGGTGTTCACGTTGTCGCCTTGTCCGGGATGGGTGTACTGGATGGAAATTCGGCACAGGTCGACGCCGGAAGCTGTCTCCCCTGTTGGGGCCGAGATGATGCCGACTCCGACGCCAGTACCCGCATCCATGCCGGTGCTCAGGGACTGGTTACGCAGAGCAGCGACATCGAGAGAGATGATCTCGATGTTGCTCAGCGTGAGCGCGGCAAACGCGGCGGCGTTGCAAGCACTGGAGTTCTGAGCGTTCACGGCCATCGTTGCGCCGAGCATCGACAAGGCGAGAGGCAATCGGGCAGCCATGTTTAGCTATGAAGACCTGGTCGCGTCTGGCAGGACGGGTGAACGAAGCGACTCCATGAAAACGTGGCGACCTGCACCCCAGACTGACTTATACTTCGGTCGCTCCTCCACGCGAGTTATTCAGGGGTTTCGTTCGGCACGATGACGGACACAACAATCAATATGCCATGCCTTGGCAAGCCTACGTCAACGTGCGGCCCGCTGGACGCTCCATCGATACGACGACAGCCAGCTTCTTGTTCCGACAGGTAATCTCCGATGTTGGAGCATCGTGTCGCTTCTCCTCTTCGGTTATACCACCCGAGCCCCTTTCTTCCCTCGGGACCTGCCTTCTTCGCGGCTCGGCAGTCCAACAAGTTTCCTTCTTCGGCGGCTCACCTGCAGCTTGCGCAAGCCGATGGGATTGCCGGTGTGGAGGACATCCCTGCTGGGTACGACGATCTCTCTTGAGAGTCCCGCCCCCACATCCATTTGCCGTGGACAATGCCGCTCTCTCGCAAATTGCCTGCCCGAAAGCGCCGAGCAGCCGTCGTCGATTTAGACTTGTTTGGAAGCCGCTATCGCCGGCTGCTGCGCTGACACTGAAAGGCGCGGTTTTGATGTCGTCAGCGATCGGGCCATCTCAGCTGGTCCTTCTCGTCCGAACAACCTCGTGGCTTTGGCTCGCATCAACCCCACACGTTATTTCAGCCTGGAAGTCTCAATGCTTAAGATGAACTCGTGGCCTAAGCGCGACATGCCCAGGGGGTTCTTTTTCTTTCAATAAAAGGCACGTTCTACTCAGGCTATACAGCTTAGTCAATTGTTTCGCAATAGGTCTTACTAACTACAATTGCTTTAGGCTACTTATATCTCATACGCAAGAATAGCTATAGGTCAGACCGTTCTTCCGCCCCTCATCAACAAGAGCCCCCAAAAACGTTGATGGCATCTTCTCTTTAAGAGAAGAGCAGCCACAAGTATCATTCAGCATGAACGGCAAAAGGATTGGACGCTCAGGGAATTGAACCCTGGACCTTTCACAGGCGCTTTACCAGGCAGCGAGATGACAACGTTGTGTTCTCTCAAGCTCACCTTCTGTGGTGAATGCGAAGCGAAAATCATACCCCTAGACCAAGCGCCCTTGGTGTGATGACAAATCAAGACGCTAGTTGTCCTAAGTCGTGTGGATCTCATGGCCAGCGGTCAGTGTTGGCATCCAGGTGCAGCTTCACACAGTTCTGTGCGTGTCTTTCTTAAACAATGGTGTGGCTGGTTCGAAATTCTCTTTGTAAAGTGTTGCGAGACGCAAAATAGGCCAGAAAGTAGCAAAAGAGCCGGCAAATCCGAAGGGGAGGTGGTCTCCTACTCGGGCGAGTCATGCGGGACAGGGTTGCGGGATGAAGTCAACAATTGTGGCTCGGAGGTGAATGTTTTTCTTGTTTTGGGGACATGCGGATCTAAATTGATAACTGAAGTCAGCATGCCGATAATACGAGGACTGAAACATAACATTCCTCGATGGGAGAGCCACTTATTTCATGCTGGCCTGGAATACTGCCATGTTTAGACGCCCAAAATGAGTTTATTGTTGGTGAATTTTTTTTTTCGAACTAGAAGGATACGGCTTTCGCGTTAGATCTTGTGAGGAATTGTCTACGATCAAGCAATACGAGTACAAAAAGGCTGCAGGCCCACCGGCATATTCGACGATATAACTGGAATGGCCCTCTCTGATACGAGACTCGAGGGCTTTAGTCCCTAGTCTTCACCAGCAGGAGCCTCAAGCTGTGACAAACTTCCGTGATTCTTCCGGAAGTTGGACTTAACGGCGGAGGAATGATGAGGCTTCACCACAGAGGGAATGCACTTTTCCCCAAATGTTTCAAACATTGGCTTGTCTCAGACATGGGTTAAGTCAAGCAACTCATGGGGGGTTCGCGACTTCATATGACCTGCGATGGTCCCTTTCCCGCCGACCATCCCCGGCTTACATCTCGCTTTCGCGGTGAGCTCAGGTACTCACGATGTCATACCGAGGCCCCCAGAAGAACCCGTTGATCGTTCTTTCTGATGGATCATGGAGCGGACGAGACGCTGGGTCGAAGTCCAACCTCTACCTTCTCGCCAACTTGATATGGGGTGGCAAAGGGCTGCCGAGAGACGATGACCGCGCCCACCTTCACCCAACAGGAAAGGTGCACTACACCAACAGTGTCCCAGTCGGCAGCACATTCATGGAGTAAGTTCATCGCCCCAGAAGGCTCTCGATCATGTAAGGTGACGGACAACGACTGACGCGGTCCATCTTCCAGCCAAGTCTTTCACGGCCTCAACGTCCAGGACATCGAGCAGCAATGCATCGACACTTACGAGTTTCTCGTATACGGATTCACTCCTCTAGAGACCGAGATCTGGATGTTCGGCGTCTCCCGCGGTGCATTCATCATCCGATCAGTCGCCGGCATGATCAACAATTGCGGCATCATCAAGCCCTCGTACCAAGCCAACGGCGAAGTCGACGAGGATAAGACCCATCAAATGTGTCAGGAGGTCTACCGAATCTACCGAGACCCGTCCGACATCAACGCCCCGAAATCCGAACAGTCCAGGCAGTTCAGGTGGATGTACAGCTGGCCACTCATCGGGGATGGCGAAGTCATAGACTCGCCCGTCAGATTCATGGGACTCTTCGACACAGTCGGCGAGCGCGGCATTCCCGAGTTCGCAAGCGGCATGGGCGTCGACTGGCCGAAACTCTACGACCAGCACGTCTCGAGCGTTGTGTCCGACGTCTACCATGCCGTGTCGCTTCATGACCGACTGTACGCCTTCCAACCGTGCATGATCTCCCGCGACACGGAATACGGTCCCTCGTACGGCATCACGGAGCGATGGTTCCCTGGAACACACTACGACGTCAGTCGTCAACGATTCAAGCTCGTCAGGGATGTACTCCCTCAAAGACTTCAGGCTCTTCTGCCGGCCTGGACTTGGACGAGTCAGACGCTCAAGCCGAACGAGGTTCTCTCCGACCTCGTTCTCAAGTGGATGCTGGAGTGCGTCGGCGAACACGACCCGTCCGGCTTCGTCATTCCGAAGGGACATCTCTACCGCGAGTTGGACAGGCTGAAGTACAACATCCTCTCGGCGAGGAAAACCGGCGACGGAGATGTCTACGACTCCATCGTTCGCTTTGTTCCTTTCGGCCGTTATCTGGATCTCGCGCTGTCGACGGTCTTTGGCAAGTGGCAAGAGAGTCAGATTTACCAGCTTCTCTTTGCGTGTAGGCCGCGGCAGATTCCTGAGAACAACGCGTCTGTGTACAATTATCGCAACCCCGACCCTGATCTGGATGGAAGAATCATTCAGAAGTTGGCTGGACTGCCTGGTAGCTCAGCGGATCCCAAAAGAGAGGTTGCTTCTAGGTACCCCTCCACGACATATGACCAATGGTGGCTGGGACGCTCTTGACGGCATGAGCAAGCCATGCAGCTCTACCTCGGGATGATGAAGCGCAAGACGAGAAGAATTTCGTAACCTACAGCGAAAAGTCTCATTTGTAATATTTGTCGATTAATGCCTACGTAATGTTAATTTCAATATTTCCACCTATCGACTTGCTGCTTCAAATTTGCCTTTTACGAAAGCCGTCGAGGCATCTCAAGCCGAACGCTATGCGCGAGTGTCAAGTTATGAAGTGCATATTATGCTGACTTGTTAAATGAGAATACATGGAGATCGTATGCATCGCTTGCTAAAATCAACAGTTGGAAAGACGGATCTGACCCTCTTTGCGCCTCCATGGTGTGAACAGACTCTTCGCCCAGTCCCAGGCGTGAATAGAAACGCTCAGCGTTCCGAACATGAACAAGGGTATCAAGGTATTAGCAAACATATACAACATTCCGCCGGACTGCTTCACAATGTAAAACAGCTCTCCGCGCATGATGCGCAGAGACTCTTCTTCGTTCTTCCAGGGCCCGACGAGACGGAACTTGCAGTTGAAGTTGCTTCCCATGGCCCAGGTGTAGAGGGCACGGAATCCTTTCGGTAAAATATAACTGAATCGGGGGGCTGAGCCTATATCGAGCGCCAGTTGGTAGACGTAGCTTTCGTGGTCGACACCGCGCTTCTCGGCCCACGGATCCCGACCGCATCGAGGGTGTAGCTTCCAGTCGATATCGTAGCCGGGCAATGCGTTGGGATCGATGGGTAGGCCGTCCGGTGACGGGGCGAGACCGGGTACGTTGGGGTATTTCGATTGAAGGAGACGGAAGATCCAAAACTGGGTTTGCATCTCGGCTAGCGTTGGAATAGCCCCTAAATCATGTTAGCACCTATTGCGCTGGCATCGACAAAAATGAACAAAGATGGCTCACCCAGGTTAGGTCGAACAAAGCCAACAAAGCCCACAGACACATCATTGCTGTGGTAAACAGCCCGAACATCGGCCGAGTCAGGGGTGCCATAGCTTTCGTCGAGGAAAGGGAAACGGCGAGTGTAACCCGTCGCGAATATCACCAAGTCTGGTTTCACAGTAATTCCTTTCATCCTCTCGGCCTCTGGTCTTCCATTGTCCATAAAGTGCATCACACCATCGTCGTCGACGTAATCAGGCCACGGGGCGACATCGATGTATCGGCCTTTCGGGTCAATGTCGAATTCCTTGATGTAGAAGAAGAATCTCCGAATGCGTTCCTTTAGGGAAAGGGGCTTGCGCCAGGGGGCTGAGATGTACGGGATGGCTCGAGCAGACTTGGCTGGGAAGACTACGGCTTTGGTAAGTAGGCAGATCCCGTAATCATACATCATGACAGAACTTACAGTGGTCAATGTGCATCCTCTCACGACGCATGCCGCCGACCAGTTGGTCCCATCCTTCGAGTGTCCCGCCGATGAGAGAGAAAGTGACGTCGATTTGTTGGTTGTAGAAATCCCACAACAATTGGCTCGATTGCAGCCTTGAGGGAACGTAGGCGGTATCGAAGAGGCTGGCGATCGAGCAGTCGACGGGTTTCTCCCTGGTCTTTTGACCTTTGCCCCAGAACCCAAACATGACAGGAGCTGGTGCGGTCTATATCCGTCAGCGTAGTGCTCAGTCAACTAGACTCAACAGCTTAACAGACCTTGGGCGCGACGATGAAGCCATCACGATGGCACATAACAACATGCTTGATGTTCTCCGTCGTCACCGTGATCTCGCCAAGATCCTGCGCGGTCTCTCCCGTTCCGACGATAACAATAGTCGGCTTCTCGCTTTTGATCGCCCGGAGCTGATCTCGGGTCTTGAACTCTGAAGAGTGGAGCACCTTCGGGACTCTTTCAAGTCCTTTTACGGGAGGGATTCGGGGTTCGACGTTGAGGCCGGAACAGACGGCGACGGCGTCGCATTCGTAGTCGAAAGGGGCGCCATCACGGGGCTTTACGGTAACGATGTGCCCTCCATTTTCTGTCCGCCGTACACGAGTCACTGGTGATGAGAGTTCAATGTGTTGACGGAGTTGAAAGCGGTCGCAGTATTCGTTAAGATACTCCACGTAACGTTCTGGCGTAAGATAATCAGGGGCATCTAGAGGCAAGCGGTGATCGGAGAAGGCGGTTAGGAACTTGGATGACACAAGCTGTCGAAGATACTGTCAGCTTCACTGGCCTCACTGACAAGAGGCCGAAGAAACTTTGCGCCCGAGGCGTCTGACTTACCTCAGCATCCTCATACACTCGATACTTGAAAGTCCCTCCAATGTCGTCCTCCTTCTCAAACACCCGAACCTCGATAGGCTCAATGGCAAAGAACTGATGGGCCCATTTGAGATACCGCGTCGTTGCCAGACCCGCGGGTCCGGCACCGATGACAGCTACTCTCAGTGTCATCGCGTGGTCGAGACTCTGAACGTGCCCTATCCGCAGGGTCCTCCGATGTCATGAAACATCAAACGGGCGGAGGAAGAATTTGGGGAAAGGGACACACCCTTCACCGCCACGAGGCAACGATCGAAGAAAACGAAAAACGGGCAGAGGTCGGGAGGGTAGTGGAAAGCGCAATCTACCGCTGATGGGACGACGGGGGAAAACGGCGGAGTCTTAAGGCCTACCACAAGTCCTCCTCTAGTCTCGCACAGACAATGAGACTACGGGATGGCGGCCCTTCTAAAGACGAGACCGAGAGGCGAGGAGGGTGTGGCAGGGTCCGGTCTACCTGTTCCTCTCACTCTAGACGGTCTTCCCCCATGGCCGCCGCCGTCAACACTCGAGAAATCAGGACAACCCTTACATGAGGTCCAGCCCTGATGGAAGAGGAATAGAACCGGGCCTAACACCGAGCTAATGGATCGGTCACCCTACGTCCGTACTTTGCGAACCCGGCCAGCTGGACGCGATCCTTAGCCCCCCCTTTGGCGAACCCAATTGTGAGGTTCGGCTGCGGTGGATTGACCTTGCCAAGCGTGCAGTAGCGCGACGTCGCAACGAGGGCTTTCCTTGTTCTCGTCATGAGACCCTCGGGAGTTGAGCGGGGTATGCAATATCTTCAGCGGGGACGGCCCCGCGACAAGGGGAATCTGGCTCTCTGGGTTTATTTTATCGATTGTCTTAGATTGGCCGAGGATGTCGTCTTTGGCAATCCTCGGGAACGCGACTGGGACGTAGTGGACACCGCAATCACGGTACTTGGGCGAGGCGAGCCCACAAACGTAACATCAAATTCATATGACCCGTCCTATCGGTACGCGGCGGGTCGGTGGCACTCGGTCTGGGCCCGGCGTTGATGTTGCGTCCTCAACGGGGACAAAGGTAGCCGCCGTGCGGCGCCACGGCGTTCTTGGAATCCTGAGTGAGACAAAGCACAACGGCGCCAACCCGGTGTTTCCGGGCTTCTCGTCCGGTTGGGCTTGGGACTTCTCTGTATTTGGTCTGGGTAGTGGGCTGCCACACCCGTGCCCGGCTCCGATCCAAGTCATCTGTTGTCTTCGAGGCTAAAAAGCCCGCAAATACGGACGTACCCCCTCTCTCGGGTCGGAGCCAGAATTTTGTCATATTTCTGAATTCATGTCCGCTGACGAAGCATGACTTTTCCAAGTATTGGCAGACCGCCTGTCCCATTTACATGACAGTATATGTCGACCGGGAATGGATATCACATTTCATTGCCCCATTCTCGGTGAGAACTTGAGAAGAATACCCACTCCCTCCCAAACTTGAGAGGTCTCGGGGTCGTGGAACTTGTCATCCTGGCTGACGTTTGACTAACGAACGACTCGCCGCCCTCGTCGTTTCGAACATATCCGGCCATTATGATGTGACGAAAACTTGGCCATCACATAACCTCCACCACCCTGCGCGTGTTTCCTACAGTAGCCAATGGCAGGCGATGATCCATCCAAATCCCTGTTTTGATCAACACGTTCGATTTGCCAGCCACGTTTCGTTTACGGATAGTCCCGCCTGCCGGAAGCAGGACGTGCATGAGACCTGTGGTTCGATGTTGTTTCTAGAACTCGATCACCATCACGCAGAGCCAAGACTCTCGTCACAATTTTGATGTCGTATTTGGAGTTGTGTCGGCTGAAGTCTATGACGGCGGGTTCACGTGTGTGTTGAGCAAAGCAACTCCTGACACGTTCATGTTGAGTGGCAACTTCTTCACGACCATCGGGGCCGGAATCTCCAGGTCTCCGATCTACATATCCTTGGCTATAACTGGAAAAACATCATTAATTAACTTTGGCCCTTTTGGATACGTGCATCTTCATAGGCTGCAGCAGGATTGACGGCAACGCGCTATCTGCACGAAATTCCCGCTTTCACATTCTTGGATTTTGAGATGGCCAATCCAATAGGAACACGTCTGGTCCGCATTCTGCTGAGTGCAACGTTCTGTTGAACATTTCCCGGTATTCGACAACATGGTCTTGAGGAGGTTGCAAGAGCCACACCGAGAAGAGCACCGTTGAAGTCATAGACTTACGAAAACCTTGCACTTATTGGTGCATGTGTGACCCCATCCTTGAGGGTAACACAACTGCCGCGATAGGAGCGGTCCAATCATTTGCTGTGCCCTAGACCTCAACATGAATCTATGGTACGTCCAAATCAGAACTAAAGATTCCAAACCACCCTTGACTAATAGTGTCACTGTAAAAGTCATAGGCATTTCTCCCACGTCCCACTCTGCTCTCCGGGGCCCTTTCCCAACTGCAATGCCTGGTGCTCAGGCGTCCTGGAGACTGAAATAGCTGCCCTTTGGCGTCCCATATCTTGATGCTAACCTTGTAGTCGTTCAAATAGCCAAAACCAATTGACACTGGCAAAGTCAAGTTGGTAGGCGTCACTGGAAAATTGCCGTCTTTCTCAGGACATATAATACTTCAGCATGAGTTTCAAAGAATCTAGATATGAGATCATCTAGAATCATTAAATCTAGTAAGTAGATAATTATTCTAGGCCGCAAGTAGTTAGCAGCAAGCTTCATTTCAATAAGCCCTTAAGAGTTCGACTTTTTCTCAGTATCTAATCTGCCTAAGTGCAAGGAGTTGCAATTGCTTCTCGCCCGTTATATTTCTCCATTCCGTGCATTAGTTGATCTCATCAATTGCATAATAGTTGCATGGCTTTCGAAAAGTGAAAATCCTTTTTAAATATATTTGGTTCAGCAATGCCCTTCCCTTCCGGAGCTATAGATAGGAGGCCCTTGTGAAAGGAGGATTCAACAATGATATGTATGCAAATTGCTGTTGTCATTAAATTTTGGCCTTACGGTGATTTGTTCAAAAATGAATTTCTAGACATAGAATTAGGCCGGAGTTCTAGAGATTCGAGATAATGATACACGCCTGATCTACGGTCTGAGATCTTGGGGCTCCGGTATCGAGATTGCACTGCTACTATGGTGAGAGTAATGCAAGCCCAGTCAATCTGCCAGATGACATGTTGCTACTTGCTTGAAAAGGTATAAACATAGTTTTCTTATCTGTACATATCACGCCAAACTGGTGTTGAGTCCTTGCGAATCTTAAGGTATAAGAGTTAAAAGGCTGAGCCACAGATACTTCTAAAAGTTATAACATGATCCCTCGTAGGTAAGTTCCGGAACGACGAAGTGGCTGTTCGGCGATCAAGCAGCATATTTATGTTCCATACGAGTCCTATTGAATTGGTAAGCCGCAGCTGAAATGTCTCTGAGAGCGACGAAGAATATTTTGCATACTCGCCGTGCTAAGCACCATGCGAGTATACCTCTTTCTTCCGAGCAGCGCTACGAGCCTCGAAAGGCTCACATACTAGCTATCTCCTCTGACGCTTTCACTTATTCCTATCCTTCTGAGAAGGATTCACATTCTTCCATTGTATACATCATCATGAAGTCCAGCAGTAGCATGCTAGACCGAATGTGTGGTGAATTTCTTGCCTTGAGAGGTACGCATCTTGCGAGGCTTCTACTTTCTTGCTTGCACGACTGGACTACAAACATTGAAATCTCAATCAAACCTCCTAAGGTGTAGCAGGATTGTGGTTGATTAGTTAGGTTAGAGGAATCTCGCTATGGGAGTCTCGTACAGAATGCTCATCCCGTCAGTTATCAAAGGTTCCGTGCCTCAGTCACTACTTAAGTAGATCCCGTAGCCCTTTGGGTGGTGAAAGCTAGGGAACGTGAGACTTGGTTTTGACTAAATCGCCATGATTCGGAAATGTTCAGTAGTCGAGTTAGAAGATTACTAGACCTCCGATATCCTTTTTGCACAGGCGGAGGTTCGTAGTGAGGCTCCTTCCGGAATTGGATGACGACTGACGGGTAACAAGTTTAAGACGCCGCTGGAAGAGGAATCTACAAGCAGCTTGCTATTGGGGACGCTATGGTCATTTTGTGTGTGAGAGAACAGGCCCCGAAGTCTTCTCGTGTCGAAGTTCCAGCAGTCATTTCTGGCTGGAGAGAGTATGCGGCCGGGTCTGGGACCCTAGGAGACCGTTCATCTCACCTCACGTCGAAGGTTGAACCCAAAATCTTTGTTCATGGCTACTGCTGCCTCCGATGACGAGTACCCTACTAGAGTCTGGATTTCAATGGCATGAACTCAATAGAAGCAAGTCTCGATTGCTTGAAGACAAGTGGTGTTTCGAAAACAGCTTGATACCAAGTCAATAAGACTCGCCGATCTTGGATGCGTTCGCCCACTGATTGGATGTGTTGGCAGATATCTTTACTCATCATGAGTTGAACAACTCCATCGGCCTACATCAAGTCTTGACTAGCATAACCGCGATCCATTGTGGTATTGAGTACGAGTTCCTACGTAGACGTGATGACCAGTCAAGATGCCTCGGCCAATGAAAGCAAAATCGACATACTACTGGATTCTGTCTTTCCAACAACGGCGACATGCTTATTCTAATATTCTTCGATATCGCAAGACAAGTCGACGTCAGTCGGATGATCCAGGATTCTCAAGCTTGGCTCTTGTGACCCGACCTGCCGGTGCTCTCTCCGTGCCCAGTCCGGCGATTATGCCCAGGCTTACCGAACCCCCGACACGATCTTAGTCGTCGAGTCAGTTGCCAGCATCTCACCGGACATCCAAAAAGTCTAGAGTCAAGCCGTTACGGATCCGGGTCAGTGGCAGACAGACCGACGGTCGGGAGACGTCGTGAAGCTTCCATACAACTCCGTATGGCTTCTTTCTCAGTGTTCACGAATCACCATGACTTCCGGCGGCTCGACTCGGCAAGCAAAGTCCTCTCCAGAGCATCAGATGTCTCCCCCGAGCGCCTAGTCCTCGGAAGGAATGAATCTTCCCACTGCCAGCCTCAGGAGGCAGTCCGTCTAACCACACACTAGCCAAGGCAACAAGACTAGAATGGCAGGCAGTTATCATCTTGCACTGATAACCTGCAGTCCGACAACTATTACGTTTTGACCCTAGTTCATGGCTTCTTCATTCAAGCCCTGCGCGCGGCAATCCTCTCAGACAGAGCTTGAGTGCAGGTAGGAAGAGAAAAACGAAAGTCATCGCCACTAGCGAGACTTTACGCTCTGCGTATTGTGGCCCAGGAGGTTTAATTTCCGTTTCGCATCTTCGCCGGGATCGTAAATGCGCACTGTGAATGTTTCTGTCCTTTTAGGTGAGTCACACTTGTCAGATTTGCAGCCATGTCGAAGACAAGATATGTAGCTTTGGAGCATTTGCCTCGCATGTGTCAAATCAACTGATGGCCGATTCGCTGGGCCTGTTTGCCGACGAGGAAGGACTCGGAGCCGAGCCTGCACTTGCGATTGGCCAAGGACAATACGGTGCTGCGAAGTCGGACTCGATAATGATTCTTTCAGCGGATGCCAGCCGACAGTGTCATGTTGTCTAAGCGCGAGAAGCCGGCTGCAGAAATCGACGACCAGACGAAGAAACAAGCTCCTGTCGAGGGATCAGCTGGTCCCAAGTTTCACGACGACACATGGGCTGGCAACTCAAAGATGCCGCGGTTGGATGGATGCGCGTCGCTTCTGTCGCAGTTAGACTCAGAAGGGTCGCAGTCAATGGCAAAAGTGTGTCGAATCGACGGCGTATGGGCTCCTGGAGGGCATGTCGTTGAGGCGAAATCCAGTGAAGCGGTCGGCAGGGCCAAGGATGGCTATCGGTGAAGTCTTATCCGTGGGGATCCCTGTTAAGGGTTGTCCGTAAGAGCCCGGAAAAGTGGTGTGATCTTTCGGATCGGGGGATTCATGTTGTCAGTGAAAGCTGGGGAGTCCCTGGGCGATCTGTAAGAAGTGTGAGAGGAGGACGCAGGAGGACATTTTGGGAAATAGATGCCTTGGTGGTTGTAATGTCTGGAAGTATGATTGCCTGAGGCTTAGAGGCACGCGAGCGGTGGGGTCTTAGGCCTGTCAGATGAAGGTCTGTGCGTTCTCGCTGATATTATGTAAGCTGAGAAGTCCTGTCCTTCGCACCTTTTCCTCACAGGCTCACAGAACACAGCGCCGACATGACATGCATGACCCAGCCAGATTGTAAACAAACACGCCGATCTAGATTGCCATTGCGTGATAAATTGGATCATTTCCCATGAGAAGTCTTGGCTGCGCCGTCAACTTTGTCGTGTGCTGTTTCTTCTTGGCAAGCACTTCCTCGTGGAAATTTTGATATTGGATGATTTCTGTCGTTGTTGGCACTTCCATTGTAACCAGGGTTGGCGGCCGCACTTGGAAGATGCCACCTGCAGTTTGCTGCTTCTTGTGAGTTGCCATTCTCCCCACGTTTAATGCGACTGCAACCGCCTGCAACTTGTGTTGGAAGGGTGGGCGAGACACGCCGAAAGACACCAAGTCCAAATTCGCAGCCAGTCACGATGTCAGATTCGACTTTCCGAGTGAACCTGAAGGGGGTAGGAGCAAGCAGCACAGAAGCTGAAGAGGCAAGGAGGACCAATCACATCCGCCAATTATTCGCTTGCAGCCCTGTGAGTGGTGGAGTTGATACCAGACCCATTTATGCACCCCACCCTATCGTTTTTTATTCTTTTTTCTTGTTCTCCTGTCGCCATTGCTTCCATCCCTCGGTGACTCCAGTGTCCAAACTGCACCTCTGATTCATCCAACCGACAATTCTCCCCAAGGTGCGGACACTTTGTACTTCGGGTATGGCCTCCCGATCGGCTCGTTCGCAGGCATCCGCCACATGACCCGACCTTGGCTGCGCATTTGCAATCCCGTCGCACCTCAGTCGCCAAAGTCAGGGTCGCAGGCAAAACAACACCGTCAACAGGGAGCCCAGCACGCCCAGCCTGGATAGCCGAAGAGCGGGAGTGCCTCCGGCAACGTCATATCGAAAATACCACCCTACTTACCCGTATTATGCCGTGAAGAATCGGAGGGCCTCGACGCCGGCATCGCCATACGCATGGTCGATTCCTTCCAGTAACAACAGACCGGCGGTATTGGGGGCTGAGATGTGCCAGGTACATTGCATCCAAGACATTCAACACCATGCCTGGGCCGCAGCATCGAATGCGGAGTGCAGATAAAGAGTACAGAGTACCAAGTACACTACGTACTACAGAAAAATCCCACCGCAGACGGGATCAAGGGACCACGAATTTTGACGGGGACGGATGACACTGGGAGACAGGGAAAGGAAAATTCTGGCCCGGCACGGCCCAAGTCAATAAGATGGAATGCCACCCACACCCGTTTTTACCCCGAAGATCCATCTCGAATTCCAGGTCCTCCTGCACCTGCACCTGCCCTCTCCTTTTTCCGCTTCCGCAACATCGCGAGCCCAGTCTCGTCTTCCCGACTTCCTGGCTCTGTCCGCCGCATTCGGATCTTCAAAGGGGCATCGTTGTCACCGGCAGTCTGCAGAAGCGTGTGTGTGGAGCGCAACGGGGCAAAAACCTGGGGGAATCTTGCTGAGCCACGAGCCCGTCTCATCTTCTTCTCCTCTTCTCCTCCGTCGTCCACTTCCCTTCTCCCTCGCCCAACCCTGCATCCCTTTTGCGTTGGCATCTGTCGCTGAACCTGAACCTGCGCCAAGCTCGACCACTGCTTTACATAAGGGTCACCACCTCGCATCTCGTCTCCTCAGCCTCCCCCACGAATCCCCCGTTGGCTAAGACAAGCCTGGGCACACGTATTGTGCAAAACTCTGTTGCACTTGTTGCACAGGTGACAGACCGACTGTCTCATTCTTGCATACGACACCGCCTAATCAAGATCTAATATCTCACCTGCCTGTCCTTCTTTCGATCGCACGATACCCCGACGTTCTCATTCCACCCGCTCACCATGGCTTCAAATTCGCAACTGCTATCCCTCCCCGATGAGGTTCTGCTGCAGATCGTCGGCCACTTGACGCCGCCCCTCGATGGACTGGATATTCCTTTCACCGCGTACACCGACCCAGATGGCGTTGTCGTCAGTAATCGCGTCGCCCTTTACCGCCTCGCCTTTGTCTGCCGCCGGCTTTCGGACCTCGCTATTCCCTCGCTGTACCAGACAGTCTATCTCTGGGGTCGGTCACGTCTTCAGTCGCTACTCCAGACGCTACTTGAGCGTCCAGAACTCGGCGCCAACATGCGCATTCTCTCATACGTCTCATGCCTCGGCAGCGATCACTACCCAACCGATGTTCTTTGCCCGTACAAGCGCACCAACTGGCGTCGACTGGTGGCAGACTCACCCCAGTTTCCCGACCGCATCAAAACTTTCGTTCGCGATGCGAACAGCGACCTCGATGTTGCCCAAATCGTTTTCGCCCTCGTTCTCTACTCGACGCCAAACTTGCGCACCCTGCACATGCGTATGCCCTTCGCAGCCGGCGAGTATCAGAAGCTCAAGGATATCCTCACCCCGGATATCGAGACGGTCGAAGGATGTCCTCGCGTCCTGAACTCACTCACCCGCATCATGTTGGAACCCATGCCCGACTTTCCGGGAGCCAGTTTCTGGCCCCGTCGCGAACTACCTTGTCTTCTTCGGCTGCCCAACCTTCGTGCGGTTGAACTCGGCTCTGCCCACTTTCGACCTGCCGTTCTTCCAGCCGGTGATGGATGGGGCGACGATGGCAGTTGGAAGCACGTCGAGGAGGTCAGACTTGTACGCAGCAGTATGTGGGGGCAAGGCTGGCACGCCGTCTGCGCCCTGTGTCCCAATCTCAAGCTCCTCGAGATGGGTCCTTCTGGCGTGTCCGACCAGCCAGCCGACGGCGAGCACAACCTCAACACAGCCCTTTCCCTGGTCGCCGATACGCTGGAGACCTTCTCTTTTGAGGGCATCCTTGCTGCCAACTTCTCGCAGCATGTTGGTGGGGACGGAACTCTCACGTGCCTCCCGAAAATGAAGAGTCTACGGAACGTGAAGCTGGATATCGGGATTCTCTTCGGTCACCCTCGGAAGATGGACAAGATCGACATCCGCCAAAGCCTGCCGCCGTCGGTTGAGATTCTCGACCTAGCAGAACTATGGCACGACGTCGAGATTGACAAGCTGTCGGCTGCGGACCGCAAGAGCTACGAGAGCTGTATTCAGGATACACTGCGCAAGCTCGTCTTCGGCAGCAAGGACATCCTACCGCGTTTGAAAGAAGTGACTTTCCGTCCCAACCCCTTCTACGCGCAACTTCCCTTGCCAGACACCCTTGTCGTCGGAAATTCGGACGTTGATTTCAAGCTCGTCTATTAGATGGTTGGGAACCCAATGAACATATCCGTTTGTCTTCCACTCGCAGCCAGCATGTTCGGAGTTCGGCGGGTCTTGCATAAATGAAGCGGTCAAAGCATTAGAGATATCATGCATTTAGATACAGTCATATATAATCAACCCATTTTCTCTAGCCGGCGCCCGCGCCTGGGATACGATCGTCAATCTCGGAACCTCCTCGTAACGCCGTACCTCACGTTAGAGGCGCCACCAGCTGCGGTAGCATCCCGCGCTCGACGGCTCTTGACGAAGTCGGCCTTCTTCAATGACATACTCTCGGGTCGAATGTCGTCGCTCACGTCCTCTCCTGGACTCTCTGCCGGAACCGCCTCCAACGCCCCAGGTCTCTCGCCGCACATAACCATATGGCTTCTCCTCTTCCACTCGAATGCGCTCCTCACTTCGATGGCGCCTTTCACTCCGGCAGCGATCACGGCTTTGGTGGCGTTCTTCACTCCGATGGCGACTTCCATACCGAAGATCCTCGCTTCGATGATATTCATGGCTGCGGCGCGGACTCTGCTGGCCCGTCACCCATCGATAATACTCCTCGCTGCGGCGCGGACTCTGTTGACTCATCTCGCTCTTCCCCGGCACCTCAACGATCCCGCTAACCCTTCTGTCTCCCTGTTTCTCGTACTTCCTCACCAAGCCGACGTACTTGATCCAGCAATCTCCCAGCATCTCCCCGCTCAACTTGAGATCATCCCTCTGGGAAACCATCATCGCGATACTCTTCGACCACCCACACTGCCACACATCCGCACCTTGCGAACAACCTGCGCCGTGCGACTTCCGATGCCGAGACTGCTCTCTCTCGATTCTGAGCCGCCCCTTCTCCAGCTCAGTCTCGGCGTGGAGGACGACGCGCCCGATGTCGAGCAGCTCCGAGATGGCGAATTGAAAGTCGGATGACTCCGCAGTTTGGAAATCCGGATCGCGATCAAAGATGTGGAGGCTTCGCCATGGCGTTCGGGAGGGAATCGGAGTCGGTGGTCGAGAGTAGGAATGTGAGCCGCGGCGCGAGGTGTAGTATTGCCCGGAAGAGGTGGAACTCGAATGGTCGCAGACGTATCGGTGGTAATGCGTCGGCCGACGGCACCTGAGACGGCACCTGTAGAGGGTACTCGATAACTGACAACACCCGTGGGACCGGCAGCTCTTCGAGTGAGACGACCGCGGGACCGGACAGGAGCAGTTCGACGGTGTCTCGTACGGGTTGACGTAGTGTGTTCTTGCAGAGGAGATGATGGGCCGGACGTCGCATGACATCGTGTGCGTGTGGACTTGGTAGCACATTGTGAGGCGAGTTGACTTGCACAGTCTTGTTCGAGTCGGAGGATGTTTTAGACGGGGTGTTCTGTTCTGGTGAGGAAACTGTTCTAGAGTCTTGACTTGATATCAAGGATATGGATGAGAATGAATGCTGTTCATGACAACTTTTCTCTCGGGACGTTTCCCGCTGCAGATATATCCCATCCTCGAAGACTTTTGGTAAAAAACCATTGTTCGAATCGCCTCGGAGGCTCAGCCAGAGGGCATGACCTCGAAGACAAAGAAGCTGTTCGCAGTGTTCGCGATGCGTGTGGGGCCCATCTGCCTACGGGTGGCCCGTGCGGTCAGGATGCCTTTTGGAGGGTTCTGAACAGCGGTCTTTGATGTCGTGCAGCGACCCCCTTGTTCGCAATCGAGAGGGAAAGGGGATTGGTTGGAAATGGTCTTGGCTCTCGGTATCTGTATAAAGGGTATGAAGTGAGGCAGCCGTGGGGCTTAAAGAGTGTGGTAGACTGAGGTACGGTGTAGAGAGCGGTGAATGGGGCAAAGAAGTATAGTGGTAGCGGTGAATGGGAGGGGCAAAGAACGCCTTGATTAGGGATGCGGCGATGTTGTATTGAAAGAAACGAATCGAGGAAGTTTGATCACATGATTTTGTTTCATTGATTAAGAATTTTTGGCGCAATGATGTGGTTTCTTGGTTGCTTTACTGCTAAAGATGGGTAACCCGTCATATGAGCTGGGCTATGTATGTCACTGAGGGTGACGTCTCGCATCCCTCAAGGAAGTCGGGCGACATCTCAAGCAGCCATCTAGCTGTCCTATAAATTATCAACTTTCCACAATCGATTGCCTTTTTCTTGTCAAGGCCAATCCATCTTGGAACTTTTGGGGGGGTGTTCAATAGCAAATTCCAGTCTGATGACTGATAAAGTCGCTTCCAAGTAGGAGCCTGGGAGGGAACAATGTATTTTGTATTGAGTTCATGTCGAGTCGCAACTCCATTGTTCTCCGCTGCTCTGCTTTATCTCCGAAGTATTCGCACTGGAGTAAATTGGTACATACGCATGAAATGGGCTTTGAAGGTGCTGATTGCTGTGCTGGAAATAGTATACGAACTGACTTACGCATACAGCCCGTAGATGTGACATAGAGTGATACAAACCACACCTAGCCATGGAAGATAGCCACAACATTGAATGTGTGTCTGGTTGTTTCGGCATACATTAATGACTTTTTTATTGGTTTGCTACACTGTAGTAACGTTTACAGTAGGCGATGGATTGAAGTACATGCATCATGCATCGATTGGTTACTGTGTCGTGTTGTGATGACAGCGGCATTCCTCTAACCATCAGATCCAAGCTAATTGACTCTGTATATCTTCTCTCGTGGTTTTCTTCGTTTCCAAGGTATTGTTTACTTGAATAAACTAAAGCAGGTACGTGGGGTTGGTTGGCATTGCGGCTATTTACCCTTGAGGATCGGCTAACGATTCGCTGTCTTCTCTTTACATCTCACACCACCAGTTTCCACGATGGATAGCGAGTCTCCCAAGGTGAAGGATCCATGGTTGGTTCTTGTTCATCTCGATACCCTTCTTCCCTTTTTAATTTATTCGAACTCTGGAGGCTTGCATCATGCCAATTGATAGAGATTAAACTCACAAGCGGGCAGGAAGTCGTCTGGCGGACATAGACTGCCATCTTTGGGATTCTCAACCTTTGCAGGACTATATAGTCGAACAGGTGTAATAAACAGTGGCCGTGTCTCCATTGAGAGGGGTTCTTCCATTGTTTAGGACGTCCTTGAAGTTCCGGCGGGTGGCTCAATAAGTTAGCGGTAGTGGGTTCGCAGTGATCTGATATGAGGTCTGTCTAGTCAACGCTTTCTCGAATGAACGTACTCGAGAACGTCCAGTATCTCCATTTTTGAAGTATTATTTCTAGATTATCACAGAAAAGATGGTGACTCCGAAAGCCCCAGGTAGGCTGGCTGCATGAAACAGCAAGTCGCAAACAGGTCGCGGGCCGAGCCTGAGGGCGGGAGCAAGTCTACATTGCGAGAAGACGGCTAAAGAGATACTGTCGTTTGGTTGGTCTCCCTCGCCCTCATTTCTTATATGTACTTGTATCTTCGAGTGAACGGTGTGACAGACCTATTGAAATTGACGTGCTAGTTGTAAATGAAGTACGAGCTGAATCAGAACGCGGAATTTGAGCCATATTGCGAGAAAACACATGCCATATAAGACGTGAGAGTTGCCCAACAAGGGTCAGCGTAAGATGCCTGCTCCTCAATTCTTCTCCACCGGTTGGCCGCATATTTGAGGATGTCCGGGCTCATTCCTGACCCTGTATCCGAAGATAAGATAATGCTTCAATGCGAGGCAGCAAGACATTCGTCTTGAAGTGGTATTCGTTCCGGAATATACCAAAGACGGTGGACGAAAGAGCCTTAGACGGAGAAGTGCTACCGACCTTCTGGGTATCGAAGTCTAGAGACGCAGGAGTAGGTAGAATAGACTTTTCTATTTGATTTCAGTTTTGAAAATTAGCGCCTCAACGGACCTTTCAAGATGAAAAGCGGTAGCGAAGTTCTTTCCAGTGCTGGAGCCAGCTTAATATACAAACTGGCATCGCAACACCATTGATACCGTTGAGGAAAAAAAGCCGAACATCAGAGCATTATAGTCCATGGGTGTTTGGTGCTTCTGGTTTCTGAGTTATGGCGAAAGGTAGGTTTCACTATAGAAGGCAACCTGGAAGTCACCATTTAGTTTATTGCGTGGCTTGTAGTTCTTAACCTGGAAGTCACAAGTGTTCGTGGTAGGTGAGTCTGTGAAGTACAAATCAGTATGTATGACATGGAATTAGCAGCTGGGAAGCACAGGACGACTCTCCATAGACTTCGGGAGAGTTCTGCGAAGGTATTCATGGTCTTTACAGAAGAGCTTAAGTTGAGCCCTCCACAACCAGTTCTGCTTTAGTCCGTTCGCTTTCCAGGCGCTAGTAGGCTCTGACAAGCAACAGAAAAATAGTACAGCTGGACAAGACCCTTCATACAAGACAGAAGGCTCCTGTTCTTCTGAAAATCCGTGAAGTTTCTGAACTCGTAGAACGTTTCCTTACTGAGCCAGTCAACGAAGTCCACCATCATGCTACAAGCCTTGTCATCGACTCGAGGGACGCTAAATGTGTTTTCTGAAATCCAGCCATAGGCAGCGCCATTGGCGGGAAAGAAGAGGTTGAAGACCCTGACAACAGGCGCTTCGGCCAGGATCGTCAGCGGCCACGGATTAGTGGTAATGCGCGTGCAACAGGCGGCTTCCAACTTGTTGATGTACTCGGATACGTTGCTTGCGACTTCTTTTATATCATGGACTAAATCGACTTTCGGAAATCGTGGCAGATTCTGTACTGAGAAAGTTATCGGCCAAAACACCAGCATTGTGGTCCATGCATCTTCGACTAGTGGTGCTACTTTTCGAGTTGTGGTAATAGATGGTTTAGGTTAGGTTCCCACACCAAGGGAAGGCAAGGTGCAGCCGAAAGGTCATGACCAAAGTCGGATGCTCGCAATGTGCATTGTAGTCTAGAATGAATGACGAAAAATGGTTGATTGTTTCTCGACGGATGGCATAATTGACCTAGATCTTGGTTTGGAGATAATATCAGATCTGTTGTATGCATCGTTGACTGATCACCAGAGTTACCTTGGCGATCTTCATTCTACACGCCAAGAGAGCGACACCGCCAAGCATGTTCTGGGGGGGAATTCGTGACGAGCCTCAGCGGTCTGCGACGATGGCACGTCGTCAGGAGTCAAGACATCTTAATAACCTTATGCTAAGACCGATACCGAGCCTCAAAATAAGCACAAACCATCTCAGAATTACCTCGCTGACATGCATGGATTCCACGGAGATTTATGATACAATCATCCATTTTACGAGAAAGAAGGGAAATGAGAAAGAAGCCAAAGGCGGACCAATATGTCGCTCACGTCTCAATATCAACCCCGTTCCGGCCGACTTGCCGAGGCCAAGCCAATCGCTCGAACCTTTCCCACCATTCCGCCAAAACTTCACTCCTTACCCAAACAACCAAGAACCCAAAAACAGACAACCCCCGTGAGAGCTGTGCCCGTCCCACGACGTCGCACCCGCCCCGAGGATTTTCGACTCTGCAACACACATCATCCCCGTGTTCCCGGGTCTGATTGGTCGCTCCGTCCCCTGAAACCGTCTGGGGGGCAGGGGTCAGGGGCTCGTCGGATCTGAAGCGAAGAGCAGCAGCGCAAAAGAAGAGTTGAACCCCACCACGTCGCATCTCTCTTCAGACGACAGTTGAAATCGAGCGATTCGGCAAGGAAGAGAGGCTCAGGAAAAAGAGAGAAGCCATCGTCGCGCTAGTGCCAAACGCCGCCGCGGCTCAAATCCAGGCCGCCAGGGACAGCCTTACCGCATCCAGCACCAACCGACAAGCTCTCGAGACCGTTCCTGTAGCAAGAGTCTCTCTTTTGCTCTCCAAGAGTAGAACTTCCATCCATCCTTCCACGCTTCGCGCGGGTTCCTTCGCCTTTCCCATCGTCCTTCATTGCCCCCGGCACCCATCATCCGAGCATCCAAGAATTTGGCTCAATGCTGACAAGGCGCAGCATCCCAGTCGACGCTCTCTCTGATCACTGAGAAGAGCTCACGGTGAGTCGGTGACAGAGAGTCAGGAGCCTCCAACCCCAGGATGCCCACCTCACTACCACCACAAACCTTCTCGCCTCCCTTGAATATCTGGAGCAGGTTTTGGCGATGTTTAGACTCGTGCCGGGGTGGTCCCGCGATCAGCGTGGCCCTATGCTTATTTGCCAAGAAACCCCTGGAACTGATGTGATGCTTAAAAGCCGATCATGTCCCTCTCCCCAACACATCGTGACTTTTTGTTCCGGTATCCATTCGTTCTTTCGAGGTCCTTCAGGCAAGGTTCTAATTTTTCGTTTCTTCTTCGATTCCACGACTTCGACTATTCGACTTCTACGTTCCCTTCTTTAAGAGACTCCTCGAGACTTTTTATAATCCATCAAGATGCAGCTCTCTTTCGTCGTCCTTGCCGCTGGTGCCGGTGCCGCTCTCGCAGGTAAATCATTCCCAACATCAACAGGAACATCCCCAAAGAGAGAGAACTAACAAACGCTCCCGCCAGCCCCGCAACTGGCCCCCCGCCAAAACGCCTGCTTCATCGTCGGCAACACCGTCCTGCCCCAGGAGGTCTCGGACGCCGTGACCTCGCTCCAGAACAAGGTGACCTGCGACACCTCCAAGACGACGCTCTCGGGCGTGCCGGACGTCAAGGCCGGCGCCGTGACCTTCTCGTCCATCAACTTCGCCGACGCCAAGGGCCAGTCCCCGCTCGCCTTCGCCCTCGACAAGTTCGCGACCAAGGAGCCGCTCGCCTCCAACGACCTGGCCACCTTCCAGAACCAGCTCGACGCCTACGTCGCCACCGAGGCCGGCATCCGCTCCGTCGGCGGCAACCTCGGTATCAAGGTCCCCAAGTTCTTCCTCTCCATGCAGGTACAGCGCATCGCCACCGCCCAGGGCAACCCGCCCACCGCCGCCGGCCAGCAGGTCGACCACCTCCGCGACAAGGTCACCAAGAACGCCGGCCGGGAGGACAAGGCCCTGCTCGACCAGGTCACCGCCCTGGCTGCCAAGCTCACGTAGAGAAAGACGCTGGAGAATACGTAATTCGAAAAGGGGATGTGGCTGGTCAAATAGTGGAAGTAATGTGGAATTGAATCATTATTCAATCGTTCAATATCGTCGAGAACCGAGAAAGACGTGATCCATGCCGCCCAATCCGCGGTTATACTATACAAGGCCATGTGAGTTGTAATTAAAACGTGGAGAAGAGAGGAGAAGACCGCCGCTTCTTTTTCTTGATCCCGAGCACCGCATCCATTGCACCATATCAAAACGCCTGCCCATCAAGCACACCTCTCAAGCGATCTATACACAAACCATCAAGCTTCTGGTGTCCCGAGTCTTTGTTCGACCGGTCTACTGCTTCTGCTGCTGCGCCTTGAGCGCCTCCTGCTCGCGCACCTCGGCTCCGGAGGCCCTCCACCAGACGTCGCCGCCCCACCTGATCAGCCGCTCGGCGGCAACGAGGGGAGAATCGACGGCCGGGCGGACGTCGAGGTGGAAGACGGGTTCGTCGTCCTCGTCGTTCGGGGCGGAGTAGTAGTCGATGACGTATCGGATCTCCCTGGTCGTGCCGCCGACCTTGCGGGAGACGAACCAATCGTGTCTGTCGAAGGGGGGTTCGGTTCTGCGTTTCGTTGTCAGTACTAGGACACACAAGTAGCGGGAAAACGGGGCAGACGTACTCGAACTTGGCGGGATAGATCGCACCGAGGACCTGCATCATCCGAGCCTTGGGCGTCAGGTCCTTTGGCCTGCCTTGGAAGCGGATCAACGTTGGTATCTCCTCCGTGCCGTCCTTCATCTTCTCGACCATTTCCTCTGAATTCTTCTCGCCGCGGCTGCACGCCTGCCAGCCCTTGTACAGCCCCTTGTTGAAGCGCTCTTCCCAGCCGACGATCTCGGCCCAGGCGCCTTCGTTCAGCACGTTGTGGACGGATACCATGGACTCGACGGCGGTGACGTCGGTGTCGGTGTAGCCTTTGCGGAGCAGGGCGTTGTACATTTGCTGGGGCGAGGGGTACTCCCAGTTCCCGTCGCCGGTGCTCCTTGGTATCGTGGAGGGCTCTCGGTCTGTGGGAAGGGCCATGGTCTGGTTCTTGGCGCGGTCCTGGGAAAGGTCCTTGAACATGTAGTTCAGGGGGTTGAGCTGGGAGAGGATGGACTTGGACTCGGGCTTCGGCTGGTCGTGAGGTACGGGACATGACGACGGGGGAGGAACGGCGGTGTGTCGCTGGTCGTGAGGGACAGGGCATGCTGAAGGCGGAGGAGGTGCGGCGTTGCGTTGATCGTGAGGGACGGGGCAGGCGGATGGTTTCGGCGTCGCGTTGAGGGCGTCCATAGTCTTGTTATGCATAGGGCAGCTGGGCTAGCATGGAGTCAGCATACGTGCGAGGGCATTCCGATGGAGGGGAGGCGTACAGGAGGCGACCCAGCATGAGGATGCGCCGCGGAGGCGGGAGCCGTGGCAGGTCCGTCAGCCCAGAACCAACCCATTGTAAAGACTTGTGTAGGATTAAATAGAGTTCGTAAGGGAAAATATGGTACAAGAGGAAGTTCGGCGCGAGAGGGAATGCGAAAAAAGCGCTTTGGTGGGATATCGTAGAGAAGAAAAAAAATGGATAAGAAATATCGCGGATAAGAGCACAAGCTTGGCTTGGTGAGGTGGGTTCCAGGTTCTGAAGTGGTAATCGTAATCGACAGCGACGGCAGTGGTTGGCACGCGCGCCCAAAAACTTTTAGCGGTCCCAGTTGCCCGCTGCGCGCTGGCCGGAAGGACCCGCGACTCACTTTGTCACTCTCCGGCTTTCCGCGTGGGCGGAATGGAAAAAGAAATAAAAATAAATTGCCAGTGTCATCGACTGGCAGCCACATGTTTTCCCGAGAATTCTCCGGATAATTCCACCAGCGAAATCGCTACGTCACCACACTGCTGAACGCCATTCCCCTTGTGCCCGCGATCCTTCGCGCCAGCTGCATAGTCTAACGCCCGACCAGCTCCGACACTCACCACCACCACCACCACCTCCCCAATCTGCTGAGAATGACACCCGACTCTCGCTCTTCCAACCCCATCCCTCCCTCGAGATGAGACTGGCCTTCGTCCTGGGCCGGTTCTGTCCACCTCCGGGCTTCCGAGCGCCAGCCGGCGGCACCGCGCGTTTATACTCCACCTTCCGAGGGACCGCCCGCAGTCCTGCAACTCGACGCATACCATGGCGGAACAACCGGTATACGAAGTACACGCTACGCGCAGGTGGTGCGGGGGTGAGCGCGCTGGGTACGGCTGCCTTCTTTGAGCTGTCACAAAAGGATAATGGGGGCACGGATCAGACGGGGGAGAAGCGCATGTTGGAGGCGAGCAGGTCCGAGATCAAGAAGGAGGTTGCCGAGGACGATCGGGGCATATCGAGGGCGTGGCATACCGTGAAGCTGTTTGTGGACGTCTACATCTGGGAACCCATCTGCACTGGGCTGAGGTTCCTCCACCTTGCTGCCATCTTTGTCCCTGTCATCATCGCGGTCCCCGTGATATGGATTGGCAAGCGGCAGCCTGATCGCGACAATGAGAGGAGCGGAACATTGTGGTGGTATGGCTTCCTGGTCCAGTCTATGGAATGGGCTGGGCCCGCTTTCATCAAGGTATACACCCTTCGAGCTTCGTTCGATGGCATGAAGCATCGCTGACAGTGACAGCTCGGCCAATGGGCAGCATCTCGCTCCGATGTCTTTCCCGACGAAATGTGCGAAATCATGTCGAAACTACACTCCAACGCACCGGCCCATTCCATGCATGCCACCAGGCGCACCGTCTCTGCCGCATTTGATGGACGTGATTTTGAAGACATTTTCGAGGAATTCGACGAGAAACCCCTCGGAGTTGGCGCCATCGCTCAAGTCTACCGCGCCAAGCTGAAACCAGACCTCGCCGCGCCCAACGCCGATATCCCCGACGAGCCAAAGCCTCTCCGCCAGAAGGTGGCCAAGAATGTCGACGCGGCCCTCAAGAGCACGCCCAAGAGGGTCCCCTCGACGTACGTCGCCGTGAAGGTGCTCCACCCCCGCGTGGAGAGGATCGTCCGCCGGGACCTGCGCATCATGCACTTCTTCGCCTCCGTCCTCAACGCCATCCCCACCATCGAGTGGCTCTCCCTGCCCGACGAGGTCGCCCAGTTCGGCGAGATGATGAAGCTCCAGCTCGACCTGCGCATCGAGGCCGCCAACCTCGCAAAGTTCCGCAAGAACTTCAAGGACCGCAGCACTGCCTGGTTCCCCTACCCCTACACCGAGTTCACCACCCGCAATGTTCTCGTCGAGGAGTTCGCCCAGGGCATCCCCCTCGCCGACTTCATGGAGAACGGCGGCGGCGTCTTCCAGCACGACATCGCCTCCGAAGGGCTAGACGCCTTCCTCCGCATGCTCCTCATCGACAACTTCGTCCACGCGGACCTGCACCCGGGTAACATCATGGTCCGCTTTTACCAGTCCGACGAACCGGACCTCAAGTTCCGCCGCCACGACAAGCACCCGCAGGAGCAGAACGACGTCACCGAGCAGGTCCTCGCCAGGCTGCGGCCCTTCCGCCACAGGAAGGACCCGGCCGCATGGGACGCGGAGCTGAAAAAGATCGACCACGAGGGGTTCCGCCCGCAGCTCATCTTCATCGACACGGGTCTCGTGACGGAGCTCAACGAGACGAACCGCAAGAACTTCCTCGACCTCTTCCGCGCCGTCGCCGAGTTCGACGGCTACAAGGCCGGCAACCTCATGTGCGAGCGCTGCCGCCAGCCCGACGCCGTCCTCGACAAGGAGATCTTCGCCCTCAAGATGCAGCACCTCGTCCTCGGCGTCAAGAGCCGCACGCTCGCCCTCGGCAACATCAAGATCGGCGACATCCTCCAGGAGGTGCTGGGCATGGTCCGCGGGCACCATGTCCGGCTCGAGGGCGACTTCGTCAACGTCGTCATCAGCATCTTGCTCCTGGAAGGCATCGGGCGGAGCCTGAACCCCGACATGGACCTCCTCAGCAGCTCGCTGCCCATCCTGCGACAGCTGAGCGCGCAGAGCGGCACCGAGATGGCGAAGCATGGCGATTTCAGCATGTTGGTGGTGTGGATGGGCCTGGAGACGAGGCGGTTCTTGCAGGCTAGCATCGAAGATGTGAGCTACTACTCCCCTACTCGGAGACTGAATGATGAAACTGATAAACTTGACAGGTTGAGCGATGCGTCAAATACGATCTCCTTTCTCCAAATGTGTAATGTAAACTGTACAGTACGGATAGACGAATGCATACGTCGGCGCTCGGGATGTGGCGGGATAGAGATGCAACTCATACAACAGAGACCTTGAATAAATACCGTTTTAATTTTGTTTCAGAAATCGAGTTCTGCTCAGCGTTTGATGTCAGCATCTTCTATCGATCACTGCCGGTCTTCTGATCTATCTGGAGGATCCCATTCCGGACGGTTTTGGGGCAGGGTTCGAAAATCATATCAAAAGCTTCGTGGGATGCTACCTATGCTACGTGGCCCTATGGGCGGTCAAGCTCGACTCGATACTGGTGCTACTCTACAACAGGCTGTAGGTAAATTTCCATCTCCGACCCAGCAGTCAATGTCCGACATCCTCCCTCTCACAAATCACAGGCTTTCAGCCGCGAGCAGAGACCCTCAATCCCGGCCGCGACTCCCGCAACTTCCTCACTGTCTCAGTGTCCATAGCCGTGTTCATCACGGCGATCTTGTCCAACAATGTCGCTGCCGAGCCTTGGACCAGCTCCAGCAGTGGCCATCCACTCAAGTTGTTCGGTTCGTAGTCGGCCCCGCAGAGCGCGATATGCCGAATGAACGGACAGTGTTCGAGGACGACGGAGAGGCTGTCGTCGGTGATGTTGGTTCCGCCGTGAATGCTCAGGTACTCGAGACGAGGACAGGCGGCAACGAGGTGGATGAGACCCATGTCCGTCAGGGGCTGGCGGAGCTCCGGGTTGCCGGCGGTGATCTGGATGACGTTGTCGGTGAATGCAGCACCTTTGCGAAGGATCTCATCGACGTGAGCGCTGGGAGTGTTTGTTAGTGGAACGGTCGTGGGTATGAACTGAAGGGTAAAAGGGGACGGGGCATTGGGGTCGTACTCAGAGAGCTTGAACAGCGGGCCGAAGTCGAAGTAGGTGACCGGATGACCGTCCCAGTCGACGACGTACTTCATGAAATCGGCGTCAGAGTTGACGCTGATGACGCCGTCGTATTGCCTCTCGTCGAGCATCTCGCTCGCGTCGGGCACCTCCACGGCTTCATCGACAGGAACCTTGGTCTCGGGGCTACGGTGACGCTGCATATCGAGGGGATCTGGTGCCATTACCGCGGCCGCGCCATCGATGCACCGTTTCTTGGCCTTGTGAAGCGTCTGCGTGGCCGGGTCGTACTTGATGTCTTCGTCGCAGGCATCATCGCCAGTTTTAAGTGCAACACCTGCGGGGGAGTGAGCGCGTTTCCTGGTCTCCTTCTTCCCCAGCTCCTCAATCTGCCCAGCCTGCGTACCATCTTCCTCGGCGACGCGAGGTCGGTAATAATGCGTCGTCCTCAACACAACTTTTCGTCCTGTCGATCTCAGCTCTTCGGATTGTTGCTGTTGCAACCGAGTCCTCTCTCGACGCGTCATATTCTTCCAGCGTTTGTTGTGTTCCAGACGCCAGGCTTCCATATCCTGTTTGCTGAGGCCGGCAGGGGCCAGGATGCCGCCCTTCCCAGAAACCCCGGAGAAAAATCCCTTGGGGGACTTCGGGGGGTTTGCGATTCGTGTCATGTTCGCCACTGCCACCTTGTCTATTCTCGTCAATTGCTTCGTGTTGTTCATCAAGTACGCTCTGCGCCATTGTCGCTGCGCCCTGTTTCTTAGGCCGGCAGGAGGTGTAGGAGTTGCACGCTGAAGAGCCTGATCTGCAGATACGAAGGCCTGATTGGCAGACCTGAGGGCTTCTTCTGCGTTCATACTCATTTCGAGTATCTTCGCATTGATGTTATCGGGCATCTTGCCTGTGCGTCGAGAGGTTTCTGGGGATGTCGGTTTTGGCGGTGGTTCGGCCCGGGAGCTCTGAGGAAGAAGTTTGGAAATCAGGGGAAACGGAAAGGTGTTGTGGTTGGCGCTGGGAAATCTCGAAGACGCTCAAGTACAGATATTTCCGTTGCCCTTTCCTTCCCAATTAGAAGATGCGATGGAGGCCTCGTCTTTGTCACTCTTGCCGACCTCAGGCGCTCAGCAGGAAGTTGTTGCCCAAAGCAAGCACGTTTTGTGGCTCGACCCTGCATTCATCATCCATATTTGATTACCTACGCACACAAGATCACTTGGTATAATTAGATGGGAACAATGACATTATCCGATGACTATTGTGAGAGAGTCTCTGACCTTGATGCTTGATTCTGAAGCCAGGACACAAGAGTCCGTTATTCAAATCCTCCCTCTCACACTCAAACACACTTCCCTTTCTCCTCATTTAGCATCTACGTCTTGAATCTTTGAAATGGAGAAAAGTAATCCCATTTGTTACGGGCTATGTGTCAGCAGGTTGACTATTTGAAAAGACTAATGCTCCAGATTTCCTTCTACTGAATTACTCTCACATTCTCATTTGCAATTCACTCATATCCAGTTTAATGCTCCCTGACTTGAATGTGATAGATGTTTTCTTTCATCCCCCAAAGAGTCCAAACTTTTATGTCAAAGCGTGCCTGCCTGCAAATTTGTCTGTGGTGTAGCATCTGTGAGTCACAGACAAATTATTCATGCCTGTCAGACTCTTTGACATCTTTGACACTTGCTTGGACGTTGAATCATTGCGATGAAGCCAAGGAATTGCATGACAGTCACTTTGGAGTCGTCTTTGCTGCCAAGACAGAAACCAAGCTGTATGACGTGTCTCAGCACTAGCTGGTTGGGCAGATAGAACGAAACTGAGACATAGACACTGGATGATTCAGACTACCTTTTCTCTAAGCAGACTTTTTACACATGTTCTAGAAACGCCGGGAGTGGTGCCGAGCGACTCTGGCGGAACCAGCCCGCAGAATTCCGCCGGAGCCGGAGCACTATGCAATAGGTAGCATATGCTTCCGAGAATAACAAACAAGCACTGGATCAAATCCCATGTTCCCCGCTTGAGAAAACCAGTCCCATGAGAATATTACGGCTCTGACCTAAGTTCTAGAGACCATTAAAGCTTGAGCCTAAGGTAAACCCCTTCGTTGGTCCCTGAAGACTGCAGATATGGTTGACATGCGTGGGGTGATGCGGGGAGCATACCTCCCTCCTGACTTGCCAACTCACTTTTAGCTCAGGCCGTGTAGATCTTTAAGGCGCTGTGTGAGAGTTCTATGTGGCTAAGAGGGCAAGGTAGACTACTAATAAGACCGATATTGTCCCTTCCCACGCCTATCCGACGTGTCAGTTGCATCATTCGCACGTCCCAAACGGCGTCAAAGCTACTGCCAAGACATCATCCGTAGCGGAATATGTGATAGGTCAACATCGTGAGACTTCAAGCTTAGACGACTGCGACGGCAAGATTACCCTGGCAGAGAGACGAGCACAAGAATGTGGCTACGTAAAGTTGCGACGCACAACAACATCGGCCAAAGGGGTCATCCCTGACAACCTGTCCCAAAACCGGTTGCACATCGCCAAAGGCAAAGATAGCCGATGCTAAAATCTGCCCTACACCGGTCATTAGGCTGACGTGGGTCGGGGACATGCCTGCACTTTCGTGACGGGCCGGTCCCTTGATTATTATCGGGCCCTCTCGTTGGTCCAAGTCTCAGCTGCGTTGCAGCTGAGCCGTCTTACGCCTTTTTCTTTTTTGCCCGTAAAGCAACTCTGGTTGGTAAGCTTTGCGCTTGGTTCATGGTTCGCGCCGGGTGGGAAAGTCAGCAAACAGGCTTCCGCCGGTGGCTGACTCGACCGGTCTGTTGCGAGGTTTGAGGGCTCACGATGGTTCAGAAGGCTTCAATGACGGCTCAATGGGCGATATAACTATCGTGAGAGCATAGTGTTGAGCTACCCAGTTTGAGATCGGGAGTAACCTCTCTCAGTTACCGCATGTGCTGGTTAAATCAAGTATCTGGGGCTTGTTGATCGCGTCTTGTACTTTGAGAGGCATCATAGTGTTTGTATCTCGCGAGAATCAGAACCATATTCCTCGGAGTATTTCATCTTTCTCGTTCATCATATCATCGTACCACGATCTTGATGTATCGTGAGATCTTCGAGAGAGTACCTTAGGCGATCACCAAAATTGTAAAGCGACTTCCTCGCCGCAGCGGTTGGTGGACGTATTATGATTACCATCTGGCTCGTAGAATAGCTGTAATAACTCACAGGCTCTCGCGGCACCATGATTTCTCGTTCACGAGGGACTCGAGGGCGAATGCGAAGTAGTTCGATTCGAATACACGACCTCCCCACAACGTTCACTTCCTTCCATCACCATCTCCCTCAATCCTCCACCTTTCCCAACGCCAGTCCCCGGCCCGCCATCGGCCCTCATCTTCTCCTCCGAATCTTCCCTATTCCAATCTCCCAGTTCCATCACTCCTGCAGGTTGGTTCAATTTGTGATCCTGCCACGAAACCCAGCGCGGCCATCCTACCATTCCACCAACTTATGCCGCAGCCGCACCCGCGGCACCGGGCTTCGAAAAGGCCGCAATAGCACCGTCCAAAGCCTCGGTAAGCTGACCAGTACTCTGCTGAGCGATCGGGCGGGCGATGGCGGGGACCTTGCTGAGAAGAGTGTCGCCCAACTGCCCACTGCTAGCCTTCTGCTGCTGAAGGGCATCCGCGACGACAGGGGTGACGCCGAGCTGATCAAAGACGGGCTTCTTCTGAGTGAGATCGCCAAGAGTGGTTTGGACCTGTCCGACGAGGCCATCGGCAGTCTGCTGGAGACCAAGGGCACCGAAAAGTCCCAAGTTGTTGGCCCCCTCAATCATCGTGGTGGCCGAACCAAGCGCGGTCTGCGCGCCTTGGGCGGCGTTAAGCACGCCGACGGCGGAGTTGGGATCGGTCGCAGAGAGACCCTTGACAGCGGTATCGAGTTGTTCGAGAGAGGTCTGAACCATGCCGAGTGCGGTAGTAATCGTGCTGGCCTGCCTGGCGATGATCGGGGCCGCAGTAATCACCCACGCCTGGAGGGCGACGAGAAGAAGCTGGAGGGCGTACATTTTTCGGGTTGATGGGGAGAAGTTGCTAATTACGTTTACACAGCGATGAACAAATGGATTCAAAGGGCCGCTGGCGGGTAGAGGTAAGTTTGAATAGTGGAGAGAACGACGACGACTTGAAGACTCGATATGGAAATGGTGTGTGGCTGTTGCACGATTATATCAATATCTGGGTTAAACCGGCCAAGGCTATTCACTGGCTCTTTTCTCCCATCACTTTCCACATTGGGACACAATGGGGCGTTGAAGCTTGACTGTAAGTTGTGTGTGGACGGCAGCTACTTTTCTCCTTAGAGTTTCCTTTTTTGGGTAATGAGACACAAAGGAACGTCTTGGGTCCTCTCCCCTGACCGCATGGTGGTCCTGATCGGGACAGCTTGGGAGAGAGCTTGACACGGCGTCGCCCAAGGAGGCTGGAATCCACCGCCCGGCTCCGGATGTCAACCGTCTTGTCTTCCTCAATGAGGTAGATGGCAGAGGGCAATAACTCATCCGAGTTATGGTTGCAACGGTTGCGTGGGATGACATGTGTAGTTTGAAGGGTCAACCTTGATGTTATACCAGGAACTGGGCAGACAACCACTGGACCGCCTTTTACCCGACAGTCATACCACGGGGATCATTAGACAAGCTCACGAACGGTATGCCTAGTGTGTTGCGGGGGAGCCAATAAACTTCATTCCTTCGGCGATCTTGGAGGTTTATTGGAGCCTCTGCAAGGAACGCTGGCTGTGGATCTGGTGAGAAGCCGCCGTCCTCATGTGGTAACGGTATCAAAGCTGAAACGAATTGTTGCGCGGACCGGCCGTTGTTCAGTCGAAACACACAAACAGAGTTGAGTGCATGATGAGCCAATCGCAAGTTGGCTTTTGGCGCCTCGCCCGCTTATTGCAGAACAACACCAGACAGAAATGCCAGAAAACTGCCAGATCTGCCAGAGGAACCAGACGATGCCATCGCCTCGGCAGGACAATGACGCTTGTGATATCGGCCTGGGCTGTCAGACGAGTAGTGATTGCCAAGCTGCCGGGTTCCGTTTTGCAGCAGCCAACCCTCTTTTCACCTTTCGCACTCGCTTAATCTTTGACAAGCTGACAGGCGCGAAAGGGTCGTTCTGTCGGGTAAGCTCCCCTGATATACCTCGAACAGATGGCCGGCCTGAAGACAGTTAACGGCTTTAACGGACATCCCATCCATTACCAAATTTGGTCATCTTTGTTTGCTTGGTCCGGACAATCTCTCGTCTTATGTTGGAGCTGATGTTGTTCCTTATGAGCCCTATGAGGACGGTATTCTGCATGGAAGATCAACCGGCACGGGTATCGTAAAAGCTTATTAGCTGGGAACGGTTTGTAGATCCATAAGCCCCTGAGTCTAGCCTATTGTAGTATATGTTTACATTCCATGGGAGATGTTGTGTTAATCGGAATTCTGTTGTTTTATCAGAATTCTATCATGCACAAACTCGTCCATGTCCATATCATTTGGGCGAAGCACACAATGTAACTCGATTGTAATCATTCCGACTGGCATGTTCGATAATACAGGTTTCTACTCGACCCTTTGCTACCAGGTGAAGCGGTGAAAGTGGCGCAGTATGAATGTACAATACCGCTTTCGATCAAAGTAACTGCTGATAAGTGGTTGAAACCATACTTTTCTTCTGCGCCAAGTATTCACGCTGAACGTCGGTATCGGTTTCGCGTATCAAAAATTTCTTTTGGAGTGATGATAAAGCAATAAATCTCATTCTGGTCAAACAACTCGCTGTAAATGTCCTTTCTTGACGGCGTTTGATCTCAATGTGCTGCGTCTCGGAAATCGGCTGCGCAGCAGTTCCGAGCGGTTTCGACCATGATCGCAGATTGCTCAAGCGGATAGTGACAATGAATCGTATCAAGTGAAAAGCTCTGACGTTGCGATATCTAGACAGGAGGTTCGACATCCTATCGAGAGGTGACTTTCCTACGGTGGTTTGAAATGTCCGTATGCAACTTGACAAAATACAAACCGGGTTGTTAAAGCTTATGAGACGGGAAGCAGGACTGATGAAGATAAAGGAAGCAGCTGAATAGATTCAAGATGCAAGTTCAAGACTGTTGGGAAGAGCTATGAGTATCATGTCTTATCTCGGTCCTATGAGCATTGTGGCACCTGATTCTAGCCCCTATGCCTCCGTCGTATCAAATCCTTCATGCGGTGTCTTTTGGAGTGCGTGGTTGTTTATAGATGAATGCTGAGACACAATGCAGGGCCTAAGAGAAAAATGTTATAGGCAGATCATCAGTGCCTCCTAATTGTCACGATATCCATAGAAAGACGAACGAAGTTCGAAGCTGTGGGGTTGAGTTATGTACTTTGACTCTACGGTTGAATAACATCGTCATCTAACAAGGGCTTTCACTTCAAATTTAGGTGAATTCACTCGTGAAAAGACCCCAAATGTTGTCGGAAGCCTTCAATGTTCGGAATCCTACCTTCATCGCCGATAGTAACGCGTTCCGAAACCCGAGAGCCTCAAGTTGAAGTTGACTCATACCGTGTAGAGGACCTCATGCACCAATCGCAACTTTCCGGCCGGCGGACGACGGGCCTGTGCCGTAAGTGATGAAACTGAGAAGAACCGGGCGCTTGCCACCGGAAGGAGATCTTTGACCATCACTTAACGGAACATCCACATGTTTGCAGGAATTTCTTGAGATTCTCGAACTACTGTAAGGCTCACCTTCTGTATCCAGGTCGTCGAATGTGTTGTTCGAGATGTTGAGGTTTTGAACTGTTTACTCCGTCACCGGAACGCGAAAGTTGAAGTCCAATTTCCGAGATTTGTATGACGAGTCGTGCCGGCTCTCTCGTGGTCTGACGGCCAAAGGTTACAGGGATGGCCCTGCATAACGAGAATTAAACGCAATGAATCAATGAATTACACCACCGAAATATTCAGAAACTCTGGCAGTTGGTGTCGGCATTTGCTGTCTCTCACGGAAGAGTTCGCATCTAGAGACTGGAATATCTATTCTAAATGCATCATCTCAAAGGATTTGATTAGCAACCCCTTCAAGTGTATCATTACTGCAAACAATCAACCTACTCCACCTACCACGTTGTGAACTGGCCTTGTTCTGAATGATACCCTGGATCGTGGGGTGGCCAGATCTTTCGTCGCTTTCTGTGGTTGCAATGCCCTAGCCGGAGAGGTTCAGAGCCTAGACTCGACTCAAACAACGCAGGAGGTCGCAAGTCGGAAGCTTGAATCGAGAAAACCAGAGACTTTTCGACGGAAGCTACCGACAGCGGCACATCGAATCTTGACCGGATAGAGTCGTGGCCCGGTTCGTAAAGTCCCTCAATCACGCAAAACCTCGCGTTAATCTTGCACAACCACCCAGCCGAGTCCCACAGCAGCTGCGAAGCGCTTCGAAAGCCCCATCAAAGGTGAAGCTTAACATAAAAAGAAGGTCACAACGGAGTACCCGTCATTGATAGCGCGAATGGCGACATCAGTTGCAGTGCAACAAGCCCCGCAATCGGTGTCACCATAGCACTCGCCATGCTCGACACCGACAACACGGTCACCCGGCATGGTGGAAATAAATGATTGATCTCCCTCGGCGAACTTAAGCGCCCGGCTTGGCTCGAATCTGTTCCTCTAGCGGTCCTTGGCGTTCCTATCTCTCAGTCGTGCTTTCGACTGAGTTGCGCGCGAGATGTCGACCACCGAGGGAGCCTCTCTTGGCGCTAAAGTCATCGCCGAGGCGAACAGCAAACCGATTGTTGTTACCGCTGTAGACTCTAAGTCTTCGGAAGCGTCCCCTTCGAAAGCAGACGGCGTCGAATCGGGCGACGAGCTCTTGGCTGACGATGTTGAATACGTGAACGGTCACCCGGTGATTCGTAATGGTAACGTTGGCCGAGAATTTTATTGCTGCTGGTTTTGCTGACTGTTCGCTCAGGCGTCGACGTCTCCAAGTTCGTGGTGTCGGATCGTGACGATGGCGACCCTGCCTTAACCTTCAGATCGATCGTTCTGGGTACAGTGTTCACGGCCCTGTCCAGCGTCATCACCATGTTGTACACTTTCAAGCCAACCCAGATGCAAGTTTCGGCAGTCTTTCTACAGCGTAAGCTCCCATCCAGTCCAACTCAACCACAAGAAATCTCGTAACTAATTATCCGGCAGTCTTGGTCTTCGTGTTCGGCGAAGCATGGGCTTTGGCAACTCCTCGTCCCGACCGATTCAAGTGGAAATGGCTGCAGACAACCCTTCGTTTCGTCAACAGCGGACAATCGTTTGGCATCAAGGAGCATGTTGTCGCATCCCTCATCGCCTCGTCTGGAAACAATGGTCTTTCTGGTGTTGAGATCTACGCCGTCGAACGTCTCTTCTACGACCGCGCAGTCACTGCCACCACGGCGATCCTCGCTACTTTTTCGATCTCCCTTTGCGGCTTCGTGCTTGCTGGCGTACTTCGACCTTTGATCGTCTACCCCGCTGAGATGGTCTACTGGTCAACACTTCCACAAGTGGTCTTATTCCAAAACCTTCACTTCGATCGCATCGCCAACCGCGACCGCCTGATGAAGTTCGGCATCGCCCTTGGTATAGCCGCAGTATGGGAGATCTTCCCAGCCTACATGGTGACTTGGTTTGGTGGTATCTCGGTCGTTTGCCTTGCATCAATGGGGGCCCCGACTGGTACACGTACTGTCATCTCCACCATCTTTGGCGGAGCGTCCTCGAACGAGGGTATGGGCTTACTCAACTTCTCGCTGGACTGGCAGTACATCCAGAGCACCTACCTGTCATTGCCATTCAAGCAACAGTTGAACTCGTGGATTGGCTACGCTATCTGGTATATTGTCATGCCGGCACTCTTCTATAGTAATACGTGGGGTGCCAAGACATTCCCCTTCATGTCGACGTCCCTCTTCGCCAGCAACGGCACTAGATGGTCGACGACATCGGTCCTGAACGACCGTGGGGTAATTGACTACGACAAACTAGACCAGGCCGGTCTTCCTCACTTGACATCCAGCACAGTCTGGGGTTATCTCACTGCGAGCATGGCCATTGGCGCCTTGATCACTCATGTCATCATCTTCTACGGCAAGGACATGGTCGATGCATGGAAGCAGGCCCGCAGCCGGACGCAACCAGACATTCATTACCAGGCCATGTTGAAGTACAAGGAGGTTCCAATGTGGTGGTACATTGCGCTCTTTGTTCTGACCTTCATCGCTGGCCTGATTGTGAACATCAAAGGCGAAACCACTCTCCCGGTTTGGGGGTACATCATATCACTGCTCCTAGGCGGCTTCATCGCACCCTTTTCATGCATCCTTTACGGTCTTTACGGAACTGGCGTCAGCACCAATCAAATCTCGAAAATGGTTGCCGGCGTCGTGCATCCTGGCAGGCCTCTGGCAAACCTCTACTTCGCAAGTTGGTCTCATCAGGTCATCCTCCTGGCTGTCAACCTAGCCAACTGGCTTAAGGTTGGCCAATACACTAAGATCCCTCACCGCGTGATGTTCGGCACGCAGATCTACGGAACCCTTCTCGGTGCAGGTCTCAACTACGCCGTCATGACCACGATCGTCAACAACCAGCGCGAGATTCTCCTCGATCCCAAGGGAACGAATGTCTGGAGCGGCTCTACCATGCAAAGTCTCAACTCCCAGGCCATTACATGGGCGCTAGCCAAAGAGATGTACGGGATGGCAGGCCGCTACGTCATCGTTCCTCTGGGCTTGCTCATCGGCGCTGCTATGCCCGTGATTCACTGGGGTCTCATCAAACTGATCCCGCGATTGAAAAACTGGCCGATCAACACCACCATTATTATTGCCTTTTCAGGAAACGTTTACTTCGGCAACACTTCATGGATCTGGTCCTCGATTGCAGTCGGTGTCTTCTCGCAGTTCTGGCTTAGACGTCGTCTTCCGCGCATCTACAACAAGTACAACTACCTCATTGGAGCGGCGCTGGATGGAGGATCTCAAGTTGTGATTTTCATCTTATCTTTCGCTGTCTTCGGTGCAAGTGGCAAAGAACACCCGTTTCCAACTTGGTGGGGGAATCCATCGGATACTAACCCGGATCACTGCCTATGAGATTTCATCTGACTTCAGCAGAGATCCCATCAGACTTTGGTAAGATATGTTTGGATTTTCTGACGAAGCCTGATGGAATCCCTACTGAAGCTGATGATGTGGGGATCATCCAGCGTAAGAAAAATCTATAGTCCATGTAAAAAGCACAGGAGCAACAAAAGCCGTTGCCAGAGATGTATGTTTAAGGACTGTATTGTAGAGACGTTGAAGCCTTTCGCTCCCTACGTTTCTACGTACGCTCTGATTCATGGTGAAAGCTGCCAATTTTCACACTCAATTGTGGTATACAAGCCACTCACCCTGTCCACTCGTCATCGTCATCATCCGCCCCCGACGGTGTGTCGGCATCACTGTTGTGGACGGGTTCGATGTCGATCAACATGACGCGCTTCCGCATCGTCGGACAGATCCGGACGGCCCTATCACTAACTTTATCTGAATCTGTCTCTTCGTCAGTGATGCTTTTCGAGCTTTCCCTTGACCTTTTGCCAACCAGGTTGGGAGATCTCTTCCGCTTCATTCCCACGTTTCCCCCCTTTCCGCCACGCTCTGCCACGAGCGCGGCCACGAGGCCCGGCACGCTTCCTTTCGCCTGTGCAAGGCTTCTCATCACATCCAGAGCCTCCTCTTCAGTCTTCCCGTCCATCATCATCTGCTTCATCCTATCCCAGAAGGCCTTTCTTCTCGTGAACCACGACCGGCTGTACGCCTCTCTGCGCCATCTCGCTCGATACTTGTCTTCGAGTTGCTCGACTGGCGGCTGGTCATGTAGACCGTACTTCCACTCGGCCCATTGTTCTTCTACCATATCGGGATGCTTGTAAAATTTGAAGATTGGCCGTTCCACTCCGTCCGCCCCAGTAACAGTCAAGGAACTGAAGTACTTCGGATCATCGTAGGGGCTTGGGGGCTCGGCATGTGGTGCCAGCTGTTGCGGGCGAACGTCGGACTGTTTCTCAGAGGGCTGTGATGACATTCCATCAGCGTCCAGGTTGATACCAGAATCGTTCGTAATTTCCGTTGGCTTCGGTTTCGCGACGACGGGCTTTCTCTTCGGTTGGTAAGGTCGACGATTCGCGGCAACATTAGGCCGCGGAGCCTTCTTGCCGGTACTTCTAGCCCTTTGTGGAAGGACGGCCGCCACTTTTGGTGTTCCGCCCGCCTGTATTTCGCTTTCTCTAGCCATCAAGTCCTCATACTGCTGAGGAGCGGGCGTCAAGCTCCGAGAACCATTCGGGAATGCCGCCGGCAAAGCGGGCGGAGATGGAGACGGAAACGGAGACGGTGGACCCTGCGTCTCGATGTTCGGAGCCGGCCCCGATGACAGTCCCTCCTTCGCCAAAAGTTCTTCGACATTAATTCCATACACATTCTGAAGACCTGCGTTAGTCAACATCTCACAAAAGTCAGTTACTCATATGACAACACTTACTTTGATCAGTCCTCTTAACAACTTCTGCTCCAGCTTCCACTTTTCCTCAAACGTCGCCTTCCAGCTCTGTACTTCGCGCTTCCACTGCGCTTGCTTCTCGCCAATATCCTCAACTTCTCGGATGTACTTCTTCTGCAGTTCGATCACGATACCGGCCAGCTCGTTTTCGGTTTCAGGCTCTGCGTCGGTGGTCGTTGTTGCGCCTGAGGCCGTTGCCGGCGGTGGGTCGATGTCATCATCGTCGCTCTCACTGTCGGAATAGTCTACGAGCCGGCGACGTATCGGCGCCGGCGCAGACGCAGGCAGTCCGTCTAGTCTTAGGATTGGCATTGTGATGTGCGATAATCTCGTTACCACACCAAATCTGCCCCATGGCGATCGGTAGACTTCAACTAGATGTGTTCTGCTGATATATACAACAAGTGACATGGATCGTCTCCGACAAGTCGTGTGTAAGTTGTGGAAAATTCGATTGAGCCCCCGAGCCTTCCCGAGTGGATGAGATGGCTCGTGTTTTATCGCTCTGTCTCGTTTCGGTGCATCCGTGTAAGGGCTCGGTAGGAGATACTGATTGACACTCGCTTCTCGAGACGCCTTTGTCGACATACTGATTGTTTCTATTTTCCACTCGAAATATCCATTGTTCGTCCGGACAGGGATAATCAATTGCGGTTAGGTATGGTCCGGACCCTGGGGCAGGGCGACGATGATGGCTCGTGGTATCTTGGCGCGTTTGTTTCGTTGGCCTTCGAACTCGGCATGATAATCTGTTTTCCTAGGAGACTTTGCCCTTGAGGGCCAAATCACATGTCTTTCGCTCAGGTCCGTAACACATGAGCCTTTGTTCATCCAATCATGAACTACTTAAGCCAATCCATTGAATCTTGGCTTCAAGTTATTACTTTTGAGCCATTATTGGTCGTCGAAAACATGAAGTATATTATTCAGAGCTACTGCTGGGCACAGAGTGCTTTTCACAAAGTAGCACCTTCGCGTCAATACCAAGATCCTAGGGTAAACTTCGCTCAACTGACTGAGCTTTGCTTTAGAAACGTTCTCCTTCCACCTTCCATGCTATTAGGATGTCGACTAAGTCTATCCTATAATAGAAAAGGTGCTGTTGACTGGAAGATCTCGAGAGCTGAAGCCTACTTTGAAGGTGAAGTCGCCTTCGGGAATGATCCAGGTTTGCTCGCTCGTGCTCCAGTAACTCAGGTCTCTGCGAAGAAGACGAAACTCGACGTCAGAAGAGGCACCCGCATCTAACCATATCTTCTCGAAACCCCTAAGGACCTTTTGAGGTGTTCCCTCCGGCACACCGTCCGGGTACGACAGGTAAAACTGCGGAACAGAATGAGCTGCCACCTTGCCAGTGTTAGAAACCTTCGCCTTGACTACAACAACTTCTTCCCAAAGTTGAGGGTTGCCGCCAGGCTGCACCTGAAGCGAGGAGTCTGGTCGGGATGCAACCTTTGATTCCCCGTCAACGAAGCTGACATCAACGTCGCCTTCGATGGCAAAGGTTGTGTAGGTCAACCCATACCCAAACTCGTACAGTGGCTCGATATTGGTGGCGTCGTAGTGACGATAGTCGATGAGCTGCCCTTCGGTGAAATCAGACTGCCAAGAGAGAGGATCTGAGACGGGCCCAGTGAGGTTGACGACCGGAGGGCCAGCATCCTCCTCATTGAGCGGGATGGTGTAAGGAAGACGTCCCGATGGGGCGACATCACCCCAAAGAAGATCAACGATGGAGTTTCCGCTTTCTTGTCCGGGATAGTGGGCAGCAAGAATGGCTCCAATCTTGGTGTGATTAGCCCAAGGCATGGTATTGACACCACCGGAGTGGGTTACGACAATGGTGTTGCCGCAGAAGTTAGCAACGTTATTGATAACCGCTGTGGAGTTGCCGTCGAGTTCAAATGACGTGCGGTCGAAGCTCTCGCTGGCGAAGGTTTGCTGAAAAACGATGCAGATCTCTGGGGGCGGGTAGATACCTCTGAAGTCATTTCTCGCTAGAAGCTCGTTGTTGGTGGCGTAGAGAACCTCGGTGTTTGTCTCCGCTGCTTTGGACTGAATGGCCCTGAGAGGTGAGACGACATAAGAAGCTCGACCTGTACCAGATCCGCCGCCTATGATCATGGTGCCCGTATTGACGCTGTCCGGGACCTCCGATGGGCGGTAGAATCCATCTGTCATGTCGCCCGCGTCGTTGCCGAAGACGCCGATGATCTTGGGGTTGGTGAGGGGCAATGTCTCGTTAGTGTTCTTGAGAAGAACTGTGCCGGCAGCGCCCATCTCGCGGATCACCTTGGCATGGTCTCCTCTCACATCACGGCCGTGCTCGAAGACAAAATCTTCTGGAAGATATCCGCCCTCCTTAGCCACTTCAAGCCCCACTTCTTGGACGAGAGTTACCCATCTGAGGGCAGGGTCTGCGGTGGGATAGTCTTCGGCGTCTTGTCCAAGGAAGTAGTATGGTGTGAGAATGTTGCGGATCATCTCGTCGATTCTGGCTTCCGTAACAGTGCCGTTATCAATAGCCTCAAGTACCTTGTCGCCGAAGTACGTGGCAGCTCCTGGGTAGCCCGAGGGGATGATGCCAGGCATTTCCAAGTCCAAACCGGCATTGATAGACTCGGCGGTGGAGTGTGTGGCGAACCAATCGCTGACTGTGTAACCTTTGAAACCCAACTCTTCCCGGAGGAGGGTTTGGAGGATGTGCGGGTTCTCGCAGGCGTATGTTTGGTTGAGACGGTTGTAAGAACACATGATAGATGTTGTGCCGGCCTTGATAGCGTTGGCAAACGGCCAGAGGTAGAGTTCATGAATAGTTCTGTCATCGACGTTGGCCGAGATGGCTTCCGCTTGAGTGCCATCAGTCTGGTTGGTATTGGAACGCTGGGTTTCTTGCTCGTTGGCAATGTAATGCTTGGAGCATGTCTGAACGCCCGCGTCTTGGACACCATGGACAGTCTGTGCAATAGAGATTCCAGCAAGATATGGGTCGGGGCCAAAACCTTCCCAGTTACGGCCGCCTAAGGCATGACGACCCATTGGTCCGGTTGATGGACTTTCTCATGTCAATTATCGTTCTCAGTCTTTGGAAAATCAGAACTCACCCAAGCATCACATGGCCGCCTTTGCCTTTGAACTCTTCACCAAGGGCATGGCCCCGACGGTAGATCAAGTCACGATCGAACGTGGCTGCAGCTGTTATTCCCGAAGGAAAGACGCTGACCAAATCCACGCGATTGATGGAAGCTGGGCCGTCAAGCATGCACAGGCCTGGGAACCCCAGGCGAGGAATCGCCGTGATGACCCCGATGCAGCTGCCTGCCGAGGAGTTGCCCGTGATCATAGTGACTTTCTCGTCAAGTGTGAGTTGCGAGACAAGGTCCTTTGCCATCTGGGCAGCCGCATCCCAATTTCTGGTGACTGCGTTACGTGTTACTTCATATTTGCACAAATGATGACAAGAATCACTGACTGTTGTTTTCAGACCGATAGACATGGCTGAAAGCCGACGCACTTTGGGCTCCAAGCAGCCACAGAAAGGCTTTGAAAACGTCCATGATCTGGGAGAGTGGCTGAGTTCCGTACCAAATTTGAGAAAGCTGTGGCATGCTTTTCTGAGGAAAATACTTCAGACGCGTCTTTTATGTATTTTCTTTCTGAAATACATCCGGCCGGTGAATAGGACCCGTGAGCTCAGCAGAAGCAACTTTCGTCATAGTGGTAGAATCTCCTCTGCATGGTGACATGTTGATCAACTGCAACAGTGAAAACTTCGGGCCGATAGAGGAGAAGTAGACCCGAATTATGGCCCTGGATACAGAACGCGGGATTTATCTCGGGTTGCTCTCACCTTAATCATCCCTTGCCGGGCATGTGCCTTAAACTGGTGTCAGCCAATCCGAACCATGTATACGACTGAAGGCCTAGGAATATTCTACGAGTGACGAGTCCGTGGTTGGATAGGCTGCGATGGGATTGCTGAAAGCATCATAGCCTCGGAGAAAATTGATACGAGGCCTGGCGTGGTTGAATTGCGGCACAAGTGCAAGGAAACTGGCGATCTCGGGATTCATTCGGAATGAACCGAGGTCATTGGCGCAAAGATCGTAGCCCATACGCGTATACAGAATTAGGAGCTTGCAAATACGTTAAATCTAAGCGCGTATCTGCAAGTTTGGCCAACTATTAATGCCGTGAACCTCGATACAACTGCGTATATCTTTGCGGGGAACCCCCCGGCTCCCCCCGCAACCCCATGCACCTCCTGGGGGGGAAGTACAACCTGGGGTGCTTAAGAGCATGGAATGATCCGATGAACTGTCAGTTGATGATCGGTCTCCCACAGAAGAAACCCCACCTTAATGTTATTGCTTATCACAAGCACAACTGCAGTTTCTGAAATGGTATAGCTCCACAGAATAGGGCCGAGAATCATCAACAAATCCGATGAAGGGATGATAAGTTGTGTAAGCAAAACCCCCGAGGCTATGGACTGGGCATCAGAGCAGTAAGGTGTTCGGCCGTTCCTTTCCAATCTGAAAAGAACGAGGGTCTTCGGAGGAGCTCCCCTGACTGCTTATTTGCGACATCACGCCATGCAGGGTGTCTGTCGATGAACGATATCGCTAGGAATTCGATGGATCTAATTCTATGTTTCAATCATTGAACTTCATCCCGGTTGACCTCAGGTTCGGTCGGAGCTTTCCCCATCTTCTTCAACTCGGCCCACCATTCCTCATCCTCCTTTCTCAACTCTACCCGGACAATATCCTTCATCTCCAACTCTGGTTTAGGTCTTATTGTGTCCTTGTACTCCCAGCAAAGACAAACGTCTTTTCCAGTCTTGGAAAACGAACGTCTCACGACGTCTACGACGATAGGCTTCCCAAAATCGGGATCAGCAGCTGGCGATATCGATGATACTGGGCCGCCTCGCCGTAGGAGCAGATAGACAATGTTTACGAAGGCTTGTGCATCTTCGGATGAAAACCACCAGCTAGACCCGGCGCTCCCAAGAGCATCTAGAAGTGGTGTTCTCCATTGCCCCCTGAGCAGCCGCCCCGAAATGTCTGGCTCAGTGTCCTCGAGAAAGTACCGAGCTGTCTTCCACGATCGTTTCAAAATGGCTTCTTCAAGGGCATTCTTGCGCCTACTTACGAGCCCTTCAATGGGCTGTCTCGAAACCGGCCCAAAGGCTGCTTCGTTCGGGTCGACCCCTCGGTCTTCGACGAGGTGCCTGACAACACCTACACTGTCGGAACTGATGGCTCTCCTGAATAACATGTGGAGGATTTTATCTCTGTTTTCGAAACTTGAATTTGCCGATTGATTTGTTTGTAACATTCGTTGCCTCTCGAGGTCGGTCAACAAAGCAAAAGTCTCAACATCGTCCCTCCAAATTGCGAGACGAATGGCCCATTCGAGCCGTTGCCCCAACCATAGCAATTCTGGAACCAAGCTTTGTCCAGGTAAGTGAAAATAGTCGAGAAAGTGCTGAATGAAAGCGGCTGTTGGTCTAGGGTCTGACAACCCTCCATGAAGAACATCCATCACCATGTGATGGTGTTTGTCCGCCAATAATGTGCTGCGACGATACGACTTGTTGTATTCCGAGGGAAATCCAAATTGGCCCAGCGCGTAGTATACCATCTCTAGATCGCCAGTCTTCCCTGAGTTGTGTAGCAGGGATGAAATGTTGTGATGTGACAGGTTGTGCTCTGCGACATTGCTTCCGGCGATATGTTCCATGAGCAACTGGAAGGTTGGCAGGTGACCAATTCGTGCTGCCAACTCAACCGCCGTCTCATTCGAACCACCGTATTTCCCTCGTTCTGTAAGGTCTATTTTCTTCGTTTGAAGTAACCACTTCACCAGCGCCGTTTGGTTGTTCTCGATGGCGAGATAGACGGGGCCTGTTTTCCAGCCGCAGGATCTGATTTTGCAGACATCATGCTGCCAGGCTTCGGGCTCGGGGTGCGTGTACCAATCCGGCTGCAAGTCTTGGCCTCCTTCAAACGGCATATTTGGATCCAAACCGGCTTTGATCAGTGATTCCACACTTTCGACGTCGCCTCGCATGCTGGCTGTGACAAGAGTACGGCATGTCGGTTCCCCACGGCCACCGATTCCCAACGGACTTACCCCAGCTTCCAACAGCGCTTTCAAAACTGAAGTGTGACCTGCCTCTGCAGCTAGCCACAGCAATCTGTGTCCAATTTTTGGAGAGGCGTCGAAACCTTGCAACGAGACAATCATTCGTTCCTGAATATCGATGTTGGGATTCTTGCGCAGGTATTCTGATGCGTGATCCGGGCCATACGCATGAGTCCTGTAGTGCTCCCGAGCCGCACTCATGTCGTCAACGGAATCGATCCAGGCATAGAGCTCTTCGACGGTATAGTCTAAAACCGGGGTCTCGGGTGAAGTCGGGACATGATCCCACTCACAGCAGTGAGGGCTCTCTGGAATCCGGGAGACTGTAGATGCCGCTGTACTTAAAAATGAAGAAAAGGCGTGAATATAGAAAATTATCAGAGGAAACCACATCGTGTCTCTATGCTCAAAGATTTTGGGAGTCTGATTGGGGGCTCATTTCGTTGAGTTATTTCAGCTTTTACTTGGGGCTTCGAAGTTGAGAACACGTCTGTCTACTTGGGCCACCTTCGCTTAAACTAGGCAGCAGCACTTCGATAAGAGGAATGTGGCTCTTCGAATCCCATGAAAATCCCATTTCAAAACCGCTACGCGACGTTTTGAGAGTATCGTTTCTTGGAGAGGAACTAAGATCAGGAAAAATGTTAACAGCAACATTTCCGTGACTAATGAGGTCCACAAAGAACATGTAAATGTTGTCCAATTGTCTAGACGCAGGCGGGAAGGTCCTATCACCAGCTGCATAAGAGATTTTGAATAATATTGTCATCTAGTTGTTTCTAACATTGATCATTTCACTATCTCGTCGTTGCTATTTAGAGACTCCAACCCTTGTCGCGATGATGGCTCAATATCGGCCCACGTCTGCTGGTACCACCCGTCTGATATTTTCACACGAAATAAGCGGCAGCCACTACAAATTTCAGAAGAGAAACGAGTGAGTTGACGCCGTGTCATCAACAATCGCACATGTTGGCTTCTTAGAAGGCGGTGGCCGGCTCAAGGTAACGTCATTAACCAGTCTATTGTGACGATATTGTGATGATTTTGAGCTAGCTATAACCTGAAAACACTTTTCTTTCCTCCTTGGAATGAGTATTGAGCTGAGATATCTTTTGTGGAATAGACATGAAGAATTTCGTGAGTACGTGTGGGCACGAGAAGCTGTCAAATCCTGGCACCCTTCTTATCTTGGCGCTGATTTCTCGAATACTGCTTTATCCTAAAAAGCATCATTGTAGAAGTTTCTGTTTTTGAGCTGCGAAGGAAATAATCTCGAAAAAAGAGTCGCCTCCGCACCAGCTTCGGATTGACTTTACGTTTGCCTCCACATCCATGCTGGAGTTGGGCTGACATCAACGGAGTTAGCGGGGGATGAGTTATCGCCTGCCTCACCATAACACAATGAGGCCTCGCGTTCCTGGCAGGCGGAATTACTAGGTATCAAAATCATCCGCTATGTCGTAAGCTACTGACTTCGGCACATGAGTCGCTCGTTTTAAACTACAGCGGCTTCATCTGCGGAGCACGCTGTTCGGACGGACGGTAGACGACTGCCGTTCGTCGCCCCGGAAGGCATCTGTGCGGCCCCGGTATGTGGACTTGGATCTGCGACAGGCGATTCACGCCCTACGCATAAGTTGCGGGACAAGAACCCGTACGGTTGCAGCGTCTTTGCGGAGTTTGTTGCGGAGCGGATCACCGTCGCAAGCGTATTCGGACACGGATCAACGTCGCAGACTTAATTATTCGGACGCGGAATGCAGTTATTGTCCGGCAGGCTCAGCGGCCACCGCCTAAAGCTTAATCTGAAAGTGTCATAACACATGTAGATAATCAGATGCAAAGACGCTCTTTGTATCTCACAATGATCAGCTGATCTAAATCATTCGAACTTATTTCATCTTTTTGTCTTCGACTGTCAGATCTTTGGGTGAACACGCTGCTCCACCAGCAGGCTCGCCGAATCATGGAGACTTTCAAAGATTCCATCCTCCCAAACGTAACGCTGCTTACAGCTGCGTTATTCTTGGGATTCGGGGTAAGATAATACTCCTCAAACTGACAGAAAGACAAGTTGTTAAGTCTGGCAGATCATCATCTACAGAATCGGCATCGTTATCTGGCGGCTGTTCTTCCATCCCTTAGCTGGGTTCCCTGGGCCCAAGCTCTACGCCGCGTCCCATCTCCCTTTCTTGATCAAAAACTACCTGAAGGGAGATTTCGTCAAGGGTACAGTTGAGTTACACGAAAAGTACGGGCCTATGGTTCGCATCTCTCCCAACCGCCTCGCCGTCGATGGCTCCGTAGCCTGGCCCGAAGTCTTCACAAGACGCCCCCACCAACCCGAATTCGAAAAGACCATCGAAGCATATGGCCTCACCGAGAGAATCGGCATCTTTCCCGCCTATCGCGAAGATCATCGCCGCCAGCGACGTCTCATGGCCCATGCCTTTTCCGAAAGCGCTCTGACTGAGCAGGAGGGTTACATCAAGCACTATGTCGACCTCCTTATGTCAAGACTTGGAGAACAAGCCCACAAAGGCAAGCCAGTCGACTTGACAAAATGGTACAACTTCCTGACATTCGATATCATCGGCGAACTGGCTTTCGGTGACCCGTTTTACTCTCTCGAAAAAAGCAACTACCACCCCTGGGTCGCCATGTTGTTCCAGAGCATCAAGGGCAACGCTAAACTCCAATTTCTCCTCAAGTACCGCATCCTGCGGCCTCTCTTACTTCTCATGATCGGAGAGAAGGAAATTGCAATGAAGGAAGAATCGGAGAACCTCAGTCGCGTCAAGACCGATAAGAGGTTAGCGCTCGGCTCGGATACTCGCAAGGACTTTATGACATACATCCTTCGCAACAACAAGGACGGCAAAGGCATGACCCACGAAGAGATTCACATGAACGCTAGAGGCCTCATTGTTGCTGGCAGCGAGACGACGGCCACTGCGCTCGCGGGATTCACGTTCCACTTGACACATCACCCAGAGGTGTACCAAGCCTTGACCGAAGAGATCCGTGGAGCATTTGCCTCGGAAGAAGAGATCACCATGAAGTCCACCGCGCGCCTACCGTACCTCCACGCTTGCCTCGAAGAGACCTTGCGAATCTACCCGCCTGCTGCCGAGACTCCTCCGCGAATTTCGCCAGGCGATTACGTGGATGGTCAGTTCGTGCCTAAAGGGGTAAGTCTAAAATTTATACAATTCCACGTCCTCGAGTATTAGACTGACAGATTAGACCATCATCTCCGTTTACCAGTGGGCGACGCACCACTCGCCACGCAACTTTACCGACCCCGAATCCTTCAAGCCGCAGCGCTTTCTGACCGAAAAGCACCCGCTTTACGACCCTCGCTACTCGAACGACAATAAGGCATCTTTCAGGCCGTTCGCATCCGGTCCTCGGGACTGCATTGGAAAGAATCTGGCATATGCGGAAATGAGACTTGTCGTGGCTCGACTCCTTTGGAGCTTCGACCTTGAGATTGAGAAGGGGCAGGACGATTGGATCACTTCCCAAGCTGTGTTCGTCGTCTATGACAAGGGACCTCTTATGATCAGACTGAGACCTCGAGCCAAGTAAGCAACCCTAACGGGATTTTCTTTGTAATAGAGGGATCAAGTTGGTGGACATCGCCGTCACGGCTTGGGGGACGGCCACGATGGGTGTAGCAAATCATCAAAGTCTCCGCTTCGGAAAGCATTGCGACGGTCTGGGTGCCTCTTCACTCCTAAATAGGACATCATCATACACATAAGCTCTGCTTTTGTAGCAATATAGAGAAATTCTATATATCTTTCAAAACAAACCAGTTCGCTTTTGTTTTTTTGTCAACGTGAAGTCAAGTCCCGAACATCTTGAAACCAGTAGCCCTTACACGAAGAGCGCCGGTCTGCGGATCCAGGTCACATGCTCTAAACCGCCTGCAGGTGTTTACGGTCTTTCCTAACAACAAGCCACCAGCTGGTGAGGATTGAGCAGATGCCAACCACAAGAACCGAGAGATTGACGGCATACGACGCTCGATATCTAGGCCCAAACACCGTACTGAAGACATGAGGGCCCACGATACCACTGCAGAAGGTCAGCTCAGATCATTTTGAACAGGGTATTGCAGGCGTACCCAAATTGCGCACAGGCATTGGTCAGTCCAATGCCGATTCCTGATGCCACTGTTCCCTCAAGGGCTCTGATCCGTTCTGGCCATATGACTGGGTACGCACAGCCGGCGCATGCCACAGATACGATCAGACAGAGGTACCGAACAACCGGATTGTCGACAAAGAGGAGTATGATGTAGCATACAATGATTGTTGATTCGACTATTGCAGTTAGCCTCAAACATTTCATCAGAGGTACTCGAAATGACTTACTCCCTACGGCTGTTGCCCAAGGTCTGATCCACTTTCTTTGCAGCATGAAGCCCAATGTGTTAAGAAGAAGAAACGCTGAAACGTATGGCGGCTGAAACGGTTAGTGTACAAGCCAAATGCAGCACCAAATGAAGCACTCACGATGTTCATCAACTGTGAATATGCGGTCGTCGTAAATCCCAACTGGTAAATCACCGTTGGCAGAGCAAATCCAACTCCAAATCCTCCGATGCCATGGCATATCCAGTACAAGCTGAACGTGTACAGGGTTGGATTCTTCGCCATGATTTTCAATGACTTGAAGTCCCAATGCTTTTCGCCCTTGGGTGCTGTGCTTGCCAGTCTCTGCTTCATGTACAGCCGTTCTTCCTCGTTCAGAATCTTCGCAGACTCGGGATAGTCAGGCAGCCAAAACGCAACGAACGCTAGAATGATGGCGGGTAAACCTTCAAGGATGAATAACCATCTCCAACCTGATACACCTCCAAGCTGGTCCATGTAGGAGATAGCATACGCAAGTAAGCCCGACAGCGCGCTGGAAACTTGACCGACGGAGTAGAAGAATGCTATGCGAAGGGGCATCTCCTGGGGCTTGTACCAGAATGCATAATGGAACAGCACCGACGGAAAGAAGCCCGCCTCCGCCGCTCCGATCGCGAATCGCACACACATCATACCCGCGAAGTTCGTCGCTGCGGCGGAGCAGCATGCTGAGATACCCCACGCCATAATTAGTATGAACATCCATCTCGACGGCTTGAACAGCTTCAAGAGAATTGTGTTGGTAGGTTCAAAGATGAGATAGCTGTATGAGAAGATGGAAAGTGTCCAGGCCCATTGCGAAGGTGTGAAGCCGAGTTGTTTCTTGATGCCCGTGCCCGCTTCGAGGTTGATGATTGCGGCATTGGAGTAGTTGGCGCTGTCGATGACTCGAAATACGTAGACAAGGGAGTAGAATCCCACAAGCCAGAAGTCGATCTTTCTTAATAACTTCTTTTCGAACTCTGGGCTGACTCTGATAGACTCCTCGTCATGGTCTGATGCTGCCTGAGTCGTTGAATCGGCATTCTTTTCCGGGAGTGATTGTGCCTCGTTGGCGACGTAGGATAATGCGTTGATTGGATCTTTAGTAGTCGCCATTCTGCGAGAATCTTTCAATTGAGTAGCTGTGGTCTGCTAAAGAAACATTGAATCAGAGAACAGATGTTCAGCTGAGCTCATGACGAGTTGAAGTGCGAACACAACTGTTGAGAAAGAGGTGCAAGCGAGAACCAATCATCCGATGCCGGCAGTTCGCGCTCCTCTATCTCTGCTGTACCCATCACGACATGATACGCAAGATGGCGAGAATGCGTTTTCGTCCAATACCATGCCGTGCCTCGTCCCTGAGCCCGCAATCCTTCAAATTTCTGAGCCAGGGTGCAGGATAGATATCTCCGGCAGTACACCCAAAACGTTGACTTAAGCCCATAGGTAGGCAACAAATATCAAGCATTCAATCACGTCTTAGACCTTTGATGCGGAGAAGAATATCCCGATGCAGAAATGAGGACTTCGCGATGATGACTGCGCATTATTCCCGAAAGCACGTTGTTGGAGTTCCCAAGCACGCAATAGCCGATCACACTTCAACCCCGCGTCAGCACAACCATGTATCCGATGAAGATAATGAAGTTGTATAAAACATCGATGAATTTTTGATCATTCCCATGAGTTCGATTGATCTAGCATCTCCTCAGCAACCAACTCAAGTTGCACCATCGACATGGCCCCTTCCGCAGTCTCGCCGCCACCATCTGCTACCAGCCAACCGCTGGTCAAGCCCTGGTCGCGCCCCCGTCAGACTGAAGAGGATCTTGACTGGGCACCCCTCACCACCATTGATCTATCACGGTTCGACGAGCCTGGTGGCAAACAAGAGCTTGCCAAGCAACTCTACGATGCCATTACTCGAGTAGGGTTCTGGATTGTGACAGGCACTGGCATCGATGATGAACGCGTCTTGCGCCAGTTCACCATCGGAAACACCTTCTTCAAGGAGCCACTGGAAGAAAAGAGGAGATATCCCTGCAACTTTGCTGAAGGAGAGTACTTTGGGTATAGAGAGAACGAGCGATGGATCGGAGATACGGGCGTGAAAGAGAATATCGAAATGGTGAGGCAGAGCTATGATTTATATCAGTCCTGGAGCTAACACCAACACAGCTGAATATCCACAAAGACTTACCAGCATGGAAAGATGTCGGTCGCCACAGAGTGGTAGAAGAGAACTGGGACGAGATCCGTGACTTCCACCGCGACGTCTGGGAAGTTGCGCGGAAACTCTTCGTTCTGATCGCAATCATCCTGGAACTGCCAGAGAACTACCTCGCAGACGCGCATGCTTACGACCAAGTCTCGGACGATCATTTGCGATACATGATCTACAACGTCCGAACGAACGAGGAGTGGGACAAGGCGCAAGCGTACTCCAAGGGCGGTCACACAGATTTCGGAAGCTTGACGCTTCTCTTCTCTCAGCATGTTGCCGGGTTGCAAATCAGAACGCCGGAAGGAGAGTGGAAGTATGTGAAGCCTGTTGAGGGAGGAATAACATGTAATGCGGCTGATACGTTGACGTTTCTCACGAACGGTAAGCACATATCCCAGCCCTTCATGGTGCCGAATTTTCCATCTAACGCCGAAGCAGGGTTCATCAAGTCAACAATTCATCGCGTCGTGAAGCCTCCAATGGATCAGATCGATATCCCTCGTCTCGGTCTACTGTACTTTAGTCGACCTGGCGATCACACACCCATGAGGACGGTGCCTTCTCCTCTTCTAGACCGCCTTGATCTGATCAGAGAAGAGGACAAGGATTTGGATAAGCCGGTGCCTTCTGGGACGGAATATGTGCGGGCCAGAGTGAAGGATGTGCACCATAAAACAGTGCTGGATAAGCGTGAAGGAACATCATTCCAGTTCAAGGGTCTGGAAGTGAAGAATCACTATGAATGAGTATGATCCGTTGGCTTAGCAAATGTCTTTCTGATACCTTCTTTATTCACATAAAAATAGTATGTATGTACCTTTTATTTCGACGATTTAATGAGGTGGTCACATCACTAGAAGTGAATGTCACTCAAGATGAATGGAACATAAAATCCGTTACTTGTGTTGACACTTCGAAAGGGTCTCTGAAGCTCGATGTGACGAAGGGGGCAGGATATGTCGAAGGCAAAAATTGTTCACTCTTAACCCCGGACAGAACAAAACTGACGCTCCCAAGATCCACACACGATCCGTACATTTATGTCCACGTCAGCGTCTGGGTCTTCGCCGCTCTTCTATCAAATATGCGCAAGGCTCAGTACGTGGGGGAAATCTCATGCCAAGCAGATTTTGTTTTTGCCAAGGACGTCAAAAATGGGTGTGGAGTTCCAACGCATTATCGGAAGTATTTTGATCGCGCGCGATGGCGCGAGTCGCGCCACCCCTGACCTGAGTACCAGGATTTCTTTAGCCACACGACCACTCCAACCAGATGAACAATTTTGGATCTCTCTGTGAAAGAATGGAATGCAGTAGAAAAAGAAATAGTGTACGGAGTAATGGCGTCTACATTAATCGAAATTGAAAACATGAAGCAGCTTGCCCGATCGGTGATGGTTTCCTGCTCTTTTCACTCTAAACCAAACGGCCTGTTGGCCCCACGTTCCATCATAGCTTATTTATACGTCAAATTATGGCATGGAAGGCCTGGGTTGTCTCTATCTCTGCCGCGGGCAAGAAGCCGACTTCCGGCAAATGTCCACTGACCTTACTCAGGCCCCTTGTCATCTTGGTCGATCCGATGACCACCGTGGACAGGGTATCTTGGATAACTCCGAAAGGCGTCAGCAAAGTGTTCTTTTTTTTTTTTTCTTTCTCTTCAGGTTCTGTTGTGTTCATCCCGGATTCACCCAGGAAATTTGAAAAATTAGGACGGGTAGGAAACGGAACTGCCGCTTGGCTGTGATAGTAGGCCCAGGTAGTTCAATCGAGACAAGACTTAGATCAAACCGTCTGGCACAACCGTCGTATCAATCGAACTGTGATGTCAGCATAAGGTTACTAAGTTTGTGCTTCTGAACCTTAAAGCGCAAAGCCACACATTAAACACGATTTCGTTTTCTTAAACTTCAAGTTCATGAACGGTGATGGTATCATTGACTGTCAATCGCTATGTACGTTGGCGCTATCTTCGAGAATGTCCCTCGAATCGAACAGAAATCTTATGTACTTGAATCAAAATTGGATGTTTTTGCCCACAATTGCGTGGTCTCGCATCCTTCAGAGGTCGTCAATGAGGGGGCTGAGGCCTTGAGCACTGCCGATGCGGTCCTCAATCCAGAAGCGGAATCTCTCAACGGCAGCGCGGTCAGACATCCAGGGGCCGAAGGCGGTAGGGTCGGTGCCGGGGGTCTCGAGGATGGGAGTGTAGTTGTTGGGGAGCTTGACGTCGCCGCGGACGGACCATCCTCCGCGAGACTCCTGGAACTCGGTGCTGAGCATGTAGCTGTGAAGGAGCTTGGCGCCCTCGGGGTGAGGGGCGTTCTTGAGGATGCCGCCGGTCTGGGGCCACGAGACGAACTTGCCCGTGATGGGGTGGGAGGTGTTGACCGGGGCGGTAGGGTTCAGGCTGCCGGAACCGGTGAAGGTCGCGGCCCACTGGGTGCTGTTCTGGCGGAGGATGGTGCCGGGAGTCTGGGTGCCGCGGACCCAGCGGGGGTTCTGGGCAATGAGCTTGTCGAACCAGGCGGTGCCGTACTGCTTGATGCTATGATACTGTCAGATTATGTTTGCATTAGTGATACTCGATGGACAGCACTTACATGAGATCGAAAGCGAAGAGGACGGCATCGTCGTCGTTGGGGTAAGTCAGGACAAGCTTGTCCTTGAACTCAGGGCGCAGCCAGTCCTCAGGCTCAACAGGAGCCTCAATGCCAGAGAGCTTCTGGTAGTTCCAGGTGTTGAGCCAGGCGATGATGAACATGCCGTAGTACGAGGCGGTGCCGTTGGGCTTGAACTCAGGGAGGATGGCATCGTGGCCGAGGGGGGCGTAGTCCAGAAGGGCGCCCTGTTCGCTCCAGCGAGGGTAGTCGTGGAGGGTCTGGAGGATGATGCTGTCGATGTAGACGTTGTTGGCGGCGAGCTGATCGTCGAGCTTGCCGTCGTGGTACTTGGAGAGGTCGACGGTGACGTTGAGGGTCATGCCGGGGAACTTCTTCTCGAAGGCAGCCTTCAAGCTGTTCTGCTGGGTGGTCTCGTCACCACCGTGCCAGAGAGTGACGACGCCACCCTCGGCGAGAGCGGCCTTGTAGATATCATCGAGGGTACGAGTCTCAACCTCGGTCGCGGCGTTGACGACGGCCTGGGCGCCCAGGAGGGCGAGAGCAAAGAGCGAGCGAACCATAGTGAATGACTGACCAAAAGAACGACTGATGAGCGACGGTGGGTTGAATAGAAGCTTCAAAGTTCAAGCTTGTCGGGGCTGGCGTCTTTCTTATATGTACAACTTTGTAGATCGCGCCATGTCACCCTGGCCTGATGAACATATTGAGCTTTAGTCGATTTTGCTACATATGCTACATACTACATAGTCACCTTCTGTTACTGAAGTTGTATTCCGCTACCCCCTGGCAAGATAAGATGTGATAGGCTCGGTCACTCCTAATAGAAACTCCATTCTCTTTGGCTACCTACCTTAGCCCTGCCAGCAGGGGCGGAGCGGAATTCGACTCGGTCAAGAGCTGACAGTAACCCCTATGTTCCACTTTACTTCGCTATGCAATCAGGGTAACACCATCACGATCGATAAAACCTCGATAAGACTTACCGCGCGCTTCATGACGATAGTTGCGGGAGGTCCCGCCAGAACATGAGATGATCCCCTTGCCTCGGTCCACTCGTCCCATCTCATGCTAAGCCCCTAGGTCCTAAAAGGTGTGGATTGTCTGGGGGCTGTCGAGTGAGGGATAAACACACATCCTGTGGCTGGCGAGTCACGAGTCAGAGCAGGACGGTTCTGTCCTCCAATACGGCCGAATTCCCGTCGAAGATGCCTTTCGGGGTAGTCCGGTAAAAGTGGGATATGCGGAGGGGCACGGCGGGCCCTGCAAGCACCCCCGGAACATGCCACGCCGTTGGTCATCAGGAGGTCTGTACGGAAGATTTTTGATTCCGGAACTGACAACCGGTCGTCGCTTTAAACCGCGTAAAGACGTTGGCTGGACTTTTCTTTGCATGGAAATAAGGACGCTTGGCTCCATTCGGTCAGCCTCCTGCAGGAACAGGGGCGAACACTGCCGGGGCTACATTAAAGATGGTGTGATCTGCGGCACGTCCTGGCACAAATATTTGATCCTTGTCATTGATTGTGGCTTGAAGGGTTCTCGAACACCAGAGAAGCTGTGAGTCGCGGCAGAACCGCAAGGCACACAGTTTGCTGCGCGTTTCTTTTTTCTTGCGTGCGGAATTTGACGAGCACTGGAGCAGAAACTTTGCCTCTGGGGGCTTAGACTTAGAATTCATCTAATCGTGTCGAAGGAGAGTGTTCAAATTCCTACCTAAGTAGATGAGCCGGTGGGAGAAGGCAAAGTCAAATATTGGCATACTTGTCATCAAGCGCGCGGGAGTGGTGTTTCTGTTGCTTGGCAACTGTTACTCACTATACTGCACTCTGGCCATGGAAGTTTCTATGTTCACTTTCGAATCGTTTTCAATGATGCACTGATATTCTTCTTGGAGCAGTCGGGCTTTACATCCCGAACTCCAATGTTGGCGAGTCATCGACCTTTCGGCGCTTCACCCGGAATATCGGCAACGGCACGCAAGGCAGAACGGTGTTCGCTCACACCATCGACAACCCGAGGTGATTCCGAAAGGCCCGCATTCGTGAAGGGATTCTCGTTTTCGGTTTGGACTGCGGTATGTTGTGGTCTCCCTGGCCAAAACGTTCGTCAGTTGTCATAGCATGAGAAGGACTAGAGAGCGAGGATCATGCGCAGTACCAACCGTTGGCTCGAGCGTAGTGGTGCAGACGTCAGCTGGTTCAAATCTCTGCATGGGTAGACCCCGGCGACGTTACAGACTTGAAGAGTCTTACGGTTTTGATTAGGATACGCTCTTTAAGCTGACCGTTACATGCCTAGTGCGGGTCTTAAGCATGGTCTACTTTATCCACGGCTCACGTACAGCTCCTGTCAGCTATATTAGCAGTATGATGTTCAGCCCCCATTTGCAGATCGTTTGAATAAATTATAGAACCAATGATGGAGAATGACCAGGATCTGTCGAACTCCTGGCTCAGCTTGCATGCAGGTTGATGGTGATGCTTGACAGTACGACGCTCATCCAAAATAATGATATCTAGTATATCCGACTTCAGTTTGGCTGCTTAGCTCAGCTTTTCATTGCATTTGTTGAACCAAAACAACGTATGAACTCGAGCTCATTGAGAATATATCTTTACATCTATGATATTTCGGATTCGCGACGTGCCCAGACTTACTGAGGTCTACCAGAACTTGTGGCAGCAAGTTGCTGGACGTGTGAAATGTAAGAATTTTGGAATGCTGTGGCTGCTGAAGCACAAGTTTGAAGCTACTTCCGTTCGACGGAGGATAGCTCTCGTTCATAGATTATACCACGAGAATAGTGCGTTTTTATTTTCCCTCAAGGGCAAGCTAATTATTTACGTCTTCAGGCTTGAATGAATATGTCCCGCTTAATCAGTTATGATTTGGTGACAATAACAAATATGACCGTAAATCAATAGAATATATGTCCTTATTCAGGACGAACCTCGTCCTCGAAGGTTCCTTGAAGCCTTGAGTGAGCCTGTTAAAGTCTTCTGACTGGATTTGTGCTGAGGTATCATGGAGTATTTACACCCGATCTAGTTGTTGACCATGTTCGTCAAGTCCTTCAACCATCAACTCTGTCTCGCATGACTTCACTGCAGACATAGCTTCGTTGAAGCCTCCCATCAAATTGTCTGTCTCGTTACTGATAAGATATGTTTCAAACGCGGGAAAGCATGGGCGTGGCTTTTGAAAGACGATGCATCATTGATGAAGGTTCCAATTGGCCGTGTGGTTCAGATCATTTTAACATGTGTTTCATTGGCTGCATAGAAATGCTTCTCAAAAATAAGATCCACGTTTTTCTAAGAGAAACATTTAATCTCGTTGCTCTTGAACAGTTCTCTTTGGTAATGAACTGAGGCGGGAGCATAGACAATGGAACCGTTAAGTGGCAGGTACCTAGTTCCTGCCTCAAAGGCGGAGGCGTGTGCTCTTGCATTTTCTCGGGCAACTTCACATCACCTCAGTTGGGTCACCCTTCTCGGCCACATCTCTTAGGCAACTGTCCATGTTTTTTTTTTCCCTTTCCCTCTTTCTCATTTGCGCCTTCCACCCAAAACCTTGACAGCTCTTCCACAATACCTCGGGCATTTTCAACATTGCGATTCGCTTCCGATCGCATCTTTCTCTTTCGGTTCCATCTGGCTATATTCGACCCGCCTAGTCTGACCATCGCGAGCATCACACATTTCAGGCCTGTCGACGTATTGTCATAATTACGATGGCGTTGAAGATCTCCAGCGACTGCTGGTCCCGCTGGGAACCAGTCATCAAGCACATCTCTGCCGAATACGACTTTCCGGCCTCCTCCGAAGTCGAGCTCAACCTCTTCTTGCGCATGTTCTCTGGCAACGGCAGCACCTTCCGCACCAAGAAAAATAACTGGAAGTTCGTCATCGACGTCACTCGCCGTGGCGATATCATTGTTGACATCGTCGCCATTACCCTGACCGCCAGGCCTGGCGAAGACCCCCGATGCAACGGCGCCGTCATTACCCGAGCATGCGACATCCACCCGGACCCGGACGGCGCGGAGTACGTCGGCGCACCCCAACTACGTTGGGTCATGGTCACTAGCGGAGGCATGAGCTTTCAACATTGCTGCGACAAGGAGTGTAGCGAGCCCGACAAGTTTCACGACACGCCAAGATTAAGAATCAACTGGGAGACCGCTCGTCTGAAGATCATCCAGAAGGCTTACGAGCAAGAAGTGCTGGCTTTGAGAGAACACAACAACACGCACTCCGAGCAGCAAGTGGCCAATCTCCATCAACGTCTCGAGGATGTCTCACGCAGTCTTGCCAAAAGTCGCGAATCGAAGGGGAAATGGAAGAGAGTAGCGCGTATGAGAGAGAAGGAGTATACTGAGGTCCTTGAGGCCAACGACATCATGCACCACAATTCGTTCCATCGAGACAAGACCATGCAGAAAGAGCTGGCAGAAATGGAAGATATGATGGAGGAGTCGACACTGGAGGAGAAAAGACAGCTCATCGAGGAAGCACAAACGCGCTCTGCAGAAGAGATCAGAACCCTCAAGCAAGTCAACGAGAAGATGAGAGAAGAACGCGAGGCAATGGAAAAGCGCCTTCGAAACCTGAAGAAGATCAATGGCGAACTTGAGAAAGGACGAGAATCCGATAAGCAAAATCTCCAGGTTCTTTCGGACTCGAACAATGGCTTGAAGGAAAGGATCAAGTACCTTGAGAACAAGAGCTCTTACTCCGACACCAACAATGATGGCTTCAAAGACATCAAAGATCTTTCTTATGAGCTCAAAACCCTCGAGAAGAACATTGAAATCCTCAAGCTGGCGCACAAGAAAGAAACCAGCAGCCTCAAAGCCACAGTCAATCTTCTCAACGAGGCTAACTCAAAGCTCGACGCGGGAAAGCAAAGTATCCAGGACAATGTCAGCAATCTCGAAGTCAAAATTAAGACTATGGAGGCTGAGGCCAAGCACTCCGGAAATACGATCACCAAGCTTGAATCTGAGCTGCAACTCAAGAATGACGACAACTTCCGGATGAAGGCTGCGTTGGATAAGGCTCACAAGGGTCTTCACGAAAAAGTACTCAAATGCGCAGACGACACTGCAGAATTCAAGCGCGAGATGCGCGAGAAGGACGAGTACACACGACGCCTGCAGAACGAGTTGCAGTACACCCAACAGACCGTCCTCAACCTGCATCGCAACAATCTCGCACAGCAAGCACATCATCCTCCAGACGCGGTGTTGTTTCCACCCCAGCCTGCAGGCTTCGCTCAGGAACTTGAGAACCAACGCAACATCTCCCGCCAGGCACATGAGCGTGCGAATGACCTACAGAGCAAATTGGATGCCACGGTCATCGAAATGGAAGCCAAGATATCAGAGTTGCACGATATCAAGAAGACTTTGAGCGAACAGTCCGCCGCGGTGTTGGACTTGGAGAAGAAATGCGTCGACTACGTCGCCCAGATTGCCTGTCTGCGAGTTGAGAAGGACGCCGCTGTGGCGCGGGCCACAGAGCTTGACAAGTTCTTGAAATCCCAGACTGCCAGGGTCAATCAAGAAATCGAGTGCAGAAAGCAGCAGGCGCGGGAGCTGGAAGAGAAATGCGCGGAGAAGGTTGCTGCCTCCATCGACATTCAAAAGAAATGCTCTGATAATGAGGCGTACACCGCTAACTTGGAGAAGAAACTTGAGGAGCTGCGAGGGACAATGGAGAGTGTGCTCCAGGGGGTCTCTATTCATCAAGGACGCAAGCGAAGACGTACCGAAGGACCGGATTTCCAGCTTTGAGGGTTGTGTAGAATTGCTCTTCTGGAGAAATTTGGGCGACAACAACAGAATTTGGAGGCACTCGGTTCTATCTTGGGTTGGAAAAACATGGTGCCTCGATCACCAGGAACATTGAGCCAGGGGTTGGACATGGAACAAAGGGGGCAGGACCTTTCGTCCTGGATGAGGAGATACTGCAAAGGACATGTTGAGTTTGGGGCTATTGATGAGAAAGACATGTCGGGTGCTTGGACGCAAGATTCCCTTTACACAGCCTTGATATGGAGGCTGATTCCTGGGACGTAGATAGATAATAGATTGATCAGAACTGGGGGTGTTATTCCTACTTCTTATCTGACATGACGGAAGCTGCTATCGGTACAGAAGAAGTGAGGAGAACTGGTGTCTTTAGGCTCGACACAAAACCAAGAAAAGCATCAGTGATACCAACACTCACAGTGGATATGACGCAAGGCGAGCAAGATGTGAACATAAACAAGAATCAAGATCGAATTCCAAGAGATATTCCGCGCCCCTTCTATACACCCAAAACGCCAATTCATGCAAATAACCCGCACCCATTCTCACGTCGAGGCCTCGACCTTCTGCGTCCCTTCCTCCCTCTTCTCATCAACCTTCAACCCCTCAACCCCGGCGACGATCCCCGTAAACGGACATACACCGCCGCCGCCGCCGTTGGACCTGGGTATTCTCGAGGGACTCTTCGGCCCGCCCTCCTCATCGCTCTCGCTCTCCAGAACCTTCTTGCCGTGCAGATACCCCTCCTCCTCAAAAACAGGCTCCTCCCTCTTCCCCTCGAACTCGTCCCCGTCCTTGACGTGCCACTTGGCCATCAGGTCGTTCTGGATCCAGATGACTTTCCCCAGGGCCTTGACGAGGGCGATCTTGCGCTGCATGTGCAGCCTGGGATGGCTGAGGATGGCCTCGGTCATGACGTCCTGGATGAAGGCGAGGCAGGCGCCGAGGTGGACGTACTCGACGTGGAGGGGGTGCTGGCGGCCGAGGCCGACGTGCATCATGCCGACCTTGTCGAGGTACTCCCAGAACTCCATGCGGGAGGGGTCGGAGCAGAGCTTGGCGAGGTAGGCGCGGAGGAACATCTTGCGGTGCAGGATCTGCGGCGAGTTGTCGTCGGGGACCTCGTCCATGGGGCCCTCGAAGGAGGTGGAGCGCGTGGTGAAGGCGCGCGCGGTGATGTCGTACTGCAGCAGCTTGTGGTAGACGATGTTGACGACGGCGGGGATCAGGGCCTTGACGTATTTCGCGCCCGAGATGAGGGCCTCGATGTCCTCTGCGATCGTGTTAGTTGTGCGATTCTTGGAAGGGAATGAGGGAGGGAGGGAGAGAACGTACTGCTGCTGAAGTCGAGGAAGCTGTGGAGGTAGCGGATTCGGGCCTCGAGGTCTGTGTAGAGTTCCTCGCGGTCGACGTGGTTCATGTGTCTCATGAGACCCATTTTGGCGGTTATTTCGCGGTGTCCTTGGTGATGTGATTCAGCTTCGTGGTCTGTAAGTCGTGATTCTTCCCCAGAAAGATCGTCAATTGGTCCGTTTAACCCGTTTTGGTAATCTTCAATCTGTGAATGGCTCTAAAGCAACACAAGAAAAAAGCAAGAGCGACCCCCCGCGATATTTGAACGGATGAAAAGCCATAGCAGTCGTCGTCTGGCGTCATAATGCGCTGAGAAAGGGGACCTGGCCGATGATCCGATTCCTGGGGAAATGTCGTGGTTGATGGGCTGGGCGGAAACGAATGATGGTGGTCTGATTTGCAACTCGCACCACCCTGCCTTCCACTGCGCCGGGGTAAAAAGCTGTCAGGTCAGCGGTGCCAAACTACGGGAGCTGTGAGTAATTTTTTGGTGGGGCGACGGAAGCCATCGGAGGGAGGCGCGGAGGCCTGGGCCGGCGAAGGGCGCACCGTTGGTTTCCGATTGTCGACTGATTTTCGGGGGAGGCACTGGGAATGGGCGGATTGCGGGTGTTGGTGCGTTCCTTGCATTGAGGTGGAGCTGATAACTTATTTTTAGGAGTCATCCGGGGTTGATCAGAGGTCTTTGGGGTTGGAGATGATTCCATCTTCTTTGGCATCCCCGAAACACCAATTAAAGAGGAAGGATTGGAATTCTTTGAATAAACGGTTAGGTGTAACATACTGATTGATGCTTCCTTTCAGCTCTCCTTACTGGGCCCTTCTCTGGCCCATTCAACCATGTTCCCGACTCACTTCGATTGATCATTTTTGTCCGACAAGTCCTTTTCGCCTTTGACTTGATCACCATCCTGCGTCCGCGTCTTTTCTCCATGCTCGTCGCCTCTCTGCTCCCGGCGGTCCTGATCTTGATCCTGCTGGCCGCCCTCACGCTCTAACCCCATCTCCAGACGCTTCCCCATGAGCCTCTCCGTGCTATCCAACGTCCTCTGCGCCGCGTCGCGCTCTTCCGGGGCGTTGTGCTCGCTTGTGGCGATGGCTTTGAGGAGGTGTGGTGGGACTGCCATTTTGGATTCGGTCGTGATCGCTTATTGAGAAGTGGAGGTTAAGGATGAGTTGAAAGTTTTGGTAGCGATTTTAGGTGTGATGGTAGCCGTAGTTGATATCCGTGATGTATGTGAGAGAGGGGAGGGAGGTTTTCGCGAGGGGTTTGGGTTGGGTGATGTCATCAATCGGCGCCGGTGCACAGGAGCGGCTTCTCTGGATGCACCCTTTCCATCGTTCTTTCCCCGCCACTATCATATCACGATTGACGAGATGGAGGTGTGATTGAGGTAAGCACCGATGCCATGTTACTCTACTAGGTACGCGACTGCCCACCCCCACGACCCCGGAAACTGGGTAGACCCGTAGGTAGGTGGTATCCGATCTGCCCTGAATCTTGCCTCTCCGAGTCACAGGGTCCAGTTCGCCGATGATAGACAGGTACCTGCTGCCTCTCAGATCCGAGTTCTGATCCAGATCTGATGTGCTCACTTTTATCAGATCCATTTGAGGGGCGTTCGGACCTGGCTTGGCTTAATACACGTCAGTATTAGGCCATACTTGTCTCGCTAACGATAAAATTTTGCATTGAAACTGCCACTACCTGTGCAAGACACGACGAAATGATTCTAAACCCGCTCAATCGCTCATGCTACCACTCATCCGTCGCCCAGCCGAACCCCCCAAAGTCCCAACCCTACGCCTGAACCTGCACCGTCCCGTCCGTACCCGGCCTCGGCGCGCCCGTGGCTTTCTTGCCCATGAACCCGCCCGAGACGAGGTTCAGCGCCTTGGCGAACGGGTCGCCGCCCGTCTTGACGGCCGCGGGCAGCCCGGCGGCCGCGAAGGCCTGCTCGAAGTCCTTCCTGATGTCCTCGAAGCCCTCGATGCCGACCGAGACGCGGATGAGGTCCGGCGTGACGCCGCCCTTGATCTTCTCCTCGTCCGGGAGCTGCTGGTGGGTCGTCACCCAGGGGTGGATGATGAGCGTCTTGGCGTCGCCGACGTTGGCGAGGTGCGAGCAGAGCTTGAGGTTGTCGACGACGGCGCGGATTTGGTCGATGTTTCCTGCCTGCGGAGGACTTTGTTAGCAAGACGTGGGAGGCGCGAGATTGTCGGGTGAAAAGCTTACTACTCCGAAGGTCAAGACACCGCCGGCGCCGTTGGTGAAGACTCTCTTGGTGTACTCGTAGTCCGAGTGCGACTTGAGGCCCGGGTAGAGCACCCAGTTGACGCTGGGGTGCGCCTCGAGCCACTCGGCCAGATTCTGCGTGTTCTCGACGTGGCGCTGGCCTCGGAGGGCGAGGGTCTCGAGACCCTGGAGGAAGAGCCACGCGTTGAACGGGCTCAGACAGGGTCCCAGGTCGCGCATGCTGTCCATGCGGACCTTGGCCGAGAGCGCCTTGTATCCGTACGTGTCCCAGAACTTCAGCCCGTGGTATCCGTCCGCCGGCTCCGTGAAGCCGGGGAACTTGCCGGACGCGCTCCAGTCGAAGTGGCCGCCGTCGATGACGATTCCGCCCATGGATGTGCCGTGGCCGCCGATCCACTTGGTGCACGAGTGCGTGACGATGTCGGCACCCTGTCTGATCGGCTGGCAGAGGTATCCTCCCATGCCGAAGGTGTTGTCGACGATGAGGGGGACGCCGTGCTTGTGCGCCACCTCCGCGATGGCCTTGATGTCGGGTACGCTGTGCTTCGGGTTGCTGATCGTCTCGATGTAAACGCATCGTGTGTTCTCGTCAATGGCCGCGTCGATATCCGCGGGCTCGTTGCCCACAACCCACTTGACGTCGATTTTGAACTTCTTCATGTATACGCGGAACTGGTTGTAGGTGCCGCCGTACAGCCAGCTGGTGCTCACGAAGTTCTGGCCCGGCTCGCAGCACTGCGTCAGGGCCATGAACTGCGCGGCGTGGCCAGAGGCCGCTGCAACGGCTCCAACACCACCCTCGAGCATCGCCATGCGCGACTCGAAGACGCTGTTGGTCGGGTTGCCCATTCGTGTGTAGACGTAGCCATCTTTGCTCCATGCAAACTTGCTGGCGCCATCTGTGTGTTGTCTCGTCAGTCTCGCTGCGTGCCGCACATGTTCGACGAAAACTGACCGGCGGCGTCGGAAAAGTTGTAAGCTGCCGTTTGGTACAGCGGCACGGCTCTGGAGCCGTTCACGGGATCAGGCTCTTGCCCGCCGTGGACGGCGAGCGTGGAGAAATCCGGCTCCCTATTCCATCAGTGTGTCAGATTTTGACGATCCAAAGGCCGACCGGGATTCTCACCAGTCCACGTTGGCAAGAGATCCGGAGACAGGCATCTTGAACGATACGGAAAAAGAAGAATGATTGAGAGGGGTAATGATAGTCTAAAGTCGTCGCTTTGGCTCCCGGTTCAACTCCGAATACGTCGAAACTGATGTCTCAACCCAGGTAAAACCTTCATGGCAAAGCCCAATGTCTTAAATGCCTCCAAGAACGCCCGTGAAGCAACTCCATCATTTCGTTTCAATCGTTCGATACCCCATCAATTTGATACCCAGATCAGAATGCAATGCGTCGCCATGCATCGCCATGCATCGCGTCGCCGTGCAACAGCCCATGGTCGATCGCCCGGTCTTTGCTGATAGCTGAGCAAACCCCGCGGAGCCCCCCTTTACGTGCAGGTTCCCGAGACCCACTCAGAGCCCGCGTCCAGATCCCATCGAGATGCCGTGAGACGCCGTCTCGCGTGGATGCGAGATGCAGGTGGCCTCCAGGTCGACCGGAGAAAAAAGGAATACCGGAGATCCGAGCGCGCCTAGACTGTAGGGTCGAACATCATGGTGGGCTCGATAACGCTCCGAATTTGGTCTGAAAAAGGAAATTAGTATACGCACGTTACCGATAGATAGATTGTGAGGGGTTTTGTCTTACCTCGCATGCCGCCGAGCGCCTCAAAGGCCGTAGCATAGTTCTCAAGGGTCGCGGAGATTGAGGCCAGCCCCGTCTGCAGGCGCAGGAGTAGACTTTCCACCATCGGGGTTGCCAGGGCGTTCTCGGGATACATGGCCTTCGTCTTGTGGTTGACCATTAGCAACGCGTAAGCGCACTGCATAGCACAGCAAGCGAACGAGGGCATGGTCCTCGGGCACACAATCGTCGATGTGGGCGCCAGATAGCAGGGGGCAGGGCACAGCTGGCCGAAGGGGTTTGGATACGGCAGGTCGTCGAATGATTGGGCGATGTTGATGGCTGCTTTTAAGCATATCTTGGCCGATTGGTGGCTGCTGAAGGGGAACGCAGATAGAGGATTTCCGCCAGGCGAGTGTTCCGAGTGAGGAGATTTCTTGCCGGAGTTTGGTGGCGAGGACGTCCCGTTCGACCCAGGCATCGGCGGTGAGGGGAGGGTCATCATGCTGCTGCAAGAGCAGGATGGCCACGTCTTGAGATCGCCGCTGTCATTATCGGCCTTGGACTTCAAGTCACAGTGCTTCCCGGAGAATACGGGCATGTCGAAAAAGGCGCAGTACCGGTGGATTTTGATTCGCGCACTGATTGGCATTAGTTGCTGTCGTGATTTTAGAGGTACCGACATACCTGTTCAGCTTGATGCGAGCCATGCACCTCAGCGACCGGGAGAGGATCTCCTCAGTCGGATCCAGCGGTGTCGTCGTTGTGGATTGCAGTATCCACGAATCTGCCATCGTGTTGAGGGGCTCCAGATATTGCTCCATCTCCTTCATCCTCGCGTATATGCGTGTCATGTCGCCACCGCTCTTGACCGTCTTGTTGAGCTCGATGACAAACTGAGTTGCCGAAAGAATAGCTTGTTGAGCCTGGATGTACACGGCAAAAGCCTGAATAACGATGAGCTTTTATCCGCTGAAAGAACGAAGGGGCAACTTACATCAGGGTCTGATTGTATGACGGGGTATTTGGTTGTGTAGCTAGGTGTAAACACCGAAAAGGTAGGCTCCTCCGCGAAATCAGCCATTGCCTCATGAAGGATGACGGGGATGCTCACAGTGTTGCTGACAATGGACCCTTGACAGACACAGATGTACTACCAGCTCGTTAGCGAAGAATTCGACGACACCAAAACGACCAACGCACCGTCATCCACCACACCCTTCGTCTGGCCTCGGCGAAGACATCGTCTTCGGTACAAGCATGGATGCCGAGCGACATGGCGGATACCAAAGCCTGGCCTGCCCTCGCCTGCATCTTCTTCAAGTTGCCCCTCTGCGCGTACTCATAGACGCTGAGGATGTCAAGCGCAATGACGCTCTCCAGCTCGAGCGGTACGCTGGGATGGAATTGCTGCCTCGGGAACTCATCAGGCGACTCATTCAAGGCTTTCGGTGGCTCAATAGATGAATCCGGGATTTCCGACTCGATTTCGATGCTCTCGATAGCGCATTGGGCTAGATACTGGGCGTATCTGCGGCGGAACACGACCGACTCTTTGCTCAGATGGTTGGTGTCGTTTGAACACGGAATCAACGCCAGGATGGCCGAAATAGCCAGGCTAATTGGTGTTGATGGCTGATACTCGTCTTGAAAGCTGTCGGTATCGTTCTGGAAGTGCGGCACAGCCTGATCCATGGGCATGACGCTAGGAGCAGGCAGGATGGGGAAGAACGGGTGAATGAAGATGTAGTATGCATCCAGACTAGGAAATTGTTAGTAGTTGACACGGTCATACGAGCGAAACACTTACATGGCCTCGTCACTTTTGTACGCTCTTGCAACCGGGATCGTTGGCGTCGGGAAGGTGTAGGAAGCCTCGGACGCACTCTCGCCGCTTGTGCTTCCCGGTACGCCAGACATGAACAAGGTGTCGAAGATGAAGTCACTGTCCTGGAAGAAGTCTTGAAGTTGCTTCAAGCCAGCGCCCGGGTCGATATAGTTCTGAAGAGATATAGCTGCAACGACAATCAGGAGTCTGCTCAACGACATTTTCTTTTTCGCAAACATGGTTGACTCACGGTCTTGAGGAGTGGACTCATCCAATGGCATGTCGGCAGAGAAGGCAGGATTCTGCTGAGCCAGCTCATCCATTGCGCGAGGCTTCCGCCTCACGCGGGCGCCTCCTCTCCTGCTCGGCTTGTAGACGCAATCGCGCCCTCTGCTTTTGCACTGCATTACGTCAGCCATGGGGGTTCTTGGTAGATGGACAACGCAGCGTTGTCTCTAGGCGGAAAGATTTGCTTACACTGGCACATGGACTAGCTCCATCGCATCGTGTTCGTGAAGCTCGACTACTGAGGTATGAGCTACATCTTCAATGACAACTTGGAAGAAGGATATAGCGGGCAGCATCAATCATATAGCTGAGTGTGCCATCTAAAAGTCCTCGAATGGTGATGGCAGAGTGCTGGGGTGAAGGAGACGTACCAGGAGAGGCAAGCGATCTTAACAGGAGGGGTAGCAAACTTCTTCTTGGCCGCGGAGGCGGGAACGGGGGCTGCTACGGCTTCGGTCATTGTTGTCATGGCCGAGAGAGTTGATTCAACATGTAAGACGGGCAAGTCAATGAATGAAAATGAGGAATAGGAGGCGTCGGAGAGAAGCAGGCGACCCAAGAATCCTTCCGGACCGGTCGGGGTCTGTCACGGCACGGTCAACGGCGGCGTTCTGGGTGAAAGTCGGGGTGTGCGGGAGTTGACTGGGTCTGGCAGTAGCGGGGACTGGAAACGTAATAAGTTCGTCCTGGACGGAGAGATGGCGAGATCTAATCAGGAACGGCCGAGCCGGAAGGCGAACCTATCAACTGGGGGTATGAAGTCGAAGGGCCGATGAGTTGGTGGTGACTGAGTGTGCCGTTTGTGACTACTGCGTCTGAGAAGGGGCGGCAGCTGTAGGAAGTTCGAAGAGGGGTGTCGTCAGCTGGTGCGGGTGGTGGTATCTTGTTTGCTCTGCTGCTTCCTTTTGGTGTCGGGTTGAATGCTTCAGATCGACTTCGCTTCGGCGGGCGGAGGGGCAAAATGCGGCGGCCCGGCCAGATTTGTAATGGGAGGGCGACGCAGGGCGGCCAGTTGGGAGGCAAGGAAGGGTGGGGAAGGGGGAAAAAACAAACGATGGTTCGATCATGGGCAGGTGCAGTAGGTAGTCACAGTTGGACTTGGGCATTTTGGCATTGTCGTTTGTCGTTGACATTTGGCAATGAGTGGCGGACAGGGCACGAGCCAAGTACCTATGAGAGAGAGAATTTGAGGGGATTTTCCTTCTTCTCTTTTTCATTTTTTTTTATTTTTTATTTTTTCTTCCTCGCATTCTTTTTTCCTCGTTGGTCACGGTCAGAAAAGTCACTCGTCGCTCTCGGGAGTTGCGATGGAGCAGGCACGCCCGGGACGTGGAAAGTTGCTTCCTGCTTCCTGCTCCCCCGGGATTCAAGTGGGGTCTGGTGGGGGCAGAGTCTGGGTTAACCGAGTAAGTTGGCCAATCGCGTGCGTCAATACATCAGTGATCTTCCAATGAGAAAACTTGCGCACAGTGCACGAGGCGGCTGGATCGGTCTTTGACAGGGGTCTCGCACAGCAAACTCTGGTAATTGGCACTGTCCGATTGAGATGCACCGATATGCAAGGTACGTACTCTGTACCCGTCCACGCCTCCTGCCTCTGTCCTCGCCCGTTCCTGCGCTGCGCCTGCCCGTTGGAACTCGTGCCTGCCCGTCGTCGTGTTGCCATTGTGTCACTCACTGTTGCCTTCCACGATTCCATTGTAATTGCCCGTTGCCGTGTCTCACCGGCCTCACCTATCTCTGTCTCACCAGACCCTGCTCTCCGTCAAGCTCACCTTAGACAACTCTTTCCGCCCTTCCCCGGAGAGGCTTTTTCTGTTGCCAGTCAACGTCAGGGCGCAAGAAAAAGCAGGAACACACGTCAGGGGGGCTGGAAAACTCCGTCCAGACGAGCTCGAGCTGCAGAGTCGAAACATCGGAAACCATCGTGGACTCGGTGTACGCATACGCGCCTGCGTACTCGATACTCACAAACACCACGATTCATCTACAAGCGCGTTCATCTGCCACAGCAATGATTACGGATGCTCTGTCAGCAGCAGACTCAGCAAGCACTCGGGCTCGCAATTGAGATTTTCACCATGAACACCAATGTCGCAATCTTCAAGGTTTCCCGTCAAGACTCATATGCTCGTCTTCGAGTGCCATCCCATCTCTCGGCCTGGCCATGAGTCCATGTCTTCAGTTCGTCGACACGGACAGCTCTCTCTAACAGCCCAGTCTATCGGATTGAAACCACACATTCGAGAAGACGCAATACGACCCAGCCAATGTGCGACAACGACGCCGAACGTTTTGCATCACATTCCGTCCGACAACGTTAACACGCATAGACATCGCCCAAAGCTTCTCCAAGTCGGATACGAAGAGCTACTCCGATCCCGTCCAGCACGTACTATGCAGTATCTCGCCCCCGAAGCTCTCGCCCGCCAGACAAGCAATGCAGCCTCCGAGTCAGGTTCCATAAATCTCGACTCTCACAATCCCCGTCTCTCCGCATCACACCCCGGCCCCAATACACACCCCCACGCACCTCGCAGCGCCCGTTTCACCCTCGGAACGTCGCCTCAGCTGCTGAATGCCACGTTGGTGCCGGGCTTGGTGTTGACCGTCAACGAACTAGACCGCCTGTCAGCTCATGATCAACGACCTTTTCGGCCGGGTCGAACTTACAAGATGTCTGGCCGAGAGTAACTGCCGACCGGGTCAAAGTCAAGCTGTCAGGAATTTTAGCTCACGCCATGCGACCGACTGACTAGGAGCAACGTGCTGCCCTGGATGGATGGCATACCCTGGATTCCGTGATATCTGCCATTCTCAAGTCGGCATAGATGATTTCCTCCCTGTCCCACACCGGTTCCGCGAGCATCGTCCCAAGCGGCCCGACGATGCAGGTCCCTCCGTGGTTGACAATGTCATTCGGCTCCCATTGCCCTCCGTCCGGTCTCCGGTCGGGGTGTTCGGCCGTGAATGGTGGGTAGTCGGACGGGAAATCCGATACCTTGACCACGGAGTTGACCGAGACGACGAAGCAACGTCCCTCTTTGGCAATGTGCTGCATCGATGCGATCCAGGTCTGCAAATCATCCGCATGCGGTGCGATGTAAATTCTAAGCAAAGTCAGCCTCGACCTCCAGCACACTGCAGACACCAGAAACATCTGCTTCCGCCGCCGACACTCACTGTATGCCTTGTTGGTACATCGCCATGCGTGCAGCGGGCATGTAATTCTCCCAGCTGTTTCCGTGTAAGCATGTTTGTCTTTCGTTTTGTTTTCGACGCAACCACTGACCAGATCAGACTCCCAACTTTACCAACATCTGTTTGCTTCACCTGCAAGCCATCTCCATAACCCCGGCCCCACACCAGCCGCTCGGCTGCCGTTGGGATCAGCTGCAGCAGTCAGTTCGCCAATTCGTACAACGATGATGCTGAAAGGCTTCAGTACCTTGCGGCGCTTGTACACAATTTGGCCCTCCCGGTCGAGTAGTAGCGCAGTGCAGTAGAGCGTGCCACCCTCTTTCTCGATAATTCCAACTTGCAAAAGCACGCCATGCTTCCGAGCCGTCTCCGACAACACGTCAAACGCGGGCGAGGGGACCTCGACGGCAGAGTCGAAGTACTTGGCGAACCATTCTCGGCCTATTCGGGATTAGCACCTAGACACTAGACGATCAAAGACCGATGGCTGGGATCACCTCGAGGTTCGCGTGCACCAATTGTGCTATCAAATGCGTATCTCCATGGGTATGCAGACAGGAACCCTTCGCTACACCCACGCGTCTTTGTTACCAAAACGAGTTCCGGGGGCAAGAGTGCTGTGTACTTACGGGAACACCACGAGATCGGCGCCAGCCGCTGCGGCTTCCGCCGTCAGATTACCCAGCTTTTCCAGGCTCTTCTCCAGGTCAAAGGAGACCGGAGCAGCCTGAATCGCAGCAACTTTGACAATCGGACGAGTGGGCGTCATTTTCAGTAATGTACGGGGTCGGTTATGGAGCAGTAACCGGAGTACACGGCCAAGAAGGCAAATAATGGCGGCTTTAAAGCTCTTCCACGTGATGAGTCAAGATGACTCCTCAATATGATTGCGCCTTGACCCTCGTCGAGTCACATAATGGCCTTACTATCGTTCGAGATCATTGGAGCCATCTATGGACCCGCGGGATGCACCGGGGCGATGCGATCGCCGGGAGCACACGGTCTGGGGCATCGGGGATGAGCTCAAATCCCGGAATGCCTTCAAACACCGGCGATAACGGAACTCCAACCAGCGCGACTGCTGCAACTCGTTGGTCGGATTATCAGGCGTACATGATGCAGCCCAGTAGGCGATGTTGGTAATCCGAGACAATCGTAACCATGCAGCGCTTGGGGATGCGGGGTTCTCGTGCCTCCTTGGAGTTGCCTTCATAGTTGAGGCTATCCGCTCTTCGTCAAGGCGGCCAACTTATTGGTCAGATGGGATTGTCAGAGGCGTTGTGTAGCTGAGTTTTCATGGTTTAAACAACAACAGAAATCCCAGCGGCCGTCGATGATACTCCAAGTCGAATACTCACGTCATCGTTAACACAGCCAACGCTTCTTACACAGGTCGCGCCAACATCACTTTTCTGATTCAATATTCCACATTTCGGAAGGCTTTATCTAACGGAAAGTCTAATCATGGCTCTTCGTAAGTTGATGCACTCAAATTTGAGTTGATCTAATTTATTGACATACATCACCCAGTCACACACTCAAATCCGGACCCAGACAATTTCTACGCCCGACTTATCCGAGATCAGAAGTTTGCCGTAATCCCGAGACTCGAACTCGACAACGGAGAAACTCTTTCGCAATGCCCTGTGGCGTACAAGACTTGGGGCAAACTGAATGACCAGCGTGATAACGTCTTGGTCATTTGTCATGCTCTGACGGGGAGCAGTGACGTTGGTGACTGGTGGAGTCCACTCATCGGACCGGGAAAGGCTTTCGATCCCCGACACTTCTTCATCTTTTGCGGCAACGTTTTGGGGTCACCGTACGGAAGTGCTTCGCCATTGACAACCAACCCGAACACCGGTCAACGATACGCAAGCGAATTCCCACAGACGACGGTCAGAGACGATGTTCGAGCCCACAAACTTGTCCTTGATGCTCTCGGTGTCAAATCAGTTGCCGCAGTGGTTGGCGGGTCGATGGGAGGCATGACCACACTTGAATGGCCACTTTGCACGCCGCCTGGCTATGTCATGAACATCATCCCAATCGCCACGGCTGCTGATCATTCGGCATGGGGTATTTCTTGGGCCGAGACTCAGAGACAGTGCATCTACTCCGATCCCAAGTTCGATGACGGATATTATCAACCAACCCCCGAAGGCCAACCCTCAGCAGGACTCGCTGCGGCGAGAATGATTGCTATGTTAACCTATCGGTCTTGCGAGAGCTTTGACAAGCGTTTCGGAAGAAAGCCTCCACGAACACAAAGCAAACCCGCAGAACCACCTTTGGACTTGCCGCGGACCGACGTTCCCTCAATCGAGTCGGTAAATCGTGACGCCAGGCGATCTGTAGGCAGAACGAGAGATCCGTCGTTCTCGGCCCAGGGTTACCTACACTACCAAGGGATGAAGTTCATCAGTCGATTCGATGCGAACTGTTATGTACACATCACTAATAAGATGGACAACCACGACGTAGCTTACGGCAGAACGCAAAAGTCTGGCGACGAAGCCCTAATCGAAGTCTTGTCTAGAGTGTCTTCAGGAGCTTTGGTCATTGGCGTCGAAACGGACGCCTTATTTTTGCCAGAGCAACAGGAAAGGCTTGCAGCATGTTTGCCCGGCGCTTCGCTTTCCGTGCTTCAATCATCTGATGGCCACGACGGTTTCCTGCTAGAGTTCGACCAGCTGGACGCCTTGATTCAAGCAAAGTTGAGATCCGACTTGCCGCACTTGTATGCTACGATGCACGACGTGCACGAATCCTCCAAAGCCGACATGTCAGATGCCGGAGAAAGTTTGACAGGGGAAGTTGAAAACTGGTAGATGGATTACAGCCGGCCCCAAATAGAATCGAAAGGATGTACTCGGGTGTTACAAGCAATTATTCCGCGGCTTCACAAAAATATATCATTGATTGAGAATGTGCTTTCTCAAAGCGGCATACGATGCAAACTCTGAACAGTGCCGTTTTTACAATGGTATCGAGCTTCAAATCCCGAGTTCCAGTAGGATGGGATGATCATCCAACCTTATCCAAAAGAAACGCCACCAACAGCCAAGTGCGACAGTTTCCTCGGTCTTGATCACATTATCGGCAGACTCGGTTCGTGTCTCCAACTAACTACGTTGAAGACTTGCTGGCATTAATCCATTTTCCAGTGGTGCAGTATCGGCTAAGACAAAGTTGGCGGCGATATGCTGACTCTTGATCGACTCTTGCTCTACGACCTTTATTTCACGCCACAATTCCTCCGGCTTGGGTATCAATACAATTACATTGCATCAGCCATGACGGCGCTCCGATCAACGCTTCGATCAACCTGGAACACAACATCTGTCTTGTCAATCGTGCAGACACAACTGCGACCAGCCTCGATCTGATAACCCTGGAAGTTCCCCTGCCTCGCAGCGGGATGAACCGAGATCGAGACTAGCTGATTGGGCACCGTTCTAATTATTAGCAGGGTTCGGCGAATTTAGTGACACGCGAGAGATCTCAGCTGCAGCAAATCATCTGGTCAAACATGGCTGACAACACGGACCTGACGGCCGCACCATCCCATGCCAAACCTGATTCCGAACGGCTTCATCTCCACTACACTTCGCACCCGCGTCAGTTTTGATGGAGCCTATTCCAAAATAAGTTGAAGCGGAATGCGAATTGTTTTGCGCAGTCGCCGAACGGCGGAGCGGAGGAGCGGGCCGCTTCTAAATGCCTTTATGTCTTCAAATCCCGAAGGCCGGGGTTTGGCCCACGGCCAACACAGCAGTCACCGGCAACGAACTCCACAGCCCGGAGACGCCATCGCCAATGACAGCTGTCACAGGGCCAAATTTGCAATGGAAATCCCGGAATGCGCGAACTCTTCTGCCGCCGTGGACCGTTTCCCGAGGATGCGCCTTAGTTGAGCCAAACCTCCACGACGCCTTGGACAGGCAGACCTCCAAGTTTCGCTGTCCGCAATGCTCGCCCGGCATCCGAGGAGCTTCTGCTGTTGACACCTTATTGCGGTCGAAGAAGACGATATATGTTGCTCCAGCCAGAGTTGTAGAGGCCGCCGAATACAAACGAAGGCCCACTGCGTCGCTCATCTGACTCTCTCACCCCTTACGGCCGGCCCTCCCGATCAGGATCACCACTGCCGCTGCCCCCCGTCCCCGCTGCACAGCATGGAAGTTGGAAAAGAAAACCGGCCTTGGCTGGTCCAGAAGTACGGCGGTACCAGTCTCGGAAAGTTGCTCGAGTCGATCTGCAGCAAAATCATCCCATCATACATGCAAGAGCACAACCTGGTGGTAGTATGTTCGGCCCTCTCCGGTTCCACAAAGTCGAGTGGTACCACAAGCCTGCTACTGGAGTGCGTGTCTCATGCCGAAGCCGGACTCGCGGCGCAGGGCGAGCTCAACAAAGTCATCGACGCCGTACGGGATACTCACGTCAGGCTTCTCGAGAAGCACCTCGTCAACTCAAATGGCACTCGGAGTGATGCGTGCAGCGACATCTTCGACACCACGAAATCTCTCATCGTCAAGGAGTGTGAAAGTCTGAGAGGGTTTCTGCTCGCCGCGCAGATCATCGGGGAGCTGTCGCCCAGGGCAAGGGATCGGGTCGTCGCCTTGGGGGAGAAGCTGGCTTGCAGAGTTGTCGCGGCGTACCTCAGCAGCAAAGGTGTTCCAGCCGAGCCGGTCATTCTGGAAAATGTCGTTGAGTCGGTATTTGGCGGGAGCATTTTCGAGCAAAGGACCAAACTCGAAAGCCTTGGTCCCAGATTCTATCATCTCATCGGCGATGAGATTACCCGGAGGATACGAGAATGCGGAGACCATATTCCCATCGTGACCGGCTTCTTCGGCATAATGCCTGATTCCTTGCTGAAGAACGTGGGCAGAGGCTATTCGGATCTATGCGCGGCGATGTGCGCGGTCGGGACCAAGGCGGCGGAACTTCAGATTTGGAAGGAGGTTGACGGCATCTTTACCGCAGACCCGAGGAAGGTACCGTCTGCGAGGCTGCTGGCGACGGTTACTGCGGAGGAGGCGACGGAGTTGACCTACTATGGCAGTGAGGTGATCCATCCGCTTACGATGGACCAGATACGCTGCGCCAACATCCCCTTAAGACTGAAAAATGTCTTTAACCCGTCAGGACCCGGCACAATCATCTTCCCTTCCCGGACACCAACACCGCCTCTAACTCCCCCTACCCCGACAGACGAGAAGATCGACGTCAAGGTGCCACTGCCGAGCATTGACTTCATGCTTGGGAATGGGTATCATGGCGATCAGCAGGAGAGGCGGCGGCCTACGGCTGTCACTGTCAAGGACTCCATCCTACTCGTCAACGTCGTTTGCAATAGGAATACGAAATCTCAAGGATTCCTGTCTGGGGTGTTCGATCGGCTTGAGGACGCAGGGATCAAGACTGATCTCGTTACTACGAGCGAGCGCAATGTCAGTCTTGCTTTTCAGCACTCCGACGAGCCATCTTGTCAACATCAGAGGTTGAGGGTTGAACTCGAGAAGTTCGGAAAGGTGAGGTTGCTCTCGGAGATTCTATGGCAGGTGCACCAGCTGACTGGTTACCGTAGGTCGTCATCACAGAAAGCATGTCCATCGTGACCGTCGTGGGTCACAAGATGAGGAATATGGTCGGCATATCGGCCGAGATCATGTCTGCCCTTGCATCCTCCAAGATCAACATCTTCCTCGTCAGCCAAGGCGCGAGCGAGATCAACATCTCGTAAGTCTTCATCCATCCCTACCAACACACGTGTGCTTTCTATCACAGCCGCAGCATGACACAACATCTCTCATCAGCAGCAGCACTAACATGGAAATTAACCCGCCAGCCTCGTCGTCAAAGCAGAGGACGCAGTCCTCGCAATGAACGTGATCCACAGCAAAGTCCTCAAGATCCCCACACACTGGGAACAGGAGAACAACTTCATCAAAGGTGCGCCGGTCGAAGCCCACCGCCAGAGACGCGCCGACGCCGTCGCAGCGTACCAGTCCCCGTACCGCCCGCTTACACCTCCCAGGTCCGTGGCTGTATTGATGCGTCGTCGGCCTGGAGGACGGGCGTTCCGGATCGCGCCGGGGGAGGGCGAGAGCGAGCAGGCTGCGTATCAGTATATCGTGCGCAGGTGGTTGAAGAGGAAGCGGGCGAGTCAGGTCTAGTGCTGGGAGAGGGGAGTGAGCCGCCATGAGGGAGGGATAGGAAGATTTGAGACTAGATGCGTGGGCGACGGTAGTTTTCAAAACGTGGCGAGAGCTTCGAAGTTGAGCGATTTGGAGGGTGCGAGTCGATTAATACCGAGATATCACTGTCTTTTGTAGGCATTCAGATTGCAAGTACAGCATACCTAGAGCAAGCAGCATTGCCTGGCGCAGGTTGGATCATCTGTCATACGGCGCCGGCAGTTCTGCCACTATAATTCAACTCCTTGAAAACGATTCTATTCCTCGTGCGGTGCCGCCTCAGTAACCGCCAACTTGTTCGAGGTTTCTCAGCACGAGATGCTGCGTGGTACCCGAAGTTCTCATCATGTTAGCTCAGCTTCGGTACAACTGAAGGGGTGACAAAAGACCCAGCTTTAGTTGTGAACACAAGAGCATTGTTCATGAAACTCATCGAAACGTTTGTTTGAAAGAGTCGCTGACAATGTCCCACAATTTGTTTGTTTAACCCGCAGTCATGTCAAAGAACACCTGTTGACGGCCGACGCATTGTTTGATACCTCTTTTGCGAATGTCCAGAACTTCTGCATATACAGCGACTACAAATGGCCAGATGGTTCTCCCCGTTTCTCAGTGATTCAGCATCATCGCTCACATTCACACAGCAGCAGGTCTCAGTTTCATTTCTCACTTTCTTCGTATCTATCTCAACCACTCTCACTTATTCTGATCATCTAAGTTGATATACAAAACCCTTACTCCATTGACGCAACACCACCAAAACATGCGCTCCACCCGCACCTCCATCATCGCCGCCGTGCTGGCATCGGCCGCCACAGCCCACGTCGTCCTCGAGAACCCCAAACCCTTCAAATCTGTCGCCGACGGCCCCACCAACCCCGTCTCCTCCACCGGCGCCGACTTCCCCTGCAAGATCCCCGCCGGTGCCGCCTACGCCGTCGACGGCGAGCGCACCGTCTACGCCCTCGGCGAGCCCCAGGTCGCCACCTTCAAGGGCCAGGCCGTCCACGGCGGCGGCAGCTGCCAGTTCGCCCTCAGCGCCGACACCGAGCCGACCAAGGAGTCGTCGTGGATGGTCATCCACTCCGTCGAGGGCGGGTGTCCCGCGCGGAACCAGAGGGGAAACCTCGAGGGGCCGAATTCGGATGAGTATTCCTTCACCATCCCCGAGGGCATCGCGCCGGGGGAGTATACTTTTGCGTGGATCTGGTTGGCGAGGGTCGGTGGACAGCCCGAGTATTACATGAACTGCGCGCCGATCACGGTCGTCCCGGCGAAGAAGAGGAAGCGCGTGGCGTGGGGCGAGCGGAGGATGGCGTCGGCGCTGGCGAGGCGCGCGCGGTTTCCCGAGTTGTTCATGGCGAATATGGGTGAGGTGTCGGGCGGGTGTACCACGGGCGAGGCGCTGAACGCGCAGGTCCCTATTAGGTTCCCGAATCACGGGGATGATGTTATTGATTATGCCGAGGGCGAGGCTAACTTGTTCGAGCAGCCGTGCGACGGGAATCCCCGGGCCGGAGGCGCCGGTGGTGGTGGGGCCGAGAAGCCGGGTAGTAGCTCCGTCGCCGTCCCGAGTTCCGCGGTTGGGAGTCCTAGCTCATCTGTTGCTGGTCCTTCCGAGGGCGGTGCGGACTCGGGCTCTGCGCCGGCGACTACTTCGACCGCCCCAGCTACTACTCCTTCTTCGGTTGTTACTACATCGCCCGTCGCTACTCCGCCCGCTCAACCACCAGCTAGCACCGTCTCTCCTGCCCCAGCGCCTTCTCCCGCTCCGTCCTGCGCTGTTCCTGTCATCTCGACAGTCGAGGTTACCGTCACCGTCACGGCAACGATCACGGCGGAAGTCCCCGCTGCTTCCGGCGTTCCTGCTGCGCCTTCGTCTCCTGCGGCGCCGCCGCCGGCTGGCTGCACCGAGGGCTATCTTACGTGCCTGGCTGACGAGACTCACTTTGCGACTTGTACCGGGGGTCAGTTGACTGGACCGCAGCCGATCGCGCCTGGGTTCAAGTGTCGTGCTGGAGAGGGGGAGGGGTTAGATATTTCGCCGCTTTAGGTGGGCTTCTTAGGGGTTGATTTTGGGGTTCTTCGGGTGAAGCCGAGGAGCTTAGGTGCTATGTACGTGTTCTCTCCATGCTCCTAAAGCAGCCAACTCTACGCTTAAAGTTCATATTGCTTTGGATTTACTTTATAAGTCAAGTAGAGTAATTCTGTTCTTGTGTATAGTACTCGGAATAGTACTAATCTTATTGCTGAATTGGGTTGGAATATTGGTTGCATGGCGCATAAATGCGCTTTGCTTACGTACCTCAGCTCCTAAAGCAGCCCGATTGTCTTTCGGTTTACCGATTAATACCACATGAGTTTGTTATGCCAGCTCATGAACTTGACAAGTCCAGCTGTGACCAATCGTGATCTTAATGTGTCACTGTTCTCGCGAGAGCGAGAGAAGCTGAAGAACAGGCCCTCGTACATGGGCGACTACAGAAAACGCATTTTCTTCTCACGAATTGTTGGCTATTTTGTCCGGTAAAATCGAGACGAGTCAAACCAAAAACGGGCAGAAAAGTGCGGGTTGAAACAAATGTCGATCCAATACTTTGCCGCAAATTGCAGGGCTTAGAATCCATCTGAACCCCACTGAACTCGGCATTCGAGTTCCACGGTATTGACGGGGTCATATTGAAACGGAAAGTGGGCATGCGGACAAGCTGTGAATTTGTCCGTCCGATGTCATTCGATAAAAGCCGAGATTGGGAACGATGGCTTGGAAGGCCAGGAATCCAAAGGACGGTGATGGTCCCTTCATCGCGATCATCAAATGGAGGTAGTTGTCCCATGCAGAGTTGCATACTGTAGTTCTATTCAAAAGAACAATGCCTACCTGGATCAAGCAAAGGATTGGATCGGATAAAGGCCAGAAAGTCTCTTTAAGATCATTGCCTTGGCTCTTTTCTCAATCCGACATTGGACGTGGATCATTTGACTCAGCGGCTTTCATCCCTGCCAAGTCCAATTCATCAATTGCAGTGCGCAAGGGCGTCTCAAGTCAATTGCCAGTCTCCAGAACTGCGCAGCACTCAGAGCCTCAGTTGCGGGCTGAAGGCATCTTTATCTGTTTCCCGCCTAGATGGATTGGCCTCCTCGATTCCCGAGCTAAGGCTGCGCCCTACGACCTAGCGCCTCCGGTCTAGATCCCCTTTTGGTTCGAGGCTCGCCAGAAAGGTGATATCGTCGCCTTCTTAGGGCGTCTCAAGCGAGAATAGAGTTTTGACAAGTAATTAATGAGGGCGGATATTGGAAACGCTGGGGACACGCAAACCCGTAAATTGGGTTCCCGCCGGTTTTGCGGCCGAGCCGGCGGGCGGCGGCGTTGGGCGGCATGCGCCGCTTTCGATCCGCCGTCGTCCATTCCTTGCTCGCACGAGGACCCGGCAGAAGAAGAAAATGTTTCGACAACTCAGTCTCCCTCCCGTCTTGTCTCTCGCAAATTCCCAAGGACGACAAGCAATATGTACCGTGCAGAGATCTACGTGTCAGGGCAATCTAGCCAAGTGTTGGGTTCCCACGTCTCGGAATTGTCAACCGAAACTGAGACAACTGAAGAGTCTGAGGAGAGACAACTTCTAGAAGCCCCCCGCGTTGTCAAGGGATTCCGCGGAAACACGACTTTGAGTTACAAGTTGTCTGAACCCCTAAAATGCGACCCTCCGTCACACGGCGCCGAACTCTGCATGCTTCGAGAGGCCATCACCAGATTGCGCAAGCAATGATTTGCACCAGCAGCGATGATGCTATTTCCTCGTGTGAATCCGGGCCCCGACCAAAGCAAGCGTCTTGGTATCATCTCCCCTTAATATCAGGGGCGGTGCGTTATTGAATCTCTCACCAGACTTCCACGTGGTGCAGGGAACCGGACTCCAGTTGTTGCCGGGCACTCCGGTGTACGGATAAATGCTCGACGTGCTCTTTTTCCCATTGATCAGATAATCTTGCCGCGACTCATACGCTCATCTTCGGAGTCGTCTTGGGGAGAGCGAGGCGGCCACACTCGGCTCCGTGCTCTTTACACCCCCGAATGGGGCAGTGGTTCCGAAACTGAATCAGCGGAAAGTTTCTTTGGATTTCGACATGGAAGAACCCTGCCGCCCATCAGGAGAAATCGACAGCCGTTTTGCCCGTCGCCGCGAACCCAACGGCGCGGTTCAGTGGTGAGTTGGTGACGAGGCGCGCGCAGTTACAGATGCCAAGGAGTGCATGACACGAAAATCCGGTGAACCCCATTCAATCCCAGACAGCAGCAGAAAGCTTCCTGGAGAGTAAGGGGCTGGCCCGGCCGGTCGTGATTGACGACCCGCGGACCGCAGAGACGGCGCGCCGAGATGGAGTAAGGTACGCAGGGCTTAGATCAGATCAGACGATGCTGGTAGTAGTACAAAATGTCAATGGCTGCCCTCATCTGATCCATCTGCTCGGACTCCAAGCTTTCTGTAGATCATATTCGTTCATTCCATTCTTTTTTTTTTTCGTCTCATCTGACGCCTATTTTCCAACCCAACCACACTCTTTTTTAACCAAATTCCGCTCGTAGCCGGTCTAGGACAAAAATGTTCACTTCTACTCTCATTCTCTCGCTCGTTGCCGCCGTCGCGGCCAACTGCAGCTCCAAGAACAACACCGGCGGTGCCGTCCCCGGTGCTAAGGCTCAGTGCACCCTCCAGTTCGATGGCCGCATCCCCAAGGCCTTCACGGCCGCCGACTTCGACGGAAAGACCAGCCCTTTCAACACCGCCAACGTCTTCGGTAAGGGCTTGAAGTTCAGCGAGATCATTCAGCTCCCCGACGCTACGTCCCTGGTACGTGATCATCTCGAACGCCGACCCCCCGAGCCGAAGCGGGGCGGCCTCTCCGGACTCAACCCCGAGCATGGTAGACTAACACGGGATGTTCTTAGTTCGACGTCAACGCTACCAAGCCCTTCGAGGTCACCATCAACGACAAGTCCATCTTCGCTCCCAGCGAGACCAATGTCCAGGTCGGCTTCCGCCGCGTCGAGATGCTGCCCCTCAGCAACGACGGCAAGGACGCTTCCACCCAGGGCATCAAGACCCTCCACTTCAGCTTGATGAAGGACGCCCAGCGCCCCCTCAACCTGTCCCACGAGTACCAGCTCGCCTTCCTCGAGAGCGCCGACTTCAGCACCAACCAGGTCGTCCTCAAGACCGGTACCATCCTCGGCCAGAACACCGCCGACCCCGACACCCTCCAGCTCTTCGGCAACGTCAACTCCAGCCCCGTCCCTGAGCTCTTCAAGACCAAGTTCACCGAGGGCGTCTTCCACAACTTCGCCATCAAGCTTGATTTCACCAAGAAGTATGTTCAACCTTGATTCAATGACTTACATGAGTCGTGTAACTAACCCGCCATACCAGCACTACTGAGGTCTTCTACTCCACCGGCAACTCTGCGCTGAAGTCCCAGGGCAAGCCCGTCACCAACAACATTGCCGGCCAGGGCCAGTACCACTTCGGCATGCTCAAGAAGCCCGTCAACGGCGGCAGCGACATCACCAAGAGCGGCGACCAGCCCTCCAACATCAACGAGGGTATCATCTACGGCGGCATCTTCCAGGAGGACAGCTCCACCGGCTGCATCTCCCTGTCCCCTTAAATGAGTCCACCGGAAGCGATGGATGAACTGAGAGTTATTTCTCTTTATTAACCTTACGGCTGCTGTGAAGTTGACTACGCAACGGCCTAGATATTCGATTCTGAATAAAGAGAAAGATTTTTTAAAAGTTGGAAGATGTCATTGGCGTGCTGAATAAAACTTTTTACGACGAATTGTCTGCTTTCGAGCCCTCTTGTTTTCCGTCGTGATCAGACGTAGAAATTGGTTGTTCCGCCGCATGTGCCCCGACATGATGGATACCAACTTGTCGAACCACAAGATAAGCTGGCACAAGAGCAACACCCCATAGCGCAAAGTTAACACCAAGAGCCGCAGTCAGCTGTCACCGTGCTGTTAGCAATGCCACCTCAACTTGCAAATGCTTGATATCAACTTACCGGCGCACTCGTCGAGCTGATGCCGGAACTAACACACTGCCCAGCACTCTCAAGTGCCCTAGCAGCGCTCGTGTATCTCACGATGTCACTAGGATGACGGGACATCCAGCCGACGAGCCAATACCCAAAGTTGTAAGTCAGCGCGAAGTTGACCTGCCACATGATGTACAGCGCCCACCCGCGGCCGAACCCCGCATCATCCCAGTCGAGAGACGGCCTGTGCCCGGCGTACTCGGCCTGGACGACGGCGCCCCAGACCCAGCAACCGCCGATAAGCGCCATCAGAAACGCATACGAAACCCGTGCGCGCGCGGTCAGCGAGAGACGCTTCCAGTCGAGAAAGGTGCCCAGGGCGGCGGTCGCGGCGATTTGCGCGAGGGCGGAGACCAGAGACGCCAGCGCGCGCGCGCGGATGGAGAAGTACAGCGAGAGGTAGGAGCTGCTGTACGGGAGGAGCCAGTTGACGTAGATGAAGAATGGTGCGCTGTCAGACAGAGTTGTGTGTGTTAGTTGGGATGTCATCACGAAAAAGCACATCATCGTGCACGGTGGTGTGCGAACGAACGCGTAAGGAGTCTAAAGACTTACACTAGGAGGAACTCCCTCCGCAGCATGAGACGTCCCAGCTCTTTGAGTTCAGCCGAGTCAGATATCCGCTCAATGATCTGGACCCGGGTGCCGTTCCGTCGGACGACCTTATCGGGTGGGGAGAGGAGCAGGGCGACAAGGGGCCCGAGACACTCTGTTATTACCAGGTTGGGATCAGCGCCGTCTCAGCTAGTATCCGGCGGGAGTTTAAACGACGAATGAGTGAGTTGGGACGATGTTGAGTTGAGTCGGGGAAACGAACGCGGAGCTCAGGCCATGACTTACGTAGGACAACGAAGACGATGTACGTTCTCCAGTCGAGCTTTCCAGTACGCTGTCCTTGGTAGTTAAAGGCGAGGTTGATGATACCTCCCAGAATACTACCGCTGTTCCGATAACATAGCCAATATGCCAGATACTTTCCCCTGTTCTCCGGCTCCGGGTAACTCAGCATAATGGCGCCTTCAGCAGCCCAGAACAGGCCGGCGGTTATACCACATGCTGCTGATCCAACGTAGATGAACCACTCTGTGCCGTAACGGTTGTTGGTGTAAAGTGCAGCGGAATAAATGACATAGCCAGTGGTCCCGAAAGCAAAAGTAGCCTTCAGTCCGAAGCGGTTGGCGACAATACTTCCAGTAAGACAAGTGATCGTCATCAAAGAGAACAAGACAGCATTGCCAGCCCTATGCTGCAGGTCAGTCATGTGCCGTGCCGGCGTATAGTTGCGATGGCTGCACAAGAAGAGATCGTTCAACTCACATCACGAGATATGGCGACTGTTGGCCGCCGGCCCCGACAGAGTTCATCGCGTTCCATAACCCCGGAGCCGTGAATGCCGCGATTCCTACTATTGTGGCCTGGAAGAATACTCCTCGATACCAGTGGTACTTCGCTGTTGTTGGTTCTCCATTCTCGACAGATCCTGAGGCGTAGCCTGACGCGTCTACGTCACCAACTGAACCCATTGTAGGTGTCGAAACTTTTCAGTCAGAACTCAACGGGGTTGGTCGTCTCTTAGCTCTCCCTCTGCAGCCGGCAGATGCGGGTATTTAAGCGACTCATCGCCCAAGACCAGAGCCTTGGAATCTGTAACGGCACAGGAGACGTTTGGTCAACCGGTTGTCGGACATTCCCCGCGCTCGTATCTACTGGAATAAATATACACACAAGGCCTGCTACCTTTGGTACACAATGTTAGCACTGATTTGAGGGGCTCCACATCTCTTGTGCCGCTCGTTGGCAGCGCTTCCGATCACGACATGCCGATCCGCGATGGCGAAGTCCCAAGCCTGACATTCCATTTGACACGAATCGCAATGGCTACGAAACACTGCAATAATTCATTGATAGATAAGAGTACCCGAGCTGCGCACTCTTCGTAGAATCATGTGTGACGCATTTGATGTCCATTATTGAATATGTCACGAGACTGAAGCTTTTCAAAGGGGCTGACTTGTATTGGAAGGAGACAAGTAAATTTCATCCAAACAGCCTCAAGCAGTTTGAAAGGCATTTTTTTCAGTGTAACTCTCGTATCAGAGCCGGGATATTACCTAGGCCACCGTTGTCGGATATCGCCCGACAACATGCATCTGTAGGATCCGGATCCGCTATCACGCAATGCCTTGAGGTCAAGCCAAGCGAAGCTAACTATGACCGAATTACAAGCCCGATTCTCAAATATTTACCAATGTTAAGACGTTGTGTCGGCTACCCCAACGTCTGTCTTGTTGTACAAACACAGGCTTGTTGAAATACGATCAAGGAAATCCGGCATCCTCAACAATCGAGACCGAAATGGCTGCTGTGACATCTGGGATCATTCCACAGAGCGGTCTTCCCGCATCAGCTTTGGAGAGCTGGGAGAGAAGCAACGACAACGTTCCCCTCTTTGAGCCTTTCGACGTTCCTGGTCGACAGGACACGGCCAGCTTCGGTTTATCGTGGTCTGCGCCGTTTCCGCTGGGTCTCAAGGCAACCAAGTCTCTAGGATTAGAGGAGAGCATTGAAGCCATCATCAGAATATCTCAATCCGGCTACCTGGGCCGTTTGATCAAGCATCATGGCGGGGCAGTTTTGATTCGCGGCTTGCCCATCGAGACTCCAAATGACTACAGCAAGGTTGCTCATGCGTTTGGCTTTCGACCGCACGTTGAAGTCGGCCGTCCGCCACTCCGGACCGTGTTGGCTCCAAATGTCAAGACAGCTAATGAAGGGCAAGTTGTGCTGGTCATTATTGATACATGATCAGAAACTAACAGCATGTAGTCCCCCCGAGCTGCCTATTTGGCCACATAGCGAGTACGTAGGCCGTTATTCTAATTGAGCACACGAGTATTGATGAATTTAGGTACGGGTGGTCAACAATCAACCCGGCATGGCTGACCTTTAGCGCCCTTCAACTTCCCGACTCGGGTACGTTTGCCTTATCTGACTATGCGATATACGAACACGTCGCATCAGCGGTCAGACGTGGAAAATCATCTGCTGATCATGACTAGGTGGCGCAACCCCAATCACCTCAGCCATCTACATTGCTCATGAGCTGTCGCGTCAGGCACCCGAGTTTCTCTCGCACCTGCTGAACAAGGGAGTGAAGTATGTCTATCGATACACGGTCAACCCACTCGTCTCCAATACGGGAACGAGCGTGCGTGGTGCATACGGACAGGAGGTCACAGACGAAGACGACGAGGCGACAGCCAAGGAGAAGATCGAGAGTGAAGTACGCCGCCATAGCGAACGCTTTGAGTGGCACGAGGACGGCAGCTTAAGCGTGACACACATTGTTCCGGGTATGGTTTGCTTCCAACCATCTCAGTTGCTGACCCATATGCTAACGTGGCATCTTGAAGCCATTCGCACCCACAACCCGACTGACGCGACGGTCTTCTTCGGGAACGTCACTTCCGCCTGGGGGCGCAGCAGACATCATGGTGCGACGAGGCCTCCGTTCCGCGGCGACGACGGGTCGTATCACCCGCCACCGACATACGGGGACGGCACGCCGATTGACGTCGAGGACTTGGACCTGTTGCTGAAACTTGCGGAAGAGGGTGCCGTGGATGTCGAGTGGGAGAAGGGAGACCTGGTGCTTCTCGACGTGAGTATTTGATCCCCCCCTGCCCCTCTTCGATAAACTCCAGCGTGGGGTGACATGGTGTGTTGTGGCTGACACGGGGGCTTTCATCAGAACTACGCGGTCATGCACTCAAGAAAGCCTTGGAAGGGGACGCGCCAGGTACTAGCCGCGTTGTGGGATGATGACGGAAGAATCAGGGATTTTCCAGAAGGCTTAGAGTTGCTGAAGAGCAGTCCGAGGGTCCCTAGGACTACAGACAGAGATGAGATCTCTGCGTAGTAATCCACGCTGAAAGTTGGGTTTCCGGTAGCCAGAGGTTATTTGAAGAGATCGGCGGAACGTACTTGATCTTCGACATGAGTGATATCGGATCCTTTCGCCTGCGCTTGTTTCCGGTGACCCAGTGCAAACTTGGTGGTGATTGTCGTCTTGATCCCGGTCCCTCCGGTCCTCGTGTTGGGCCAGAATGAAAACTTCAGATACGAGAACATGGAGAATGATACATCATGATGGGGATATCTAACAGAAGTTCTCGGGAAGAAGATGGACCCCGTACTCACCGCACGCCACGCCTACCGCTCATGACAATCTGTCAGGACTCTGTCAGTTCGTAGTAGAGATTGTGTCACCGCGAAAACTAAATACGATTCAGCTAAGATGGTTGGAACCGGCCAAGAATCGGGTTGGTAAGTCCGGGGATTTAAGGGATGGTCAACACTCAATAACAGGTCAGACGAGGTTGACGAGACATCTGTGCGTTAAGGGGCCTCCCAACGATGCAGATGCAAGATAACCGTACATGCATGCTTTTTCGATTCTTCTTCCATCTCCTGCATAAGGCTTAGGGGGCGTTGGAGAAGACGATCATCGCCATCCTTGGTCTGTTTCAATCGTTCTGTCACTTCTCGATCATATCGGACTGCCTGATCTCTTCATAAACACATCATTTCCCCCTGTTCACCCTTTGGGCCCAAGGAAGCCTCCATCGGTTCAAATTCGAAATGAAGACCTTTTGTCGAATCCATAGTCACTAGGCATCACAGCCGCATTGACGATGGCGTCGCTTAGTCTCTCGTCCTTTAGTCCAACAACAGACGCCACTTCTCCGATGTAACCGCTAGCTGTATCATTAGGAACGCCACTTCGCGCTTCCGATGGCACTAAGTGGGATTCCTCACCAGCCAGCCGCGGTGAGAAGAGCTGGAGGAGTTTTCATGTTCTTAAGTGACGGGTTAAAATCCCGTAGCTTTGACAATTGGCTGGCCTGTTGGAGCTTAGAGGAGGCAGTTGAACGACAAGGCTCGGACCTCTTCATCACACCTAGTGCATCCCAATATCCGCATTGACCTCAGATTCTCCCTATTGGATCAGAGGGGTGGCTTTCTCTAATACCCTCTCTCTCGCAATTCAGTCTCAAGGATGCTGGGAGAGGGAAATGTGATCTCTGATTGTTTGTGTTTTCGCTCACCCCCAGTCATTCTTTCAACCTCCATGTGTTAGGAACTTCGATGTCAGTTGTTTGCAGTCGTTACTTTTCTGAATCACGCTTGTTTTGTATGTTTTGCATGAGACAAGTTTCTAGCGAGCGTCATTGAACGAAACGTCTGGAAACATTGCCCGCGAGAAGACGCCTACGACGACGAAACGACCACCTTATCCTATACACGAGACGAGAGGAAGGCAGCGCCTGGACATAATGAACCATGGTTGATCAAGGGATTCAAGAGATGCTGCATGAGATCGCGAACAAACTCTACCATCGTGGTCTCATCGGGGACTTGCTCAACGCTCCCGGCAATCTCATCAGTCAGGTGTTGTCACCGCCGGCGGCGACAACCGTGGAAAGCGCAAAGGCGGAGGCAACACAAGCACCAGCAGCACCAGCAACGACTCAAGCAGCCGCCGCCCCGGCTACGACTCAAGCACCTGCACCAGCAGCTCCCGCGACAACACAACAGCCAGCAGCAGCAGCTCCCACCTCGTCTCCGAAGCAGGAACAACAACAGCAACCGGCGCAGACGCCAGCTCCAGCAGCTCAAGCACCCGTGACAACGAAGGCGCCTGCTCAGCAACCTCAAAAGACCACGGCGGCCCCTGCTGTCAACCCTCCGGCCATCAGTAGTGCAGTCCCAGCAGCCGAAGCTGTCCCGACCACGGTTGCAAACGCGGCAGCGGCCCCTTCATCATCTGCTGGAGGTCCAGTCCAGTCTCGGCCAGTCGCAGCCGAATCGACATACGGAGCATCACCGAGTGCGAGAGTTTCCGGGGTGACTGGCGCAGATGCCACGAAGTCGGGGGGAGGATCAACATCGACGACGCAGACACCGGTCTCACCAAGTCTAGAATCCCAGACCAATGGAACAAGTAGCCAGACGCCGTTGGTAGCTACTGGTGTCGTATGTAAGTGATTGATTCTGAATTCACTGCCCCTTGTCTTCGGGCCGTTAAAGCTGACACACCCAAAGTGGGCATTGTTGTTTTGATGGGAATCTCGCTACTGCTCTACTGGTGTTACCGTCGGAGGAGAAAGTCAAACATGCATCACCACGCCGCTCTCCCTCCCGAAAGCCCCTCCGACGAATGCGGCCCCGCTCCCCGATTCCCCGACGCCGCCGATCGGAATGCTCCTCCGATGACCCAGAACCGCGTTGTCAGTGGGACTGATCAATTGGTGGTCCAACACTCACTACCTGGACCAGATGTCGAAGCTCAGTCTCAACAACAGACGTCAGGGTCAGGTCCCGAACGTACCAATCCTTACTCGGCAAGCCCATTCACATATGCCCAAGCCCAACAATACGCACAATCCCACGGCTTCTCGTATCCTGTTCCGCCAATCCCGGAACCGTCTCCTATCAGAATCTTCAGGTGGCCCACTCGGTCATCACGATCCGGCTCTTCAGCACCCAGTGTCTTCTCAGGTTGGAGAACATCGAAAGCCCCGTCGAGGGCACAATCTCGAGCATCTCGAAGCACCATGTCATCCATGCTATGGCACGGAAGAAGAGACGTCATCGCTCGAAGAACCATGAACCAAACCCCCGTCTCTCAACGCAACGGATTCCTCTCCGTTAACGGTCCAGATAGCCCAATGCATGAAGGCTTACATACCCCTATCTTGGATTGGCTACACTGGATCCGCGGGCACCAGTCTGATAACGGCGACCCGGAGGCGAATCACAGGAAGAGTTTCGCTAGCACTACTGAGAGCTCCATATCAGAAGGCACTGGCAGCATTGCTAGCAGCGGTGTCTTCTCACCCACACTCCTTTCCTGGCCCCCACCGGCTGAAGGACAGCCCCCACACATTGATCCGGAAGCTTTGGAGGCTCTGCGCTTCCTGCCTATGCCACTTCAGCTGAAGAGACAGAGTAGCAACGGCGATACCATGGTAGAACCGTCAGGTAGCCGGATTGTAAGCTTCCAATGATGACGGATGCTTTTACATAATGATGAGTTACATGGGGCGGCTGTCAATCATTGCATTGCCGAGGTGTCACGTCACGACTGGGCAATTGTATTTTCTTTTTAGACATAGAATTTGGTAAATACTATTACGATCAATTAAATCGTATATGTATGATGCAGTAACTTGATCTTAATTTCGCTTTAAATGCGTATGATGTCATCAGAAGTTTTGCTATGACTGAAGTGACCCTATCAACCCGGTCTCTATCTGGTCATCTGGCGCAAGTGTGATTGAATCCGAAGACTCCATGCAGAGTATGTCATTTCTCTAATAGTTAATATTTGTCTTATTCAGACGGGACGAATCAGTCACCTCTGCTCAGCCTCTAATACAGTTCAAGATGCCCAACCTAATATCTGTGTTGCCCCCTCTCATGATTCTGGCATTTGTCCTTCAATTATGACTTCCTGCTCCAAACTCATCTTTTCCTTCCCTGGATGAAAGCAAAAGTAGAAAGCACAGCCACCAACAAACCCGACAATACCCAGAGAGCCGTACATCCAAACGAGATAGGGGTCTTGAGAGACTGGCGCGAGGGCGATGCAAATAGCCGCCGAGACGCCAATGGTCAACCAGAAAAGAGCAGAGACGACCGATCGGAGGCTGTGGAGATTTGGACGTTAGCCGTGGCGGCGGGCCACAAGATTCAGGGGCACTTACTTCTTCGGGGCGTGGGTGAAGGCTAGCTCCAAGCCGGTGACGATGATGAACGCCTCCGAGAACGCCACGAGGATGTAAGCCGGGGCTTGGATCCAGACGTGGATGCTGTTCGGGGGCGAGTTGTAGATGTAATGCTGCAGAACGCTGGCGTAGACCATCGAGATGGACGCGAACATGAAGCCGACGAAGATTCTGGTGACGGGGTCGAAGTTGACGCGATATTTGCGGAATAACGGGTAGACCACGACTGCAAGATTTCTCGAGTCAGACCATCCGCTCGGAATGGATATCAGAAGATTAGTGGACACTTACTGTCAAGAAACGGGATAAAGATGCACAATGCAATGGGGTCCAGGTTTTGCAGCAGGTCATTGGGGGTGCCGTGCAAAGCCATCTCGCCAGCTTGCGAGATCAAGTTGTTCCAAATCTGAATCCAGCAAACGAAGTAGAGCGGGAAGAATAGGAACATCTGGGCGAAGGAACGATCCGATTAGCTTTGTGCATAGAAAGAGATCTTGATCTGTACTCGCTCACCTTGCAACTGTTGAGCCCTCGCATCACGTCCATGACGTACTCGTTCGTGAACCTTTCTTCTCTGGCAATTGCGTACCTCCCGTCATGTCCACTTTCTCTGAGTGCCGAAGGAGTGGCGTTTTCGAATCCCTTCTCTTTGATTGCGATACTGGTAACGCGGAAAGCGTCCACGATGGCAGAGCCCTCTGGCGGGACCTTAACATATTTCTTCTGCCCTGAAATGAAGACTCCGGCAGAGATGATAATAGCACTGAATCACGTTAGACGGGAAATCGCTTGAGACTGGGTCGAAATGGTATCTTACATGAGCGGAATAAGATACGCCAGCCAGAATGAGTGGTGAGCCTCAACGTTGACGGTAATCAAAGGCGATAACGCGCCGATGTTGACGACCCAGTAGAACCTGATGAGAGCGCCGGTTGTTAGTCAAAGCCAGGGACGGCCTCGGAAGCGAGAGATTGTTTCCACCTACCACATGAACATCCGTTGAACAGTGAGCTCCGGATCAACCAACACCTCCTCGCCCGACTTCAACGTCCTCACGATGGGATGCGAGTTTCGGTATTGCTCAGCACACATCGGCGTCACATTCGCTTTGATGGAACCTGTGCCAAGGCCAATGAGAACCATGGCGGCGATCAAGCCCCCGAAGCCGGCTCCGCTGGTTATCGACTTCGGCGTGGCGGTAGCAACAAGAACTACCAAGCCAACGATGTATACGGAACAGGCGACGAGTATGGTTTTGAACTTTCCGATGTACTGGTCTGTAGGATGGAGTACAGTGTCAGTGCTGCGTTCCAGAATAGTTTCCACACACACACACACACACACACACAGCTGGGATGATTTTACCTGCGATCACAGCACCAATTACCGTCGATGCGTATGCCCAGAACTTGAAGAAGTTTCCCAGTGCTGTTGCCACAGCTTGGCCACGGCCAAGGGCGCCTGGGAGATCGGAGCTTGGATCATAGGGGTTGCTAGAGGTACTTCAGTCAGTGGATTGTCACAAACCCAACTTGTAAGTTTCCTGATGTTTGGGTAGTTATTGATTACTTACTTGATATAGTTCTGAATCGGTCCACTCAGTCCAAAATATGTGAACCGCTCCCCAAGCTCAACAATCAAGATCAACAAAGCCACAGTCGGGAGTTTGTCCGGCACTCTTCTGAGACCGGCCCATTGTGGAGTCGACAACTTGACAGGTGCGTCGGCTTGCACCTGTGCCTCCTCCGGGCCCGTGATGTTGTCCTTGTTGTCGCTCATAGTTGCTTCAAGCCAACAGCAGAACCCTCAAGAAACCTGGCAGTCATCGAACGATGATTCCCGAAAAGTGGCATGTTGAAGAGTCAAATAAGTAAAAGCAAAGTCGGCTACCAGACTTGTTCCTTGACTGATCCCCTGACTCGATCCGGCGCGGCGGGTAGAGCGGGGTCCCCCAGACTTCGCATGAACCGCAGATACGGGAGATAACGCTGGGGAATTTACGTGAATTTTCATAGGCGGCGTTCTCTGGCCTATCACGCGAGATAGTAATCGAGAACGCCGCCAATCAAGTTCAACACCGTCATCTTCCGGGGGGCCATCCGCCGAAGACCCACCAAGATCGGCCATCCGGACGCCGCCAATCAGAGCCTACGCCGTGGACCAGGACGTCCGCTTAAGGAATCCAAGGTCCGGTCTGGCGATGTGCGGCCTCGACATACGAGACGGTATCTATCCTCGATTTCTGTTCAATGCATCGTAACAGCCTCATTCCGTTTGAATCACCTGCGCCACCAAACACATTGCATCCTTACGAAAATGACAGTCCCAGGAAGGCAAAGAGAACAGCAAACACCAAAGCCGAGTCCGGGGCGGCTTGCATTTGCAGCAGAGAATTACCCCGGCATTGATCCCGAATGGGTACGGTTATGGAACGAGCATGGTGGCTCAATGGTGAGGGCCGATGAAGTTAGCCTTGAGGAATATCGGAAGAGCCCAGGGCAGTACAGTTTTACCTATCCGACATGCGCTGGTTCGTTCAATGCCTGTAGTTTTACTTGCAATTGAGGGCAATTTTGACATTGTTGTTAGGACCTGAAGTATTTCACGTTGAAGATCGAATGATTCCTGTCACTCAACCAGCCGGGAATATCAAAGTTCGGATTTACTCGCCAGAGGGACCGGGGCCGTTTCCTGTGCACCTCAACTTCCACGGAGGTAAGACGTGCAACCCGAGTTTTTCAAACTCGAAAGGAATATTAACACACCTTTCCCAGGCGGATGGGTATTAGGTGGACTTCAAAGTGAAGCAGCATGGTGTCGACATGTTTGTAACGAATCTAACGTCAAAGTCATTGATGTTGACTACCGAATGGGTCCTGAACACAAGTTTCCGGCTGCTATTTATGACTGCTGGGATGCCGTAAAATGGGTAAGCAATAACCGTGCCCCATGATGAAATGTTGATTGCTGACTTTCTCAACTCAGGCCATCGACAACGCGAAAAGTCTGAACATCGATCCGACGAGCGTCTCTTTCGGTGGTCTCTCGGCAGGCGGTCACATGTCTGCCGTACTCGCACACTTTGCAAGAGACGAGAACATCCCGATCAAACTGCACTTGATGATCGTGCCGGCAACCGACATGAGATACTGCAGTCGCAAGATCGAAATGCTTGACAAGAAGAACTGCCCCTATGAGAGCGCCCGGTTGCTTCATGATCTGCCTTGGGGACCTCTGGGCAGGGAACAGTGGTTCTTGAAGTATTGGCTCGAAGACGATGACGGTAGGTTCCACGCTGATATCCTCGACACGATCCACGTACAGGCCATCGCTGACCTTCTGCTTCAGATGAGCAAGAGAGATGCCTCAACGAATGGATTCTCACGCCTGTACTGGCGCCGAACTTTGAAGGTCTGCCACCTGCGCACATCGTGACCGCAGAGTTCGACCTGGAAAGAGATGAGGGAGAATACTACGGGAAGTTACTTAAAGAAGCAGGGCATCCGGTAACGATGAAGAGATACAACGGCGTCCCCCACGCTTTCGCTCACTATAACCATCCGGAGAGAGGTTTGACGAAGAGCTTTGAATTCATTGCCGATACTACGCAGCTACTTAGAGCTGCTCATTATGGCAAATGAGGATTAGATAATAGATGCTTTCTTGGAAATATCACAGAACAATGAGGTTTCCTTTCAAAGCTTATCACCCTCCAAAGTAGCCCAGATAGGCCATTTCCGGAGAAGGCACTTAATGGGTTCGTGTTTTCCTTTTCGGCAATGGGTACGGGTGATCCATGTGAGGTGATTGAGCTGATCTTGTGCCTGGGAAATTGTTTTTGATATCACGCAACTCCATAAGTGATCCTCATGTCGGCCAAGTCTCGTGATAAAAATCATCGGAGCCAGCTCCGAAATGACCACCAAATGGGTGCCTGGAAAATATTGCAGGGCAGTCCTCCAACACACCAAGGCCTCCAATCAGACTTGTGCGCAGGTTTTTACAGTAAAAAAAGCCTCGCCACTGGCCACGAACCTTTGAGATAAGATTCAACACGTAATACGGCATTGTCGCGTCGCGTCAAATATCGAGATAAAATGACTGATCGGGGTAGGTCATCGGGGTCGGTTTTCAGGGGTAGCACCGGCCGCTGTGGCGGGGCCAACTGGACGCCGCCAATAATCGTGAACGCCGGTATCGGTCTTAGTCCCGCGGCGTTGACTCGCCGGACTAGCGACGAGTTGGTCTGCGCGGTCCCTGAGCTGCAATGTGTTATGCCATGGAGTTATCATCGATGAGAAAGAAAGCGAAGAGAATTGATTTATATTCGTGCTTTACATTGTACTTTTCAAACAAGCTCTCCCGAAAGTCACCAACCGAGATCAGTCGCCACCAAACAGTATCGTCATGGCTCCTCTGAGGGAGAACGACCCGATCGTCATCGTGGGGTGAGTTGGAACCGAATGCAACTTTCAAAACAATAGGAGTCTGACAGTAAAGCAGCGCTGGTGTCATCGGCTTAGATATCGCCTTGGTCCTCGCTCGTAGAGGACTCGGTCGACAGACCACAGTCATTGCTGAGCACTTCCCCGGAGACACTTCCGTCAACTACACATCGCCTTGGTAAGTAACCTCTCTTCTATCAAACGAAGCTCGCGGGTTGATAGAAGCTTTCCTTGAAGGGCCGGCGCAAACTTCTCAGCGATATCCGGGAGCGACAAGAATGCCCTGAGATGGGATCGGCTCGGCTACAGCCACCTAACACAGCTAGCATCGAGCGTCGGCCAGGAATCTTTCGTTCGCCGCACACCATCCATCGAGTACTGGGATGAAGCCGTCTCAGAAGACAAGATAAAGTCAATGTCCGAATACCTTGAAGATGTCAGTCATCGCGGAAGTTCCGTCATGAGCAGGCGCCTTACTCATATGTTCTCAGTTCAAAGTCATACCCGAGAGTGAACTCCCAAGCGGAGTCTTATTCGGCGTATCTTTCACAACGGTGACCGTCAACGCGCCGAAGCACATCGAATACCTCTTCCGTCTGTTGAAAGAGGAATACGGAGTTCAATTCGTTAAGAAGAAGCTCTCCAGCATTCAAGCCGCATACAGCTCGGCAACCCAGGTTGTATTCAACTGCACCGGGAATGCTGCTAGGTTTCTCTCGGGCGTCGAGGACGCGAAATGCTACCCGACTAGAGGCCAGATTGTGCTGGCGAAAGCCCCTCAGGTGAACACCAACGTCATGCGACATGGTAAAGACTATGAGACATATATCATCCCGAGGCCCTGGTCCAATGGAAACGTAATTCTCGGAGGCTATATGCAGAAAGGCGTCAGGTGAGACCACCTAACCCAGTGGCTGCGACTACAACAGGTAGCTGACTGGCTTGTAGCACGAGCGATACGTTTGCTCATGAAACCGAGTCCATCATGACCCGGACCACCGCTTTGAGTTCTGAGTTGAGGCAGTCAGCACCAGATGTTCTTGCGAGTTTCTCTGGATTGCGGCCCTCGCGTGAGGGAGGAGCCAGGGTCGAGAGAACTGAGATCAGTGTTGATGGAGGAGAACGAACCTTAGTACACGACTATGGTGCAAGCGGAACGGGGTTCCAAGCAGGGTACGGGATGGCGTTAGAGGCTGTTGAATCGGCGGAGGACATTCTTTCCGGCATTGTTGAGAAAACATCCCAAGCCAAACTCTGACGAAGGCCCGTGGGATGAGGCATGGGTGACGAACTGAATGTAGCTATCGTCTTCATGTTGATTCTGCTACTTTAAATGCCTCTTCAACGTGAGGTTTCAAGTGAAGAACATTGGAAATGCCCCGCCAGAATAAGGCATCAATCCTCAGAAGCCCTAAACGGAGGAATGGAAATGAGGCGACTTTGAGACGCAGGCTCTTGCGTGTTGCCTGCAGATCGGCCACCCAGGAGGATGCTTCTTCAAGATTGGAAGACGCCACGGCCATCGTCATCAAGGTGAAGCAGATGGAAGAGAACGCATATTGAGTCCAAGGAGGCCAGAAACCATTGTCGGTGTCTGGGTTTAGATCTCGAATGAGGCTCAAAAGAGAACATGTGCATGCTTTTATGAGTCCTCTTGAAGAAGGAAGGCGGCCGAACAGATCAGTATGACAGGGAGCTGAGGCTGATGAGCCTACTGGTCGAATTTCGGCTCGGAGAATTGTCAGCTGTACGTATAGCAACGCAAGACGGCTCACTGTGGAAGACAGAGTCTCTAGTTTCGAAAAGACGTCGAGATCTTGGAGAAGAGGCCGTGTTAGAGTCAAAGTCTTTTCAAGATCTTCATGCAACATATCGATGGCTCGCAAGGAACTGGGACTGTTAGCTCCATGCTCATGCACCGGACTTTTAAACTTACTAGAGCTTTGAAAAGACTGAGCTAAGAGTCTGAGTGATATCTGAGAGCTCGAAAACCTGGGTGGCATCTTCAGACTGAAGACCAGAATCAACAAGGTCATCGTGGTCAATTGATGTCACCAGCCAATTATCTCCATGAATAAGACTTGGCCTTCCAAGGCTACAACTTAGCCACGTATCGACCGCGTAGATAATGTAAGACAGTCTGCGCCGGTGAGCCCTTTGCCAAGGAGCTATTGACCATTTCGATGGATTAAGGTGTAACCCGAGAGTGGTAGCACATGAAATGAGTCTGGCTAGTAGGTCCCATCTGTAGGCTGTGTCTGCAACAAGAGGATCTGAGGATGGCCGCAGAACAAGAAGCAAAAGTGTTTGAAAGGTTGTAATACTCGGCGAGTGAACTTCGTACGCGAGAGCTTTATCGATGATACGAGAGAGTGCAGGATACGGGGGCTTTTCGTATGCAACATCCACGCTTAGCCGATCATCCTGAATAGCGAAAGGAAGGGAGATGGCATAGATAGCAGCGAGAAGATGAGGTGGAGTCGAGCTGGAGTCGGGAGGTTGCGAAGTTGCAAATACTGGCCAGCGAACGTTGATAAATCGGCCATACAGTCTAAGTAGACGATTGCCGACCTCTGAGGGGACGACCTTATCCAGCTCGTCTCGCAATTCCGCTTCTTCAACCTTCTCGAGGCCGACTTCTTCTCTATTACGGGAGAACAATGATTGTTGAGACACGAGAAATTGGATTGGTAGGGGGGTTTCTTGAACAGAGTGAACGGCCAGTTCTTTGAAACGAAACATGCCATTTGCATCGAACCGATAATGACGCAGGAGAAGAGGATCCATATCGCTGCTTAGTCCCATGAGTTGTGGATTTGCTTGGGCAGGATAGCTCATCTCTCGTGCTGTATCAGTCGATCCGGACACTGATGTCTGATTCGTGGGCATAGCCGAAGGCGTGCCTGGCGGGTATGGGCTGCGGAACATGGCCTCGAACTCAGATTGGGTCGTTTCGAAGTTGAAGTTGTCGCCAAAGTTCATGGTCGCGTCTTCGGGCCGTTCATCTCGCTCGGGTTGTTCCATTGGATGGCCCGGACTCCCGGTAGGCATGTTATCTTCGAACATCAACCTTGGACTAGTCGTGTCTTGGTGCACGTCAGCTCCATCTGCGGGAGCGGTCCTCTTACGCGGTGCTGCGGCCTCAACGAACGTACAGTCGCGGCCATGCAAGACGCAGAGACGACATGGTGGCTCCCGATCAATGCGACATGCAGTTTTCCGCGATCGGCAGAAGTCGCATGGTCGTTGCCGCTTGCTCATATACCGACGGGGTTGGGTCGACATGCTGGCTGACTCGACGCGTCGCTCGATTCGGGCGACTACTCTGGGCACACTGGGGCCAGGTGATCGTATCAAGGCATCGTTTAACTTCAGATGTGCGGTTGAGTAAGCGAAAAATAATTCGTCTTCTCCTGAATGATGGCGTTGACTGGATAGGTCGATCGATGAGGTTGATGAGATGAAGTCAAGATGAAGGTGCACGGTTTTCGCTGGCAGGAAGGAGTCGGCTAGCATTGGATGATTTCCCCAGAGTTCCCAGCTGGCACCAGATGGCAGCGGAAGTCAACGACATCGTCTGCAGCTCAACATCGTTGACAGACAACAACCCCAAACATGTTGAACGAAAACCATGTAAAATCATGAGAGCGGACTTAAGTAATACCTGATATCAAGAAAATCTTATAATCAACAGAAAGTTGATTGAGCAAGATTGTGATTATCCGGGGCGCCTTAGAAACATCCAGTACGTGTTCTAGACATGTATCTCCGAGGTCACCAAAAATAAGAATGGTGAAGCGAAGGATGAAATTAATTAACTGACTTGTGGATATCTTCAAATTTCACTCGGTTCATCTTGACCCGGCTTCAACGCGGGATCCCCGCGATGAACGGCTTCCCCACGACTCCACAATCCCCGCGTTCCGGGCCGAAGTTGGAGATAATCCCCCTCCAGCTCCGGCCACGGCGCCCGGTGACAAATTAAAACGCCGCCAATGGCTGAATTTCAACGCTAAAGTCTTGCTGTGACAAGAATGTATTGGATTTCCTCCGATCACGGGCGTTTTGTGGTGGTTCTACGGCAATATTCCCCATCTTCCGTGGGGGTCTTACGTGGGGTGTGTTCGGGGAGAAGTCCGGAATCATCAAACGGGAATGCGGCAGTTATCCGCCTATCATCTGATCCGTCACGGTCTTGCAGAATTCCGAAAAGGTGGCACTGTTGTAAGAGACAAAAACAAGATGGGGGAAGACGTAAGTTGAATACCGTAAATACGATGATATTTGAAACAACGTAGCATGCTTGCCTAGTACATCTGATCCTACATCAAAACAAATCGGTGACAGCACCATCTGATGCACTCGCAACCAAGTGAGCATACTTGGCCAGAGTACCCCTCGTCACAGGAGGCTTGGGCGGTTTCCATCCAACCAGCCTCTGCTTGATCTCCTCATCGCTCAGATTCATGCTGATAGTACACGACTCCGCGTCGATGGTGATGACGTCGCCATCGTTAATGACAGCGATGGGTCCTCCTACCGCGGCTTCGGGAACGATGTGGCCCACAATGAAACCGTGACTAGCTCCGGAGTACCGACCGTCAGTGATTAGTGCGACGTTCTTGAGGTTGGCTCCGATGAGAGTTGCTGATGCCTTCAGTTGCTCCGGCATGCCAGGTCCGCCTTTGGGGCCTTCGTACCGGACAACCAGGACGATGTTCCTGTCTCTCGGGATGTTGCCGGCATTCAGCTCTTGAACTAACTCGGATTCTTTGTTGAAGACGCGCGCCTCTCCTTGAAATCGAAGGCCCTCCTTACCCGTGATCTTGGCCACTGCTCCGCCTGGCGCGATGTTGCCGTGCAGAACGACGAGATGTCCAGCTGGCTTGATGGGGTTTGATAGAGGCCTGATGATGTCTTGTTCAGCGGGCAGAGACGGCCAGGAAGCCACGTTCTCCTCGAGGGTCTTGCCAGTAACCGTGAGCGTCTTTCCGTTCAACAGACCTCCTGCGATAAGAAGCTTCGTTACTGAGGGAACTCCACCAATGTGGAAGAGATCCTCGATAACGTACTTTCCGCTAGGCTTCAGATTCGCGATGAACGGAGTCTTCCGGGAAACGCGCTGGAAGTCTTCCAAGTCGAGAGGGACCTGCGCTGCTCTAGCCATGGCAAGAGTGTGCAGAACAGAGTTGGTAGAGCCTCCGAGGGCCATGGTGGTGACGAGCGCGTTCTCGAAGGACTCCTTGGTGAGGATGTCCCTGGGACGAATGTTCCGACGCAAGCAGACCTCGATGGCATCGGCAACCTTCTCCGCTTCCCTCATCTTAGTCGGCGACGAAGCCGGTGTACTCGACGAACCCGTAACGGACAGACCGAGAGTCTCAATGATGGTAGCCAGACTGTTCGCGGTGTACATGCCACCGCAAGCGCCAGGTCCCGGCACAGCGCCCTTCTCTATCGAGGAGAGGATCTGCTCTGGAGTCACGGACTTGTCATCCGTCCAGGACCCCAGAGTTCCGAACAAGTAAGCTCCTTGGGCTTCGTAACAGGTGACGATGTCGATGGGCTTTTTCAGGACTTCGCAGTAGCCGCCCTTAACGGTGCCACCGTAGACAATCACTGAGGGGCGGTTATGCCTGGCTACTGCCATCACACAGCCAGGCATATTCTTGTCGCATCCTGGGATGGCGACGGTCGCGTCGTGAGCTTGCGCGCAAGTGATGGTCTCAATGTTGTCCGCGATAAGCTCACGAGATTGGAGGGAGAAGCGCATGCCTGGTGTAGAAATTCAGTATACCAAATCCCTGCCCGAACTGATGGATTGGTTTTATGGTGGCATGGCAGGTGCTTGAACTTACCCTCATTTCCCTGAGCAATACCATCGGATACACCCAGTGTGCTGTACTGCCAGGCGATGTACCCCTTCTTCTGAATGGCTGCCTTAACTGTCTTTCCCAGATCGAGAACTATGGCGGCTCTATCAGTACATATGGTCCTATGGTCACTTGGCCCTTTCTGAATCTTGAACCACGAGGGCGTTACTCACGATGCATACTGCAACAATGTTAGCTCATGAAGCAGAAGTATGCACATTCAAAGGCCGAACTTACTTGCATGGATTGCCCTCCCACCACACAGAAGCAACACCAACTTGTGGACTCCTCTGCATCATCTCCTCATTGGGGACTCCCGCTGCATACAGCATGGCCTGTGATGACTGTCAGCACACATAGCCATTGTAACGAAGACCAATCATTGCAAGCGGTTACCTTTGCTCCTGGAAAGTCATGTTCTCTTGTGAGAAAGGTGGAATATTTGTTGAGAACCGGCTGCCCATCCTCCCATTTCGCGTCGTCTGGTGCAATGGGGAAGTCGACGTATCGAGGCTCATGAGGACCCTGTTCCTCACCCGCAGCGGGGTGAACGGCTCTGAAATCTGAAGTCATCTTCTCGAAGTCGATTCAAAATCTGATAAAACAACAAAGAGATCAATACGGATTTGAAAAGTGCGGAGAGATATCGGGTCCGGCGATGTTTTGAAATACGAACAGTTTCATGGGCCTACCGTCTCCCCCACCACCAACAGACGTCAGTCGCAAGTAGTGCGGGGTTCTAGACCAACCGAGCTTCTCACGATGCCCCTGCGCCCCCAATTAAAGGGCATTGAATACCGGTTCGTGAGGAGAAACCTGGAATTTTAATGGAGCTTCTGGCCGGATAACTGACGACTAATCGCAATACAACAGATGCTATTTGTTGACGCGGTGTAGTGGAGCGAGCTGTGTAGACGTGTGTTGGGGAGAACCCCGCACCAACCCGGGGAACAGTCCGGGACTTGCGGAATTGCGATGCCGAAGCACGGAGCCTGGCCTGGCATTCTCTTACCCACGGCTATGTGAGACCGTATTTATTTGATCGTCCTCAAGCTCTCAGTGAATGGGCTGTGTCGTGCCCGTACCTGCGAGGCTTCAGAGTAGTATTTTAGATGAAATTGGGGGGCTGCTTACTCCCTCGTTTAGGTGTAGTTACCTCCCTTAAATGCTTACCTTTGAGTTGTTGCTTACTTTTGGAGTGAATTTCCTTCTCTTAATGAGCATGCACTTACAACGTCAGATTAAGCATTGTAGTATATGCATGTATTCACATATCGATTAGAAACACATGAACAGACTTCCAAGCGATGTTGCGGTTGGCTGAGCCCCGCTCTTGGGTATTTGCTGACAAGAATTAACGAACATCCAACAGACAACCTCAAGCCTGCAGCCTTACATCAAATCATCAAATGCTGGCACACTTCGAATATGGTGTGCGCTGAGTGTTGCAAGTTCCTGCGCCCGAGATATAAGATCAACAAGGATGGCAGAGAACAACTATTCGAACACCACCGATTCGAACGGTCAATCTCGGGGTTGAAATCAACTGCTGCGTCTTGCGGCATATGTCAGGCCTTGGCCAAAAAGCTACCTTCTGATGACCCGTCCTCACTCCAGGCATGGAAGAAGATTGCCTCCCTCTTCAGCGATGATAGGGCGTCCTATACTGCGTCTCTGAACGAGGCCTACACGCCGGGAACATATCGGCTCTCATTGATGCTGAACATGTTCCGGGACCGGCGCTACAGCAAGCCGATGCTGGCTGAAACCGATCAGGGGGTCGTATGCACGCTTCTCCTCGTCCCAGTAACCAAGTCGGCTGACATTTGCGGCGACGAGAGTTCTCGCCAAATCGCAAGCGCAACTTCTGGTGCGTCGGCTCTGAACATCGCCAAAGGTTGGTTGACAGAATGCTTGCTGCACCATCCCTTGTGCCAAGTAGCCTCTTCGCCGCCAGGTAATTCCCAAAAACGCTTCCTTCCCACACGGGTCATCCAGATTCTCCCTCAGGGCATTCGGCTATATACCACCACTGGGATAGAAAGCGATTTTCAGTACGCTACCTTGAGCCACCGGTGGCCGTTGAATTCCGACAGCATCTTACAATTGACAACAAGCAACATCCAGCAATGGCACTCTGGTATCGAGCAGAACGACGACAGGTTTTCCACGGCCTTTCGAGACGCCATAACTGTCTGCAGGCATCTCAGTATCGAACATGTCTGGATCGATTCCCTCTGCATACTCCAGAGCGGGGATGGAGGCCAGGATTGGCAGCGAGAAGCAGCCCGGATGGGAGAAGTATACAAGTACGCTGTTGTCAACATAGCAGCATCTTCTGTAGTCGATGGTGAACAGGGGCTGAAAGAGGGGTTCTTCCGCACGAGAGATCCGGCTTTCGTCTTGCCAAACATCGTCACCGCAAGCTGCGACCTGGACAAGCAGACTCGGCGAGATGGAGTAATGGGAGACTTGGTCAACGCCGCCAGAAAAGGGGACGCAGAGCTCACAGACTACCACGTAGTCCCACTGAACCAGTTCAGCGACAACGTGCTCGACGCGCCGCTGAACCAAAGAGCCTGGGTAATGCAAGAGCGACACTTATCGCCTCGGATCCTTCATTTCACAAGCCGTCAGATCTTCTGGGAGTGCAACGAAACGGTCTGCTCTGAGACCTATCCCAAAGCCGACCCCGTCGAGTTGTTCCAAAGGGCGACCAGGACCAAAGCGTTCCTTGGCCGGATCACGGCGGACAAGTTGAACCTGTCCGAAGCGGCACAGCCACGCCTCAATGATCCCCAATTCAATGCTCAGAATCTCTGGTACGCCCTTGTAGCGAGGTACTCTTGTGGCGGGTTGACAAAGACTCGGGACAAGTTGATTGCTCTGTCAGGTGTTGCGCGAGAGATGGCCCAATGCATGGGAGCGTCTGAGAATGACTATGTCGCTGGTCTATGGCGCCATGACATCCTCTACGGACTGCTCTGGAAAACACCGACAATCATGGGCAGGGGAGGCAGCCGCGTCCGGCCCGGAAAGGACGAGCCGTACCAATCCCCGTCGTGGTCTTGGGCGTCCGTAAACTGCCCCGTGACTGTCAACTATCGCTTACACGGCACTCCGCACGACGTCCTCGCCGTCGTCGAGACAGTCCACGTCACGCCGAAGCTGGACCCGTTGGGTGAGATTCTCCCAGGCGCCTATCTCAGGATCAGAGGCACGACGTATAAAGCGCGACTTCGCTACGTCGAGTATGGCGGCCGAATCTGGCCCGAACTCAGCATCGGGCTTCTCTCCAAGATACAGCCGTGGGGTAAAGGTTCATTTGCCGTCTTGCCCGACGAGCGATTCTTGGACGGAGACGACCGCCAGAGGAACGATATTCGTCTGCTACCGATGCTTCAATCCAAACAGAAGAGTACCATACAGCGTCAACGGTCTGAAAGTCAGGCGTGGCTGGTGATGCTCATGCTGGTACCAACAACAGGTAAGGCGACAGACGAATACGAGAGATATGGCATCGTAGAGCCTCGTGGCAACGGGAGTGATAGCTTCTTAGATCTTGGAAAGGCGGGCAAGATGGTGTCGGATCCGCGAGAGGAGACTGTCACTATAGTATGACTTGTACGGTCTCTTTCTTTGATATCCTAGGAAGTCTTATAGGTTTATCGCCAAGGATTCAACTTCATGTTTCACTGTTCTTGTAAATACGTACATTTAAATAAGAAACAACACAACGTTCAGTGGAGTATTTCTACGCCATCTTACGGAGGTGGGTGGTCTATCCGTAGCTGACCCTCAACGATAGAGTCCTTTCCCATTGGTGTTACCCATGTTAGACCGTCTTCTTGGTGATCGGGATGTATCTCTGCCATGGGTGTTCTTCTTTGAATCCGAGCATCAACTTGATCTTCCTGTTCGACATGGGAGCCTCATGCTCTCCCATAGCCCGGGTGAATGGGGTTGTTGGGCTCACTCGGCTCAGGAACTCCTCTGTTGTCTCGGTGTTCGTCATCTCATCGTTGGTGGCATTGAAGACCTGCCAGCCCAGCCCATCTCTCTTGAGACCCAGATGACACATCTGACCGAGGTCTCTGGCGTCCGTGTAAGACCATCCGTGGACGTCCCAGGACTCCGGTTGGTTGAGGTAGCCGGAGAAGCACTCGGCGTACTTCTCGGGCTCGATGACTGCGCCGATGCGGAGGCAGTAGATGTCGACACCGAAGCGGCTCGCAAAGCTCCTGGCCACCGTCTCTCCGACGAGCTTCGACAGTGCGTACGGGTCCGTCGGGTTGCAGTCGACGGTCTCGTCAACGGGGAACGACGTGAAGGACCGACGCCCTTCTGCAAAAGTGACGCCGTAGACGCAGACGCTGCTCGCCAGGATGATCTTCTTCACTCCCAGCTTGCACGCCGCCTCGACGACGTTGTGGATGCTGTTGACGTTGGTCTTGAAGACCTCGCTGTCGGGGGCGAGCAGCGGCCGGGCATAACCGGCAAAGTGGATCACCGCGTCCGGGATCGAAGATTTCTCAAGCGGCTCGCTGAGACGGAACTGAGTGTGAAGAGCGCTGTAGACCTGACCGGCGTCGCTCACGTCGCACTTCATCGTGTGGACGGCGGGGTTGTCGAGGGGCACGATGTCGAGATTGATGACTTCATGCCCATAGCGCAGCAACTCCTGGATCACCCAGCGTCCGGCGACGCCCGAGCCTCCTGTGAAGACGACGCGTTTGCCCATGATAGCGTTGCTGGATAGTCTGCGCGGTGATAAATTGCAAGATGCTTTGTTATCTACCAGAAGCAGGAAAGCAGAAGTTGAGGTTGCCGTGGGGACGTTGTCTGATTCTCCCTTCAAATAACTCGTCAAGCCACTCCCGAAGATGTGAGATGTTAAGGAATTATTGGCTTGGTAAACCCCGAAGTCGCACCGACCCCAGTCGTCAATTCTCGCCAAACTCCAGAGGGTTTCCCCGCACAACCCGCTGTCTTTGGGCGTGGAGAACTGCCAGGGATGTTTCAACTTTTCAATCTAGTATGGGCAATCTTTGGTGGGCAGCAGAGAAGAAGATGAACCTTTGAAGAGCTGATCCAGTCTGAGGGTTAAGACTATCACGCAGGAGACGTCGTCAATACGCCCACTATTGGTGGTCTCTTGCGTATGCGCGCACTACTGAGACCAGCATATGCCAGTTGTCGTATTCAATACGATTCCGGACCCTGGCACCTTTTTCAGCGCTACTCCAGTGATTGGATGTTGGTTTCCGATGTATGAACGTTGGCAGTCGACGGGTGTTGGACATCAGTTCACAGTGGCCTCCGGCTCATTTAATTCTAATTCCTGCAAGTACTTTGCGAAACGAACATTGCTACATAGTTTCCAGTCGCTGCTCATGTTTCCGCTTGAGTTCGCTCCCACTTCCTTAGGCGCATTGATAGTAGTAAGGTGCCGACACTCCTTGACAGGTTGAGCCGGACTAACACAATAGAAGTCAGCCAAGATCTCGATACATCAACCGCAACAGAAGACTTACCGCACAGGAAGTGCATCCGGTCCAACCCTGTCCACCACATTGCTGGTACTTCGGAACGGTGCAAGATGGCGGGCTGCCTGTTCCGGGCGATGTGCCACCACCACTACCACCACCACCACCAGTCACCGGAATCGCCGTCCCAACAGGCCCCTTGCTAGCATCACAAGTTGAAGCACACCCACCGCTGCAACCTTGTCCAGCCGTCTTCGTCGTTCCAATAGATGCAACCGCACCTCCAGGGACAACATAGCCCGACAGCTTACTATGGATATTCACCAAGATCCCCGGATCGCTCGCCTTATACAGCCCCGGGAAAGAAGACGTCAAAGGCTTCGCCGTGCCCGTCCCTCCCTGTATCGATATCTGATAGCAAGTCATGTAAAACTGCGCGCCGCCGGACGAGCCCGCGGTGTGCAGGGCGATGGCCTCGGCCCGCAGGAGGTAGTCGCCGTCGGCGAGGTCCTTGCTGATGGGGACGTCCATCTTGCCGCAGCAGGCGTTGAGGTCCTTGACGCCCCAGTTGTCGTCGTCACCGGATCCCGCGCCGGCCTTGGCGGACCAGCCGTTCTCGAAGATCTTGAACCAGCCGGCGGAGCCATCGGCCGAGGCGGCGTTGTCGACCTTGCTGAGGTAGACGATCACGGGGCCGTAGTGGGAGCCGCCGATGGCTTCGTTCTTGCAGTTTCGGTCGCCGGGTTGCTGTATAAGAGGATGCGTCAGTTATTCGCGAGCGTGTTGTGTGTGAAGTTGGCTGGGACAATACCGCGTGCATCTCGACGGTGACTGTGCCGCCGGCCTTGACGGGACACTTGGCACCGACGCCGTTGGCTCCGCCGACGTTGCACCGGATATCGGAGCCACCGACATTGGTTACGGGCGAGTTACTTGGAGGAAGTCTGGCGCACTGCGAGCCGTGAAAGACTGTCAGCTCAACGGAACGCAGTCTGAACAGGAAGTTAGGGTGATCTTATCATATCGACTCCATCAACCCAGAGTTGTTGGAAGATGGAATGGGCGGCTGCACTTTGCGCAGAGAGTGCCGCGATGGACGAGAAGGAGATCAGCTTCATGGTCAAGCAGGTCGTGTGTAAGTCGCAAGGATGACCTGGGCTATTGCAATACCTGATCACTCCAAAGACACAGAGAGGATACACCGAATGTTGGTCTCTTTATATGACATCCTACATCTACATCAGTTGGCATATCTCCCTACCAGGTCTTATCGCCACTCTAAGTCGAATTCTAGCGCTCAGTTGTGTGTTGCGAGAAAGAGACCGGACGCTCCGCAATCTCATATCGGTCCTTCGTTATTATTTGCTCACCATCCGCGGACAGTTAGGTCCGGCCTAGCTTCCTCGGCACTTCTATCGCCACGATTGAGCGGTGTTTCTTACATGAGGTTACTATAAAGGAACAGAACACAGGATCAGCAATGCAGATTTTGAGTGGTGACCAAACCTAGACGTTCCTTGGTAGATCTTGGCATTTGACCAGCCGATTCAGCCGATAGACCGGCAGAAGTCAACGGCCCATAGTAACCCGTATCTGAAAGAGGACTGTGGTAATATCAATATCTAAAGGGATCCGAATAGCCGAAGACCAAATGGTGTTCACATTGAACGTAACTAACATGACTTTGTAAACATTATGACATAAGTCGGTCTGGTTACCGACATACTGTTGTTACATGGCATTATCTAAGTCATCTACGCGCGAGCGCATCTCTTGCAAAATTTCAAACAGCCTACCAACGCCTCGTGGCACAGGTCCTCTCGTTTTCGTATTCTTTCAGGACGAAGAAGGCCGTTGCAAATAGCGTAGGATCTCAGGGTCCTGACTCGGAGGGCACTTCTTGCCGTCTACCCCGATCGACGTGAGAAGGATAGGGTCATCCTTCGATGTCTCTGGATGAACCTCCAGACCATATGACAGTCCGACCTTGGCGTACCTCGTGTTTTCGATAAGCTGCGGCACATCGATCTCGTTGTCCCCGGTACCGGCCTTCGCGGCTCGGGCGAGAGCCTCTCGCTGCGCGGCCGGAATGCTGGATACGCGTCCCGCGAGGCGAGAACCCGGGGGCGGCGTCGTGCTTCCCCATTCGTAGTTCATCGGGCGCAGCAGCGCGGCACCTGTCTGCAGCACCCAGCTCTGGGCTGCGCCCATGTCCTCCACTTCCTCCTCTGCCTTCTTGCGCCATTTGGAGGGCAGAAGCTTGGAGAGTCCGAGGACGGTACGTCCGGCAGCTCTCTTGATCGCCTGGAAGAAGGCATACACCCACTCGTCGGGAATCTGTCTGATGAGGGCACCGAGAGGAATGACGAGAACACCAAATAGCATCGACCATCCCCACTGGGGACCGTTGAGGGGACGCGTGTCAAAGGCCTGGCCGCCCTTCCAGATGATGATCATTTGGCCCGCGAGAGTGGCACACTGGACTCCGATGAACCACGGGTTGCGCAGAACACCCTGATACCAAATGTTGAGTCTGTTGTCTACGCGACGGCAATTGTGTTGGTTGAAGAATTGCATGAACACGTAGACGTTGAAGATCATCGTCTGAAGAGACTTCGTATCGTCGTTCCACAGGGCATCGCCGGCGTAATGCAATGTGAACATGACGGCCAACTGATAGACTGCTTGACAGAGAATCATCTTCCACATAGTGATGGTGACGATGGGCGCGTTGCGCGGCTCTGGTCTCTGTCGTACGAAATCGTGAGACGGGTAGTCCGTGGCTAAGCCGAGCGAGGCGAAGATATCCATGATGAGGTTGATCCAGAGAAGCTGAACGATCGTGAAGATTGAGTCGCCGACCAACTCCGAGACCACTGTCAAGGTTCCAGCCGTGATGTTAATGGTGAATTGAAACTGTGACTTCAGTTAGCAAAAAGGTTCTACCCTTGGTGGACACTGTCACTACTCACTTGTAAGAACTTCTTAACTGCGATGTTGACAGTTCGGCCCCAGACCAAGGCTTTGACGATTGAGGCGAAGTTATCGTCTAGGAGAATGATAGACGCAGCCTCTTTCGAAACCTCCGTTCCTTGAATACCCATAGCGAAACCCACGTCTGCGGCCTTGAGAGCCAGCGCGTCGTTGGTGCCGTCGCCGGTGACTGCTACAGTCTCTCCCATGCCCTTCAGATGAGTGACGAGAAGCAACTTGTCTTCTGGGCTAGACCTTGCAAGAACCTGAAGTCGAGGGATAACCAGATCCAGTTGAGCGGGCGTGAGCTTCCGGAAGGTCGGTCCATCCATCGCGAGGCCTCCGGCGCCGTAGATTCCGCATTCCTTGGCAATAGCTTTCGCGGTGAGGAAGTTATCACCTGTGACCATGCGCACGAAGACACCGGCCTCCTGGCACTGGCGTACAGAATCGAGGACTTCCGGCCGCAAGGGATCGCGGATGCCGAAGACGCCGATGAAAGTCATATCCCTAAAGTTCTTCTCAAACTTGACGGAGTCGGGGTCGTCGGGGTTCTCGAACGCCTCGGAGGCATCGATATCCTTATAGGCGATGACTATCGGCCGAAGCATCTGTCCTGCATAGTGTCGGATTGTTGATCGGATATCTTCTTGGGTTTCGGTCTTCATCGCGTGGACTGCGAGTCCTGTTTTGGGATCCTTGATGATGCTGGAGCATTGGTCGAAGACCACCTCGGCGGCACCTTTGACGAGTAGCCTGTACTTGTTTTCGGAGAGCTTGGTGATGACAGCCATCCACTTGCGGGATGCGTCGAAGGGCAGCATTTCAACGGTCGGGTTGTTGTCTCGCTCTTCGTTGAGAGGTCCCAGAGCAAGAAACTCGCGTCCGAACCTCAGCAACGCCGTCTCGGTACTTGTTCCCACGAATTCTGGGCCTTTAGGGTCATCGCTCTCGAAGGCGGTTGAGTTTATGGACACGCTGTTCTTCATCAGTATTCTGACGTCCTCGGCAAGCGACTCGAGTAGTCCTCTGGGGTTATCGTCACTCGCTCCGGAATCGCTGATGGTGCCCTTGTCCGCATCCTCAACTGGCGTTGCAGCTTTAGGCGCGTCTCCAAAGCGATCAGAGATACCAATGCGACCTGCTACAACCGTCATACTGTTCTGAGTCAACGTCCCCGTCTTGTCGGAGCAGATACACGTGGCGTTGCCCATAATCTCACAGGAACGAATGAGGCGAACGAGGTTCTTATCCTTCAACATTCTAGTGGTGGCAAAGGCAAGAGCAAGCGTCACTGCGAGAGCAAGACCTTCCGGCACGGTAATCACGACCACTGTGACGGCGAGGATGAGCAGCTTGAAGAAGGTCTCGGCCTTCTCGGAGGGACTCGCAGTCATGTTAGACAGTCCGACCAGAAAGCGGATGAACAAGATGAGAAAGAAGATGATGCCAGCAATGGCGCCAAAGGTGATGAGTTGCTTGGCCAGCTTACCCAACTTCTGCTGGAGCGGAGTCTCCTCCACATCCTCCCGCAGAGACATCAGAGTCCTGCCATACGTCGAGTTGGTTCCCACGGAGGTGACCAGGTACTCACCAACGCCGCCGGAGACTGTGGTGCCACTGAGGATGAAGGGATCAGTCGCTGAAGAACGGTGAACCGTCTTGTTGCGGACATCACTATCGCTGGGAACACTCTTGTGCACCAGTCCAGACTCGCCAGAGATCGTAGACTCGTCGACTTGTATACCAGAACCGCGGACCAGCACACCATCGACAGCAACGACGTCGCCAGTCTCGATGTGCATGATGTCTCCCACCAGCACCTCATATACCGATATGTTCTGGGTCTTGCCCGACCGAATGACCTTGACGTCTCTTTGTTCCTTTCTCTCGTTGAGCTTCGCGAACCTGTGGTTCTTTTGCCAGTCGGTGGCAGCGCTCGCAAAGACGATAACCAGAATTGCGACGACCACGGTCACACCATCGACCCATTGGATGTTAGGCTCGCCTGGAGGTGCATCAACTGTTTCGTAAATGCCGAGGGCTAATGAGATGGTGGCCGAGAGAGTGAGGAGGAACATGAGCTTGTCGTTGAATGCGATCCATGCCAGTCTCAAGAAGGACTTCTGTTTGCGTCTGGGAAGTCGATTTTCGCCGAAGATGCGCTTGCGGTCGGTGAAGCCTTGGGCTTCATGTTGGCCGAGGTCGAGGTCGATTTTGAATCCGTGTTCGTGTGTCGATGTGGGCGGCAGCGGTGTGATCTCAGCAGACCGATGAGCTTCGCCGGCCGCTACCGCCTCGTTGAAAGAGATTGTACCATCGAGTGATGTCTCGTCGACGCTCAGTCCAGCAGAGGTGTCTGTCCGCAGACCGATTGCCAATCCTGGAAGGCCTCCGAAGGCCCGTAATGCTGATAGGCTTCTCGCAGTGACCAGCTTGTGCAGCTGCGTCGGAGTAAACGCAAACTTGTTGTTCTGGATGTTGGAATCGTCGCGCAAATCGAGCTTCTGTTCCGTTTCCGCGAGTTTATGGTTGAGATGGTCGTCGTACGAGCTTGATCCAGCTGGGCCGGAGTCCTGCTGGCGTGGTACAGCGGTGATGTCGTCGGCCATCGTACTCTGAGCCCAGGAATTTTGAACCGGCCGTGGGGAGTCAGTGAAAGTCAAAACTGGCAAGAATTGACGATCAGAAAAGGCAGACAGTCTAGTGCGGAACGTCCTACCCCAGAGCCGGGGGGGAACATATTTGGTAATATGTTGTGGTCACTGGCCAGGTTTCCCAGAGCCGCAGGCTGAGGGAGCACCAAGACGGATATCAAGGCCGCGTCATTGCATCTTGGCGAATCTGACCGCGTGCCGAGAGAAGTTCAAAGGGTTCTCGGCACGCCGTGAAGATGTGAGTGGTCCGATTGTGTGCGACTCTGGGGACCAAAGCCTTACGGTCTGGGGTTTCCTGTGGGGGCCGGGACCGGTCCCATCAAGGGCAACCGGTGAGACTCGGCGTTACGACATTGATCAGGCACGTGTCTTCGGTCTGTCCGTGTTCGTTTGCCTCCTTTGATGCCTCCGGTCACAGGACGAGGCGGAGATCCATGTTTGCTATCGGTCTCTCGATCCCGCGACCGTTCACGCCGGTCGTCGGGGCCTCAAACGCCGTGTTTTCGGTGTCGGCGTGGCTGTGTTTTCTCGGAGGATGATGGAGATGTGGATGTTGCAGGGAACTTGTGTCCATTCAGCTGCCAAGTGGGAAGCCTCAAAATGCAGTGCACCCGGCTGTTCGGCTCTCAAGCGTCTTGGCATATCCAGTTACAAGGTTTAGCGAGGACTTGGCGTCAATCCCCCTGACATCATGTCTCTGATCGTCATTTTCGGATAATTGTTTTTGTTCTGGTTGGGAAACGCCATTAGCTGCCTACTAACTTGTCAAAATAAAGGTTTCTTTTTTTAACATAATATAGAGCATGTCTACTACGAGATACCAAGGTCCTGGATAGACTCAAACAAGAAGGGCTGTTGCGTCATGTTGTGCGGCATGTTAACCTTGTTGATGATCTGGATGCTTGAATTGTTAATGTCAAATCCACCTTCCTACGCAGGCGTCCACTAGGTAGCATAATAATATAGTTATTTGTAAGCAAATACAACAAAGCCCCTGCCGAATTCTCATAGCGTAAATATCTAAGAAGGATGAGGGAAATGTTGCAATACGGAAGTCTGCTGTGGTCGTATTCGTGCATTCTACATGTACATCTCCAACAAAAACATGTAGGTAAGTTGCGTCACCGGCTACACCAGCCTATCCCTTGTCAATTTCCAACTGCTTTCCCAATTGCAGTCATACTTAACGTGCCAATCAAAATCCATCCCCGGTGTTGTTCGAGACTGATCTCTAGGATTGACCTTCAGGCGCTATCCGAATCATCGGAAGATGAAATTTCGAAATCCGGATCGGATGAAGAGGAACAAAAGCTTAGCGTTTCGACACCATCAGGATCTACTGTGCCACCGCCATCAGTTTGATGTAAAGTAGACTTTACGGACAAATCGAACAAATGCAGGATTCTGAGCTGTTCGTCCAATTTATCCTCTGGTCGCACTTTGAATCTCAACCAGGGCTCTTGTGTGAAGTTCGTCCTCTTAAGCTCCGGTATAAATGAATAGGCCAAATCAAGAGGTGTCTTGCCCTGTCGGTTACGAGCGTTGCGGTCTGCTCCGGCATCTAACAGGCCCTGGACGGCACCAGGGTGTTTTTTCTCCACGGCAATGTACAAAGCTGTTTTTCCCTTTCTGTTTTGCACATCAACGGAAGCCCCATTGCTGATCAGTAGCCTGACCGTTGATTCATAACCTTGTGCTGCACATTTCATCAGTGAACTGAGGCCCAGGGCGTCTTGAGCATCAACTGTTGCCCCATGATCGATCAAAAGCTTGCAAACTCGATCCAGGCCTCTTCCCGAAGCCCGCATGAGCGGTGTTTCGAAATTCCCATCAAAAAGATGATGCTTCATGTTGGGTTCAGCACCATGCGATAGTAGTATCGAAACTGCTTCGCAACCGGGAGACATGGAGCCTTGAAAGCTGCCAGTACCTGTGCACTTGTCGCTTCCTCTCCCGTTTGCATTAACAGCTCGCATCAAGATATCATAGGGCTCGTCGTTGATATCGACCTTCCCAGTATGAAGCAAAGCTTTCATCTTTCGTGGGTTGCCCCTTTCGGCGCAACAGAGAAGCGGCGTCGTGCTTTCTGCCAACCACGGCGGAGAATTCGGAGACCCTGGTCTACTGGGAAGATTAGGGTCAAGATCCAGGTTGACCAGGAAGTATTCTAGAACATCGTCGGCTCCGTCGGTTTTTGCTGCCCACCATACGGGTGTTCTATTGCGTTTGTCGGGTGCAGATGGGTCCACCATTCCGACTGCCTGGATGGCTTTCACCTGTGGCAGCACTGATTCCCCCGGTGCATTTCCGATATTGTGTATCGCCAAGATGAAGGCGGTGTTACCATCTGAATCTGTGTAACCCGGGTTCAGAGCCCTGACTGCAACTTGTGTCAAATTAGAATATCTTTGGGCCAATGCGACCTTAAGGAACCTCCATTTCTGTGGCTCTGTCATTTTGGGAAGACTGCGGCTGTCGTCCAGTAACATGTTTGCAATCGACTCGTGGCGATAACGAATAGCATAATGCAACGCATCCGACCACTCATTCTCGACGTTCGGGCGTAGCCTGGTATCCTCGAGAATAGCCTGGACTGTAGATTCGTGACCTACTATCGAGCTCATCATCAACAGCGTTTGTCCGTCTTGAAGACCGTTTAGAGATAATTCGTAAAATTCCTCGTCGCCCTTTTGAGACAGAAGCAAGCGAACAATAGCAGCTCGCCCTTCCATTGCAGCCCACCATAGTACTGTTCTTCCACGTCCGTCCAGTTCATACTGAGTCGAATGTTCATGGTCAATCATCCTTCGAACCACAGGCTCCAGGCCACAAGCTGCAGCAACGATGAGGGGTGTGAGTTTCTTTGGGATGTAGTACCGTTTACAGTAGGATATTGACTTATCGCTCGGCAAGTAAGCACGGTGACGTGGTGGCTCCAGTACTATCTTCCACAAGTAGGACTTATAGAAGTATCTTGTCGACAGAAAGGTAAGAAACCAAGACTCAAGACCTTCTTCTTCATAACACCAATGGCAAAGCTTCAAGGCCAGGTTTGAGATTTCATCTTGTACACCAAAATTGGCTTCTCGAAAGTGCTCGTGCCAGTACTTTGCTGCATATTGGAAGAAAGAATAATGGGGTTTCATGTGTTCTTCCCACTTTTCTTCAGTCTTGCGGTGACCGATGTATCTCAACGCAAGATAGTTCATACATATTCTGGCGAATATTGCATGCGACTCTTTCAGACGAAATGCATGCTTCCAGTGGAACGAAACTGCTGACTGCTGATGGCCGGGAGTTGAAGGGTACTCGGTACCTACTTCACCGTTGCGTGAGTTGACTAGGAACTCTTTCGCAGTCTGGTGAAGAAAGTAGATTTTGCCATCCACGATAATAACGAACAGCCCACATGTAGCTCTCAGTGTCACTTTGAGTCGCTCATAGGGTTCCAACTTGATTTCGGAGTAGTCTTGATGGCTTTCGGACATTGCCAGTGCCACAGAAATCTCCCGCAAAGTCAACGGTCGCGCCGCAGAGAGAACAACGTGAAGCAACTTTCGAGCCTTTTCCACGTCATGACTCCGGTTGATAATGCTCTCATATAGCTTATCGAGTCCCTCTGGTATTGTTCTGAGAGCGTCTTTGACGCTATCCTCTGTGAACGAGAGGATGTTCTCGATGACGTCCAAGGCCACCTTCACCCACAAATAAGTGCGGTGCTTAGTCTTCATGATCTGCTGTTTCCGAAATTTGGTTTCCCATGCTTCCAAAGAGAGAGACTCGGAAATATCGTTGATCCGACTTCTGGCGAAAATGTTGATTTCTTTGGCAATCTTGGCAATTTGCTTGTCGTCTTCTCCTCTCAAGTGAATGGTAGGCCAGCTGTTTTCCAGTCGGCGAAAGTCGCGTTGGATCTGGATGTACGGCCTTGAAGTCAGGATGAACTTCAATGGAGGCTCCTGGTCAGAGGAGTTGTTGTAGAACTTGCTGAGAGCGGCGGTGAGTTCTCGACGGTCCCCCTCCTCACACTCGTCCAACGCATCTAGCAAACAGACAACCTGAGTTGAACTCTGTGCCGAGACCTTGATGAGCATCTCAAAGAGACTCGGAAATGACTCCGTGAGCGTTTTGCCATCGCTTCGAAATTGAGCGATGATTGACGGGCTGAGAAGTTGCGGTTGCTGCAAGAAGATTTGACGAAGAAGGGCGCAGAGGGCGGCCACGGCAGTCTTCTGATCCGCAAAGTTCTCCTTGAAAAAGAAGTAGGAGGTCGTTTGAGCCGCGTCGCTTACCAGCACGTTGTCTACCAAGTACCTGGCGAGAACAGACTTGCCGCACCCTGGATCTGCGGATACCCAAAGCAGCTTGGACTCCGGCGATTCTTTCCAGTCCTGGAAGTATTCATGCTTGACGAACCACTCGCAGGTTCCATCGACTCGCTCAGGGTTGATGTCTTTTCTGTCCCGATACGGACATGTGTAGAGTAGTTGGAGACATTCGGACTGTTGCTCTTGGATACGAGCTGTCTCCTCGGGGTCGGGCCCTCTCGAAACCTGTTCTGGAAGCCTGTTTTCTTTCTGTTCATCTAGGAACTCGTGGATTCTATCATTCGTGACCAGATTTGCAAAAGCACGGCAGTGATTATCGAGGTCCTTGATGTCGGCGATGAGAGTTTTCCATACATCCCCCCTGAAAGTGTCTCGGAAGAACTGGTTCGCCCTTCCACGCTGAACATAGCATAGTGCGCGGGCTTGAAATTCGAGGATCTTGGAGTAGAGGTTCACCAAGTTGTTTTCGAGGTCGTTCTCAAGTTCCTTGGCCGCAGCTTCAGGAACACTGGCCACGCGAGACCTCGGACGATAGATGCTTTCCACGAGCAGGTATCTGCAAATGAGAGACGAAATGAGTTCGAGACCTTTGAACAGATGTTCCCGCTGTTCGACCTGCCGGATCAGAAACTGCTTGAGAATTAGCATGTATTGCTAGACGGAGTTTCGTAGGCCTCGAGACACCTACGGTAAGAATGACCACTACGCCAGCACAAGCCACAGATGCGTGGGAGTCGGCACTAGAGGCGCTGTTGATCAGATCCTTGGCAGCGATGATGTGTTTAGCGACGTTGTTGAAATACGGCTCGATGTTGACTTCCTGCTTCCCGGCTCCAAGCGTCAACTTTCTTTCTTTCAGCTCCTCGGCCTTTGTCGTCAGGATCTTGGCAGCATGGCTTGGTCGAAGTCCAAAAGAGCTTTCAACTGTTTCGCCATCGTCTGCCGACCCCAGCTGCTCCTTCAAAATCATACAGTACTGTTCGATAAGACTTCGCTTCTCAGGGTCCGGGTCAGCCCTCAGAAGATCGGCTGCCTTGAGCCATAGGTCTGACAGCTTCTGATCCGACTCTTTCGGCGAGGTCTGAGGCTGCGCAGTAACAGCAGTCTTGAGCTGGGTTTCTGATAGCTTCTGATCCGATTCTTTCGGCCGGTCCTCAGACTGCGTAGCGCCAGCAGCCTCTGGTTCAGCATGATCGTTCGGGATGGCAGACGCTGGCAGTCGGCTCGAACCTGAGACTGAAGTCGGTCTGGAGCCTCGAGTTGTGAGTGACGTGAGGCTGAGGCGAGCTGAAGTCTGAGATCGTCCAGGGGAAAGGCGATTTGACCCCTGGCCTTCGTCTTTGTCTTTGCCGGTCAACTTCCCCCACAAGCGACTCCTCTTGGAGGTTGACATTCTGTTAATCGATGCCCTCTCTTGAGCTAATTTGCGATTCAGCAGCGAGTTGGTCTTCGCACCTCATGGGGAGCCGCGAGTGAGGGGAAACGTCAGCATAAGCATGATGATGCCTCAGGTCATCATGCATGATCTAGAGTATTGTGATAGGTTGAGAGCGGTCCAGGGTCTCAATTGGTCTCATGCACGAGGCCTGGCTTTTGCAGCACATCGCGGCGCTTCGATACCCATTGTACCTATCTCACCACCAACAAATGCAATATACCGCGCAATACAATGCAGCCACCCTTATTTTCCTGGTCATTAATATCTCGCCATACCCAACGAATACACGTTTATGGTGCCTATCTCACGGTCGCCGGTTGGGTGAGTCTTTATTGTGACTGTACTCATTTTCCTCGCAATTTCCCATTTAGTATTTCACAGAGTTTTATCATCTGTCGACGAACCAATTGAGATTGCTTTCTTACTGAGCATAGCCATATCTCGAATAGAGTCACAAAGCGAATGGGTTTGCTAACTTGTACTGCGCAGCGAATTGCTATCGGATTACTGATGCTGCATCCACAAACAACTCAGAGACCTTTGAGAAGAACACATCAAATCCTAATTGACTAACTCGTATCACCTAGCCAGTTCAAGAAAGTTTCCAGGCCCTAAACACTCATCCGAAACGATGCCCTCAGCGAGTGAATGTCTACACGAAACATTCCGACCTGCTCAGCCCCAGCGTTAAGTATTCACCGCTGACACCATCAGCCTACGCACATTCACCATACCGGTGTCGAAGTCCTTATATCTACAAATATCCCATCCAATACAGGCTTGAGTACTTCTGTCACATATTAATTTTACAAACAAAAGTTCCACACACAGAAAGATCCTGTTCCTCCAACAGCCTCCCAACTCGCAAGACCCCACGAATACGTGGCCAGATACAAATACGATGGCCGGCGAACACATCCAACCCACCCAAGCGCAGGAGCCGCAAGCTCCATCCGTCACACAACCTTCCTCGCCGCCTCAACCAACGACTCAGACCTCAGGCGTGGACCAGAACCAGCAGGACCAGCCACATCTGCGCGGAGGCTGTATCGACAAGCAAGGATTCTGCTGTGGCGTTTGGTAAGTCTTGATCAGGTTTGTCTGTGAGGGAACATAGCTGATTGAAATCAAGGCCGGCCGATGGGTGTTTCTGCACTGTCATGTAGTTGTTGACTTGTTCCAGGCGGGCCTGGGCGTGACTGTTGGCGGCAAGGACACAGCACAGCCATGGCAAAAAAGAAGAGGTCTGGAAGAGACCGAGACAGTGGGACGCCGTACTAGAATGAGAGTTAGGCTTGTGGTCCTCAGTCACACGTATCTTGCAACCGTTTTACAAGTCCAATAGTGGTTTCCATTTAGCAAAGTGTGTGCTCTTCCTTGAGCAATATCTGTATAATTACAATTCCAGTCCATTCTTACACAAACAAATTCCGGATCCAACCCAGTACGCCTCTCCATATGACTGGGTATCATGCCAACCGACCTCCTGTCCAGAATGCCATCCATCAAATGCTAATACTCCGTCCCAAAAAGCCAAGTATTGCCTCTCCAGAAACACAAAGAAACCTGCTCAAATCAAAGCAGACGCTCTACCGCACATGATCTCCATAGAGTCGTATGAGGTGATGGGACCCTCAGCTCTCGCGTTCTCGCGCTCCTAGCGGATCGATCGCGGGGAGTTGGTCGGGCCGGCAGGCGCCGAAGGAATGACAGCCGTGACAGAGCTGGCTGCGGATCCAGTGGTGGGGACCAGGGAGACGTCGGTCCAGTAGTTCTGGATCTGCTCGTCGGAGCCCTGACGGGGAATGGTGGCCATGATGTTGCTCTCAGTGGCAGAGAAGTTATCGGGGTGAGCCGTGCTGTCGACCTCATCACCTGCGTCGAGCTTGGGACCTTGGTTGGCGGAGGTCATCGTCACCGACTGCTGAGCGGTCTGTTGATCCTGTGCGCGGGCTGCAGCAGCGAGTCTGCGGCGGTGGGCGACTTCGCGGGGGCTAGCCGGGAATCGCATCTCACTCTGGCCACAGATCTTGGTACGAGTTGAGCGGCCTCGGTTCTCCTCATCACGTGCAATAGCGCGACGGAAGCGGTGCATGAAGAAGATGAGCGTGCAAGTGTAAATGCTAGTGCACACGCTGACAATGACCCAGACGATAAGGGCAGACGGGGCTTTGATATGAGCGACTTTCAATGCGACGAGGGCTGAGACCGAAATAAGTGCGTTGATGACGCAAAAAACGGCGACGAGACACCAGAGAATCCATAGGTCCCGCTGGATGGCGATGCGCTGGTACCAGTAAGTTCTAGGCTTGACGGCACTGTTGCGCTTCTCGTGGCGTCGATGAAAGTTGAACTTGAGGAGATGACCGCTCCATCGACGGCCATGGAAGAAGTTTGAACGCTTCTCCTTGTAGACCATTGGAATTGTGGTCTCGGGCTGGGCCGGGCGAAAAGGCCGATCGACGAACTCGGGCACATTCGCGAGGTTGCGAGTGGTGTTGGTGTAAGCCAGGCCGGCCGGGTGGAGCGCGAGGCGACGCGCGTTGGGGTGGTTGAGTTGAAACTCATCGAGAGACTCGGAGATGCTGACCTGGCCGGGAGGGCTGCTCCTGGAGCCTCTCAGGCTGGACTGGGTGTAGCTATGGGTGATGGGAGCCATGACAGAGGCGCGGGGAGTCGCATCTTGAAAGGGCCAGCGCGGAGTCGCAGGGACAGTGGCTGAGGGTCTCTGTACTGAAAGAGGGCGTTGGGGCTCGATCATAGACTTGCCCTGGATAGTGGTGGGAGTGTCATCCGCAATCTCGTGATCAGAAGACTCAGTCGAAACGGGCGAAGGGGGAGTAGGCGTCGCAGGGCGAGCATCAGCCTTGTGCTTTTGCGTAGACTCATCAGAGAGAGCAGAGATATCATCTGACATCGGCTCAGATGTCTTAGGCGTGGGAGGGAGCTTGAAAGACTTGAACTCCTCAACGGATGGGTAGGCAGTGCCCTGACTGGCAACTGCGGTGGTGGCCATACTGAATGAGGCCTGGAGAGGCGACATGATGGTGATAGTTGTGTAGTGATACCAAAAGAATGTGATTGTGTTTTGTGCGCGTCGCGTTAATCGCCAAAAACACCAAAGCGAGTGAGGGTAAAATCTGTAGAGACAAAAATGAGGGTGTCGCAACAAAAAGAGTGTGTAGAGGAGAGAGTGTGAGAGAGAAGAAGGGAAGGTGGGAGAAAAAGATTTTCTGGCGACAAAAAAAGGCAGTCGAAGAAGGAGCAGCCAGAGGTTGGTCGTGTCAAGCAAAGAGTGACGAAGGCCAGGGGGTGAGGGTTGAAAGAGTGGGAGGTCAAACAAAAATAAAAGTTTCGAGGAAGGAGCGGAGGAGATGCTCGTGGGCAGGTGCGTTCCTGGCAATTTAATCCATGATCAGAATTTTCCACATCATGCATAGACTTGATGAAAATAAAGAGACGGGAAACAAAATCGACAGTTTCACTGATGAGATACGATGATTATCTCAACTAACCTACCCTCAGCCGAGCAATCCTCAGCCGCCGTGCCGCGCAAGACGAAGCTATCGTGGAGGAGGAAGGAAGAGCAAGATCCAAACCGGGGGCGCTCCTGTTCATATTGCCCTCCAGACGCCCAATTTTACCGTATCAGGGAATGCTGGGTTGCCCACAGCAATTATTCCACGTTCCATGAGCGTTGTGATGGGTAATCCGGCTATCGTATTTATTTTGATGTCTCAAAACTCATAGCCAAACTTGGTCAAGCTACCAACATCTCCCGTCTGCGGAATGCTTCTCCACGTGGCGGATGAGACAAAACGTTCGCGAATGGGCCGACTCCATATCATTTAGCGGAAGGATCCGACTCTCAATGTTGGATATGTTGGTAGATGGTTGTGATAATGACGGCGCTATGGTTGGTTTCGGGGAGGTATGGGCGGATATCGTACGCTTTTGAACTTGCTGCTTCGGCTTGGCTTGTCTTGCTGTAGATAGGCGCTATCTCTGCGGCACATCGGATACTTTGATCGGTAGTGATGTGGCTGTCTAATAAGACATCATTATAGTTGTCATAGATGACCAGCTCACGATTGTTCTTTGGTTCATCTAACCAGCGCTTAGCTGATTCAACTATTCCACCGAGATCTTCATTAGCGATTGCATTCTGGACGTATGCAAGAGAAGCAGTCTCTCTGACAATTCGCTGGGCCAGGCGTTGATAGCTCTGCTTGAGCGCTGTCGTGTCTCTCACATCAAGCCATAAAACTGCCGAGCAATCATCACGATGTTTCTTCGCGAATACGATTGTCGTCTGAGTCTTCCCCATGACACCCAGACCGTGCAGGATAACCGTCCGACGATCTCCAGTCCACTTCAGTTCTTTGTGAGGACGCCCGAGTTCTTCGTGCCTGGCCACGAAGTGGTTCACGCTGTTAACTCCTGGCAGCTTGAAGGGGAGTATAAATGAAGGAGAAACTATCTGTGTTGCAACACCAGAGCATCTGGTTGGTTGTGTTAGCTACTAAGACTCATGACCCTCATGTCTTATCTGATGATTCCTCTTACCGCTGCACCTCATCTACCGGCAAGTGGAAGAAGAGCTGTCGAGCATAGGCTGCTGCTACAGCTGCAGCGTACCTGTGCCACACCCGCGTCCAAGTGCTTCTAAATCTCCCGCTGCTCTAAGGTCGCCCGATCTGGGGTGAGTGAGGAGAACAGGGTGAGCAGGATGAGCAGGGTGAGCAGGGGGTGAGCGGGGGGGTGAGCTAGGCACTGTGGTGGAAGGAGGGGAGTGAGGGACCCTAGAGAATGAACTTGACTAGTACGAAGAATGGACCTTGTTGATCGAGCGGATCTATAGGTAAACTAGAGATAAACCAACATATTCATCCGTCCAAAGTGTAATCATCACTGCCCTCATCAACCCACCAGCACAGGAACAGCAGCATCGCCGTCGTCGGCCGGGACCTCATCCTCCTCCTCGGCTCTCCGCCAGGTGCAGGTCGTCTCAGCCCACAAGAGCCAGTCCCCCCTATTCCCGTTCCGTCTCATACACCGTCTCCCCTCGCCGTCATACCGAAAGTGGCATCGTCCGAGGTCCCAATCGACGCAAAACTGCACCAGCCGTGGAACTTTAGTCCCGCGACAGCCCGAGTGCGCGTCGACGCCCCAGGACTCGCCTTTCCTATTGAAGAATTTCGCGTTGCCTGCTTTGCCTTTGAGGGACTCCATCCGGTGTGCTGAGATGAGCGTGGTGGAGGAGGCAAGAAGGAGGATGATGTTGTGCATGGTGGGGAGCTGCATTTTGGTGGAAGTGTGGGAGACTTGTTGAGATGGTGTAGAAGGGAATGAGGTTTTTCTTGTTTTGTAGTTATCTGAAGCCACTGTTTCTTGGTCTGTTGGGTTGTTGATGTTGGGTGAAGAGCATTACATTTTGCAGTCAGCGAGGCCGTGGAAAGCTCTGGCTTTTATAACCTTTCCGTTGAAACGTGCCCATCCATTCTATAGCTGCAACATAGCACAGAATCACAGACACAGTTACACAGCAGACAAGACAACACAGCACAGAATCACAGATATAGTTACATAGCAGACAAGGCAACACAGCACAGAATCACAGACACAGTTACACAGCAGATAAGACAAGAGACCAAAACAGGCATAACTACGTAGTCAGCCGGGCGTAAGGTGGGTATAGCACAGGGAAACTCCAGACTAGTGACCCAATCCACATGATCGCCTGCCTATGGTCGGGCGTTACCCAGCCTTTGGGGGCGCAGCTGGTGGACTAACATTGGTGGGGATATGTAGTGAGAGAAATATATATAAGCTGAGAGGCGGTGGTTTGTCTTACTCAAATGGGTGGTTATCTATCTATCTACGTTAAGCTCACTAATATAACGTGTATTTACACGCAAGTGACTTGCAGTTCACACACTAGACATCTACAATCAAACACAGATGTACGACTATTTAGGGGCTGTCTCAGTAATATGGACGAGTATAGAATCCAGGCCGTTCCATAAGCAAGCATAAAGCACTATATATTTAGGAAGTGTATAGAACATCTGGAGAGTTAACTAATTCGCCCCTCTGTGTGTCATATACTGCAAGATCTGCACAGCAACCTGTGTAACAAGAAGGGACAAGTTTGAATAGTCATACTACGAGCGATATACGTGCAATAATAGATCCCATCACTTGGTGCAAACCCAGCCTGACAGTAACCCTAGAGCATTCAGGTGAGATGTAAGTAAGCAGCCATGTGTGAGACAACCAGGTTCCACCGCTGGGCAGCTTTTACTCGCGTGCCCTTCCGGCGGAAAGTGCTCAAGCGACATCCCTCGTATCCGCCTTGGCTTGGCTACTTTGCGGCCTCACGCCAAGCTATAGCTACGGCCCTGGCCGCTTCGATGGGCGATTCTCAAAAAGCCCGCACAGCAACAGACTGAAACACTCAAACAGAGGATGACCAACAGAAATCCTAGACATGTATCACAGAGGTTTCATCTACCAATTTTCACGAGCTCGTGTTTGAGGCGCCCCAGGTGCGCAACCCTACGCGTGCGACTATTAAGTAAAAGGAAGAGACATCATCCTATTAGCAGCAAGTAGGCTATTAGACATCGAGATTCTATCCACTCAAAAGACCCCAAAAGCCTATATATTCTAAGTAAATATATATCTTTATGCTTATAGATATATTAGTAGTGAGATCTCTTATCTTAACGCGGGCACTACTATTATACTCCCATTACAACCTATTAGGCACAGTAGGGCTAGGGTGACGCCCTGTAGGGCACTTAGTAGCTATATATAATTCTTATATAAGTTATAGTTTTAAATTAGGCAGCGTAAGAGCACTTAAGTAGTATTAAGATAAAAATTTATATTATTATAACTAAGTAAAAAGAACCTACTTTTATACCTTAAGTATACCCCTTAGGTGGTATATATAGGTAGTAATTATGAGTAGGAACTCAGCTAGTCCGGTAGGGCTGGCCCGACTACTCTACTCAGTTTAGAGCGGCGACTGCTCAGGACTGCAGCCGGAAAAAGTAGCAGAGATCAGTGAGACAAATTGGGTTCTCTGCCACTAAACGTCACGGGCTGGGCTTGCTAACGGCTTTGGAGTGGCCAGAATTCTTTAGCAGACGATACGAATCAACGTTTTCCTTCTTTAGTAATACGAAGAACAGCCTCCTCGTGCCTGAGCCATCCTACCTAGTAATCAAACACAACGTTTTATTCTTGCCTTCAGCCCTGAGTCTCTCGACCCTGCGATGTACCGACTGCGGCAGCAACAGAAGCAGCAGCAGCAGCCGCACTCCGCTGGACCTGCTGCTCGTTGTTGCTAGGGCTGCTGACCACATTCATCTCGATGTCGACATCGCTTCCACCGAGCAGCGTCCGGCGCTGCGCAATAGCCCTGCTCTGCCGCGCAATCTCCTCCTCGAATCTAGCTCGGTTCCTCTGCCGATTCGCCATGATGAACGCCAAAATGGAACCAATCAGGCCCGCGCCGCTGACACCAATCCACACGAACCAAGCCGGGTCCAGCTCCTTGCCCATTTCACCCAAGACCACAAACAGCACAACCGACGTTATCAGGCTGAGCATCATGAGAAAGCCGAAGATGAGTATGGCCCGGTACACGGTCAGCTTGGCCGAACGTCTCCAGTCGCCCACGTCCTCACCGGAGGATCTAACCCGGTTGAGGCCGAGGAGACGGTCGACCCTATCCCAAAAGTGCTTGCCGCCATCGATGGTGATGCGCTGGCGAGGGGCCCCCTGGTCGCGGACAAGGTCGTTCACACGGAGGTGGCGCGGGGATCGGAGGGCCGAGGCGGGGAAGACGCTGCCACCGGAGCTTTCTTGAACGGATCCCGTGTCTGTGTTCTTAACATAGATATCTGGGATGTTGGGGTCGGCGACGGCTGCAAACTCTGAAGTGGCCTGGTTGGGCAAGTTCTCGCTGGTGAACTGAAGCGAAGAGGGCTCGGTGGGAGGGAACTGGTTGCTGTGCTTTTGCTTGAAGGTGCCGGGACTGTTCATGGCGACCAGCGCGAGCTCGTAGTTCTGCTTCTGGCCCAAAGTCTTGGCTGGGGTCGGCTTGTAGGGCAAGCCCAACGTAGGAGTGGTGACTGGCGCTTCCTCGATCTTGGCATCTTCGTTCGCCTTGCTGGTACTGGCGGCAGAATCCATGTCGGCGACGAATTCGATTTCGCTGAGACTTTTGTTAGTAAGATCTTCAAGTGGTAAATGGGTACGGGTGAGTGTGCTTATGGGTATGGTATAGAAGGCCAAGGATGATCGACTTACCTGGAGGATTGGCTCTCGGCCATTATGTAGGCATGGGCTCCTTTGAGCTCTTCTCCGCGAACAATGCTTTGTGAGCTCTCTTGAAAGATGTTCGACGTTGAGGGGGCTGTTCGTCGCACCAGATCGTGAGACAATGCGAGGAGGCTCGAACAATGCTCCTTTCAAAGCCTTTGGAAGAATGGCTGAAGCCCTTCGCTTGGATTTTGGTGGTTGGGCTGAAAATCTCTGCAATGGAAGCGAGAAGATTCGAGGTAGCCATGGCTCGAAGAAGAGCCAAATTGTGGGAGCTGCTCGACAGCTGGATGAAGAAAAGGATCACATGACGCCCCAGCTACGCCTTGGGTAGCCGGCTATCCAAGGCGCAGTATCGTGGAGTGGAGTGACCTTGAGCGTGGAGGTTTGAACGTGACTTGAAGCCATTGTGGTGGTTGGAAGAAAGCAGCTGAAGCGCGTGGTTTGAGTTGTGGTGAATGGGAAAGGGTGACTTTGAACAACAGGTCGCCGGGACCTGTTGGTTTGATGAAGAAAAAGCCTTATGCGATGTTTTGTGGAAAGAGAGAAAGAAAATTCTAAAGGATGTTCCAGAACCTAGGTAGGTAGCTCGAGTAAAAAGAAAAAGGTAGTTGTGGTCGAATTGTGAGGGCAGCTTTGTTGATTGGCCAGCTGAGTGATACGAATTTAAGCCAATGAAAGCGCCCAAAATCATCGAAATAACAACCTAGTTGGAGTCGTCTTCTGAGCCTCCATTATTGACAATGGGTATTTGCCGGACCTTACTGCCTTCTGACGTCCACTGGTGCCGATATTATCAGCCTCTAAAATACTCTAAATTTCGAGTGGGATGGCAACATTTTGTCCCCATTAACCATGGAGGCAGCAGGATAGTTTCACAAGATGAGGATTCAAAACAGGTGCGAGGCAGTGATTCTTATTGCAGGAAGCAACTATCTGAGGACATGAGACCTTGAGGAAACTCTCAAATCCAGCACCGTCAGTCTTTTCTAGCTCTAAACAACATGATCGACAAGCGACTTCTGCCTGCTATCTGCATGTAGATAACGGAGAACGGGTTAGAGAAGACATGAAGATTGCTTTTTGTAAAGCTGCTTAATCACGGGATGCCGGGCAATTCATCGGTATCAGGTCTACGGAGGCCACCTATGATGCACCTGGAACAGCAGAGACGGTGTGAAGGACAGCTTTCGATAGACGTTGCTGAAAGCTCCCCAACAACTGCTGCTTTGAGATGGATATCGATAGCGACTCTCCGCCATGACTAATGCATCTCTCGCTGGATGTCGCCATGCAGATGTTATGGTCCTGTACTTCCGTGTTCTCTCTGCGAGACTGCGATCTGGGTCAAGACATGTGGAGCCCGGGCAAACTGCCAGGGACTCCGTGGGAGCGTGTAAACACGACTCCACGCTCCCTTCTAAACGACACTGGAGCGGAGCACCCAGGCTAGGCTTTGCGCCCAGGAAATCGGTTGCGGCAGTTGGGGTTCCACCAGAAATGGGTGAGTCTGGGGGACGACAGTGATCATACCCAACTCCCTTCCAAGTGCGTCGTCGGCGAGGATCTCTGGCCACGGTAGATGAGGGTGGCTCAAGAGACGCCAGATGGAGGAGTCGTAGCCACTTCACGTGTAGCTTTTGTCTCCACGCGTGATGGATATTCAGCCGAAGCAAGGCGTGGCATGATGCTGCCATGTCGTCAGGGTCCAGCTCGTCCATAGTCCAGCAAGTGCTCAATGTAACACCTCGAATCCTCCAGACTGGACTCGTAATATAGGCGGTAGAGCCGTTTCTTTGAGGAACCTGTGTCGTCTGGACTAGGCATCGAGTATGCCTTGTCTCCCGCTATGCGGTATCCAGGTCGTGACTTGGGATACTGGCCTCGCCTGAAACCATTGTCAAGCATGTAGATGCAGCCTTGGAGGCTATCTCCCAAATCATGCGACAAGATACAGCACCAGGGCTTGCCCGAACGTTCGTGTGCATGTGCGGTATGGTAGCCAAGATGCGATCGAAACGTGCCAAGACGAGCGTCTGAGGGAGTCCCTCAAAGGTCGGCAGGAGATTGCCCATAGACTGTCTTGCTTACGGCGCGAGACTTGGAAAGCCTCGAGACACGCTCAGTACATGGACGAGCCTCGAATAGTGCGATGATGCTCTCCTGGGCCGAATGAAAAGAGATGGGAACGGAGAGAGGCCTTGTGTAGTAGAGCAGCTTCTGTAGCTCGTTTGGGCGCGCCAGTATGCCAAGATGATGGTAAAGACGTCCGGTTGTTGACTTCTTATCACGAACTTTCGAGTACCAGTGTCGAGACACAGAGGTCTATATCTCGCGATTGCTGATGTCATCATCTTCTATGGCCACTCTGAGTCTTGTATCAGCACCCCTCCCTTGAAGACTTTTATGATGAATGAACTCACCGATAACGACCTACGTCCCCGAGGCACTCGATCTAAGTATCCTGAAAGGCTGGGACTGTCTCATACAGCAATGCCATCATGGAATATGCCAAGTAGATGAACGTAAGCATATGCTCTAAGCTCGGTGGTAAACGGCGACGTAGTATCTCCAGGAAAGAATGGATCCCATGCCGCCACATTCGAGCTGGCACAGCAGAGGCCGGACTCGCGGAAGGGTGTTGAGAAGCTAGAAAGAAGTCGTGATGTTCATGTAGTAAGGTTCGATGCAGGGCAGGGCCCGCTGAAGGGTGTTGGGAAGCGAGGAAGAAGTCGTGATATTCATGTAGAAGGGTTCGGTGTAGGGCAGGGCCCGTTGAAGGGTGTTGAGAAGCGAGGAAGAAGTCGCGATGTTCATGTAGTAGTGTTCGGTGTAGTGCAATAAGGGCCTGCCACTGTTCATTGTTCAACTTGGGTGTGGTTTCGCTCGTGTCTGGAGCATTGTCGGCCTCAATGCATTTGCTCCCAACCATGACAAGGCCTGCATAGATGCCTTTGACCTCAGCGACTAGTTGTTCTTGGCTCATTGGTCTCGTTTCCGGTTGCTTCATCATAACCTCTGGATTGTCAGGTTCGGTAGGACGTGGTTCGAAAGTACGACCTGGTAGTTGTATGAAGTCCTCCTCACGACGTCTGGGACGTGGAAGGTCGTGTGTTTCAGGATTCCACAGTTTGCCTACCTTGGAAGTACATGTAGGGCGTCTTGGGTATTCTTCGTCGTGTCTTGATGCTTCTCCTTGAGCTCGACTGCTTTCGGGAGGTATAGCTTTCTTTCTGATTCCAGTATGGGATATCAGAGGCGCATCACTGCCCGTAACAGTGGGATTCTGCGACTGGGGAGATGGTTCATGCCAACTCGACCAGGGCATGATGCCATGTGAGTGAGGTTTGTTGAGAACGTCCGGTTGTTGGGAGTGAGGTTTGTTGTTCGACATCTTGTCTGGCTCGAGTGATTTCCTCCTGATGGGAGACTATCCAGGCGAAAAGGCCGACTTCGATGCAGGAAGGGAGAAAGAAAATGGCAGATCCAATATCAATCCGCTCCAAGTAGATTAGGAGAGACCAAGCAGCAATCGGGATCGTAAATGCAGCGGTGATCGAACCGGCTCGTCTGTGGACATTGAGTCAGATCATGCATGAAGGGGAATTCTTGGGATTCAATACTTAAACAGAAATGTGTTGTACGAGAAGGATAACACAGCTGCAATCGAGATCCAGACAAAAGTACAGCTTGAGATGGAAGAATTAGCTTGTGTGATGGTATATTCTCGTTGAAGCTCACATGAGTGAGGCCACAGGGGCCCAAGGTTGCCGCTTGTCTTGTGTCGCAAATGTAGCGGTGACAATGGCAACAATCGTCTTGAGGTGGAACAAGGAACCGCCTGTGGTCATGGGCATTTCGTAGCCCAGCAGGTTGGAGGGATAGTTGAGGTTGTGATGGAAAGCTTAGTTGAAAACTTGCGACCTAGAATGCTGTCCTGTCACCTAAAGAGTGGTTTAAACATTGGGCTAGAAATGGATATCGGTGCGGGTGCTGAGAGAGGTTTTATTGAGAATTGGGAGAGGGTGGGGGAGTGAAGGATGATGAATTGGAGGAGCCAACGGTAGCCGGCTGGAAAAGTCGCCAGTAATCTGCTTAGCCACATAATTCAGATCAACTCGGCGTTCCGTTGCAACCCCGGAACACATGGAGGGATGTCTGCCATGGTTCGCATGCAGGGGAGAAAGTGCAAAAGATGGCCCGGTTGCCTCACAGCTTTCCAATATGTCTGCCTGACGCACTATCCTCGGTGACAGCGAATCGGAAGTCGTGAATATGGCGTAAGTTCATCCACGTCAGCAAAGCTGTCCTGTCAATGGTCCAGAGCTCAGAGGCGCTCAGCTGATGGACGCAATGTGCTCGCCCCGGCATTTCTAGGGTGTGGGCAGTGCCCCCTCCCATCAAGATCTCGTTTCGAAAACTTCCCTCATGCAGCAAACTTCATCGAACTCGTATGCCCAAGTACCTTCATTACCAAGCTTCGTATACGCTTTTCGCTACCATCAAAACAAACACATAAATCTAGGGGGCATCGCCATACCAACTTCACGCTTTTCGCTGCCGAAGAGGCTTGACATGTATGGAAAGGATGCAGAACCATCAAGCACCGAGAAAAGAGCCGTTGCCCATGTTCCCCTTACGAGAGGTTTATTTCGAGGTCAGCGCAAGATCGACTGTCGAAGAAGCAGAGTTTCCATCGAATGGAAAAAGCAGATCCACGCGTGGCGGGAGTATGTATGGCCGCTTATCCGACTTCTACTTGCCTGGGTCACGATATACGGCATTTCCCTTACGGTCAAAGGCTTTACCGCGGCGGGATGGGACATGAGGACGAGCGGATTTCCTGTCAGTATGCCTCCGAGCGACTAGCTCTAATCTTGTAAAGTACAGGGCTGACCCAGATCATGGACAGATTTGTGACGCAACATCACGACAACGTTCAAGATATTCCTCGAGACTACAATTCTACACAGAGTCCTGCGAGTTCCGAATCGCCCAGCTCATCGTCATGGAGACAAGCTTCTGGGTGAACATGCTCGGGCTTCTTTGGTATAATGCGTTCGGGCAAAGGAACGTTGCCTGGATTTTCTTCACGACCATGGCTTTTACAGGGATCTCTATGTTCTTCTTAAGCGATTTCGCATCAGTACTCTTGCTGGCGATGCCGGTCATCTTGAGCACGTGCTCCTCTGTCACTTTAGTCCTGGATACTTTGCGATAGCGGATTCTACAGGAGGCTTTGATTGCAGAGCCTTGAAGCCGGGCGGCAACTAGGTTATCATCAGGTCGAACAAGAAATTTGGCTGAAGCTGGCAAGCGCTGTGGTCAGACAGGCTACATACGACCTGATGGATGAGTTCAGGAATTCAGTCTCCCGAATTGAGTTTTAAAGAATCATTTCTGCTGGCTGCGAGATTCAGCTGCCCCGCTGATTCTTCATCTGATGCCACGCGCAATCGAGAGATGAGACTTGTGAACATGCTTCTTAACCTCAGTAACAAATTTCCAAGATAATAAGACTGACTGTCTTTCCGGGTCTGCCAGAGCCATGTCACTGTAACAAACTGGACCGTATTGTATTGTTAGGTAGAAGGTGCGCAACGCCACCGAATACCCCACCTCTCCGCACCGAACCCCGCATCGGCCGCTTGGTGCCGGCAGCTCACATTTTGTTTTGACCGAGTCGGCTGGACGACCACACCAGAGAAAAAAAAAGCACTTTCGATTCAAACGAATTCAAGTGACCAAAATGATAATGACAAGGAAGGGATTCGAACCCTTGCCTATTTCTAGACTAGCACCTGAAGCTAGCGCCTTAGACCGCTCGGCCACCTTGCCTGTGGGATGGTTGATGGAGTTGCTGAATTTTGCGCCTGAGTTGGCTCCCCGCCGTGGTGGAGCGAAGTTCGTGAAAGTCGGCTGTGGGCTCGGGCGCGATGCGGGCGGGGTCCGACGAGATATGTGGAGGCCGCTGTCGCTGATGGAAGATTTCGTGGTCATAGGTAGAAGGCGGCAGGCGTCTAAAGTTGTTCTGACCCGTTGGAATCAGAATCCAAGTCCCGAACCGGAGAGTATGAGGAGGAAGTACAGGCACAGGTGCGGTTTCTATGCGAAGAGGCGGCAGCGAGGGTGGGTGGGTTGTGAGGTTTGCGCAAAATCGCAGCTGAGACATTTTTCGCAATAACGTCGTGATAAATAGGTAGATTTCGCTTAACCCTGACGAAGATGACAACGATGACGCCAGCAATGCTAATAATTAAAAACCGCAAGATCCTTTAGTTCATGTGTTGAACCTTGACGCAATTCTTCGTGTGCTGGTAAAGATCTCCGTGACCCAACCGCCAGCCCCCCCCAGTAATGTCCCTAGAAGGCCTAAGCCCACGATGGTCTCCATCTCTAGCTTTATTCTTCGCTCTTGATTCTCTTGTTGCTTTCCCTAGGCCCCGAGGCCTGGGGGATTCTTTCTGAAAAGTTTCCGGAAAGATCCTGCATGACTCCGTACCAGCCGATATCCTCAGGATAAGCCTCAACGCGATGGCGATACGTGGGTATCTTTCGTAGGGTATCGAGCAGCAAAGCCGTCAGAGTCGGGCTGTCATTGTCGACGTTGTAGTCAACAGAGATCTTGATGAACTGCACATAAGGCACGAGTGTCTCTGGGTAACGGAAGAGGCCAAGCGTGTCAGCGTCCAGCAGCTTCTTGACTTGTTGAGCTGTATGCGATGAACTTGGTTCAAGCCATTTGCATAGTGCGAGGCGCAGTGCGGAAGGGTCACCCTCGGGGCCAAGGCAGCCGTGGGCAATGAGACCGTTCAAGATGGAATCGTGTATCGAGTGTACCATGGTTTCGTAGGCCGATATGCGCCATCTCAGCCAGTTGGCTTCAAACCTAGAATTGGGCGGTTCACTATGCAGGCTTTTCCACTCTTCGGGAGTGAGAGCTTTGGGGAGGGCCTTCTTCCAGGCATCGAATCCTCGTCGATCTCGGAGGACGGGCAGCGGCTCAGGCATGGCGACTGGCAGGTGATGCAGAATGATTTTGGGGCTGTTGGTGTTGAGAAGGGAAAGGAAGGCGATCTAGCAATTCGCGTCGATTGCGGTTGCTCGGACGGATGCGGAATTATCTCAGCGGTTGCGGGGAAAGGTGGAGTCGAAGGCCGCGATCTCAGCGGCGGTGACGAAAGATGATTTCGGCGCAGCTAGGTCGGCTTGCATCCCGTCGAGTTGATTGAAGCTTGAAAGGGGGGGGGGGGGGGGGGAATAGTGGGAATAGATTTTTTACGATTTTTAAAATGGGAAC